AACCAGTCCATGTCTGGAATTGGAGGCTTTCAGTACAACCCTAGCCAAGCTCCGGTCCTTCCGCTTGGTGGACAGATGATGATGCCTCAGATGTATGGCCAACAACTCAACCCTATGCAACTTGGTCAGCTGCAGGCCTTGCAAGCTGCGCAGATGAACAGCCAGCAGTTCCAGGGTCTTCAAGCTTCGCAGCATGCTGGACAGTTGGGTAACCAGCAACAGCAACAGCAGCGAAAGACTCTTTTCACTCCTTACCTCCCTCAAGCTACTCTTCCTGCCCTGCTTGGAGATGGCCAGCTTGTTTCTGGTATTCTCCGAGTTAACAAAAAGAACCGTAGCGATGCTTACGTCACTACTCTCGATGGCCTTTTGGATGCCGACATCTTTATTTGTGGTAGCAAGGACCGCAACCGTGCCCTCGAGGGCGACTTGGTCGCCATCGAGCTCCTCGACGTTGACGAAGTGTGGGGCCAAAAACGAGAAAAGGAAGAAAAGAAGAAGCGAAAGGATATCACCGACACTCGCTCTGGCTCCATCAACCAGGGCAGCCAGTCCGCTGGACAAAACGACGAAAGCAATGCCTCCGAGGGAGGAATCCGCCGTCGTGGTAGTCTTCGCCAGCGACCCACGCAGAAGAAGAACGACGACGTTGAAGTCGAGGGCCAAAGCCTTCTCCTCGTTGAAGAGGAGGAAATCAATGATGAGCAGAAGCCATTATACGCCGGACATGTCGTCGCTGTCATTGAGCGCGTAGCCGGACAAATGTTTTCGGGCACCCTGGGTCTGCTCCGACCTAGCAGCCAGGCTACCAAGGAGAAGCAAGAGGCTGAGAGGGCGGCTCGCGAGGGTGGCAACTCTCGTTCAAACGATAGCCGCCAGCAAGACAAGCCCAAGATCGTCTGGTTCAAGCCTACTGATAAGCGAGTTCCTCTGATTGCCATCCCCACGGAGCAGGCTCCTCGTGACTTCGTTGAGAAGCACCAAGACTATGCCGATCGCATCTTTGTTGCGTGCATCAAGAGATGGCCCATTACTTCTCTTCACCCCTTTGGAACACTGGTGGAGCAGCTGGGACGCATGGGCGAACTTAAGGTGGAGACCGATGCGCTGCTGCGTGACAACAACTTTTCCTCTGACGAATTCTCGGATGCAGTTTTGCGCAGTATCGGTCTTCAAGACTGGTCCCTCGCGCAAGAGGACGAAGCGGCCATTGCTGAACGTCGTGACTACCGCGATGAGAACGTTTTCACCGTTGACTACAACGGCGTTGCTGAGCTCGGAAATGCTGTTCATGTCACTTCCCGCCCTGACGGCAAGATTGATATCGGTATTCACGTTCCTGATGTCGCTCACTTTGTCAAGCCCAACTCTCTCGCTGATCGCGAGGCCAAGAAGCGGGGCACCGCCGTCCATCTCATCAACCGCTTCTGCCCGTTGCTGCCACCGAAGCTGTCTGGCGAACTCTGCTCTCTTGCGCCAGGTGAAGATCGTCTCACCATCAGTGTTGTGTTCACCGTGAACCCGGTCAACGGCGCCGTAGCTGAAGGCGATAGCTGGGTGGGCAAGAGTATCATCAAGTCCGCCGGCAAAGTATCATTGAACGATATGGACAAGGCCTTGACCGATGCTTCTACTTTTGACAACGCCGCTGTTCCGGCCAACACTATTCAGATTTTGCGGGCTGTAGCTCAAAAGTTCCGGGAAACCCGTCTGGGTGCTGGCAGCGAGCCCATCGCCCCTCTCCGTTTATTGCAAGGGCTTGATGACGAAAACAACCAAGTGCAACACAACATCTTTGACTCTACTGAGGCTCTGGAGCTTGTTGAGGAGCTCATGCACAAGGCTAACAGCTATGTGGCCCAGCGCCTGGTAGAGGGTCTACCCGACAAGGCTCTGCTCCGTCGCCAGGCTGCTCCCAACTCACGACGCCTGCAGACGTTTGTCGAGCGCATGACGGCCCTGGGATACGACATTGATGCCTCTGGAAGTGGGGCGCTCCAAAACAGCCTCTTCAAGGTTGATGATGCTGATTTGCGCAAGGGTATGGAGACTGTTCTCCTCAAGTCAATGCAGCGAGCCAAGTACTTCATCTCTGGCAAGACTGCCAAGATCGTGTGGCCTCATTATACCCTTAACCTCCCCCTCTACACTCACTTTACCAACCCTACTCGCCGTTACGCAGACATCATTGTCCACCGCCAGCTGGAGGCTGTTCTTTCCGAAGGCAAGATCGAGTTTACAGATGACATGGAGAATCTTGTCAAGACTGTAGAGGCTTGCAACACCAAGAAAGACTCGGCCCAGAACGCACAGGAGCAGAGTATCCACATTGAGTCATGCCGTACTATGGACAAGAAGCGCCAAGAGGTCAATGGCGACCTTATTGCTGAGGGTATCGTCCTCTGCGTGTACGAGTCGGCTTTTGACGTGCTGATTCCCGAGTGGGGTTTCGAGAAGCGAGTCCACTGTGATCAGCTGCCCCTTAAGAAGGCGGAATTCAGAAAAGAGAAGCGTGTTTTGGAGCTTTACTGGGAGAAGGGTGTCCCCAGCTCTGCCTATGTGCCCGAGGATGAACGGCCCAAGGCTGCGGCATCCATGAGGATGTCAAATGCTCTAGCTGCCGCCCGACAGGCAGAGGAGGCCGAGCGAGTGAAGAAGGAGAGAGAAGAAGCCAACCGAAAGCAGACTGATACCGGAACAATCTCTACGGACGATGTCGACGCTCTGTTTGACGATGACGAGGACGATGACAACACCTCAGACGTGACTGAGGCTATGGCAGGAGCATCCCTTGCCGAGCGACCTACCCAGAGCGTGCCTGGATCACCAGCACGATCGGCATCCAACGCTGGGGCTCTGCACCGCACTCGATCTGACTCCAAGGTTCCTGTTACAGAGGCTGTAGAAACCCGACTGACAAACAAGGAGAAGTATCTCAAGCTGTTTACTCTTCGGGAAGAGGGCGGAGACTACATCCAAGACGTGACGGAGATGACCCGCGTGCCCATCATTTTGAAGACGGATCTTACCAAGAGCCCGCCGTGAGTACCACTCCTTTTACAACCGCTACGTTGATTTAAGGTGCTAGTTTTGCTAATGTGCGATTACCAACAGATGCCTGACCATCCGGTCTCTGAACCCGTACGCCTTGTAATGGGAGCAAACTTTTAAAGGAGATTGAAGGTGATTGACAGAATGAGAGAGAGTGAGAGTGAGAGCGAAGGAAAGAGAGAGCAAGCAGTTGGCAGATTGATGTAATCGGGGACTGCTACAAGGCAGTCGGCCGAGTATAGTTGCTTGTTATAGCAGTGATGTGTGGTGTATATTTATTTGTTATCTGGCACACGGTAAAGCGAATTGGCAAGACATACCTACGCTGGCGGCCACGTAATGGTTATCAAGGCGACGCATTTCATGTAATGGCAAAAGCATTGATGTAAAGGGGGAGACTTGCGCAGAAGATGGAGCAGAATGAGATATGATTGATATGTACTGTTAGCCGCAAGGATGGGTGATGATATGACGAGCATTGCTAACGCGCGCGCTTGGGCATTCTTGTACATGTATGAATATTGCTAATGTGATTGCCGATGGGTGCATGTGTCAAGCTGTGACTAGATTCTGATGGATTGCCCGGCTGATGGGATCCCGAGACAGTTGAAACATTTCTCGAGAAACATCCATGCTGTACCGGGTTGGAAACGGTTGGAGTTATGGGGAGGGCTGCCAGTGGAGCTGCCAAGAGAAGGCTATCTTGTGTCAGTTTGGTGACACGCAGGGTCTCTGTGATTGGTAACATGGGCAAGTCACTGGTGCCAAATTTCTGGCGCTTTCGATAAGAAAACGGCCTTTGTTATCAAAACTGAGGTTGATGATAGTTATCTTGGTGCTCTAGTAAGTGTAATTGGCTGTGTAGAATATTATACGCGCGTTGTCAGGATTCTCCGGTTTCCGTACGTTCTTCTCTGAACCAAGTCAACCCACGTGCCAGGTGCCTGAGGCACTGCGAGCAATATCCATCTAAAAAAAAAAAAACAAGAGAGGAACGGCCATGATGCCAATTGTGATGCCCCAACATCGGTAAACGCCTGGAAAGTGACGATAACAACGGTTGCGCTTGCTGCTTCATGGTGCGACATGAGCTCTCTATCCGCTGTCATGACGCACGCGCTAACATAATCCAAAGCGCGCACTTACCACTCCCGTCCTCCACTCAACGAAATACGGAGCGAACCTGTTCAGCACAATAGGAGATGAAAAAGAAGGACACAATTAAAGTTAAAAGCTAGCCCGGTCGCATCTGGCCCCTCCTCTGGCGGATGAGATTGCCTCCGGGCCACTGATTTTGCGCGTGTATCAGATTTGTTTCGGACCATAGGCTGGGCGAGCTAAATGAACCAGGACCCTGCTGGAGTAGCTGGGGGGAAGCTTCGCTTATGAGAGGATCCGGACTCGTCCTCGAGGTCAGGGGGCAGAGCTTGAGGCTCGGATCCGTCCATTTGGGGGGGGCTTCCCAGAGGAATTGAGGCCTAGAAACGGATCCCCATGGAGCCGCCCTGGCGGTTTGTCCCACGTTCCGGTGGCCCCTTGGGCTTATTATCCTCACTTACACCCGACTAGGCAATTGGCTGGCGACCCCCAAACGAGATAATCAACCAGCTGGATCTGGATATAAGTCTGTTGTTGCGCTCTTTGGATGCTTCCTTTCTTCTCTTTTTGATCTTCATCGTTTCGCTCCGATCCGTCTCACATTCTTTTTTCGTTTCATCTTACTTGGGTTGTCAAAAAGCACTGGCCTGCTTTTGCTGGTATACCCTTCGTTAATATTCTATTCTACTCTCTTGACTCGATCTTTCATTTTATTTTCCTTACGCTCATTCTTACCGCATAACTGCACGGCTGGACCATACTTGACGAGTGATTTCCCTTTCGAGACCAAATTAAAAAAAAAAAAGAAAAGAGACGCAAAAGAATAAATTCGACGGAGAAACATTATCAAGATGCCTTCCCTCAGAACTGCCGCAATCTCTCTGTTGGCTGCCACTGCTGCAGCCCTCCCGTCGGTGCCTAGATTCACTACTCGGCAATTACAGTACCATGATGTTGCCAAGAGGCAAAATGCTGCTGCCCAGGCTCTCGGTCTCAATGATTTTGACATTCTGCAGTTGTAAGTTTCTCCACTAGCAGTAACACGATACCTGAACTGAGCAAATTTACTTACATTTTTTGATAGCGCCTTGACCCTGGAGAATCTCGAGAATGCCTTTTATCAACAGGGTTTCGCCAAATTCCCTGCATCCGATTTCACTGCCCTCGGCCTCAGCGATGCTCAAATCAAGGATCTGACGCAGATTGGCTTCACCGAGTCTGAGCACGTTATTGTTCTGCAGTCCGCGCTCGCGCAGAACGGCATCCAGCCCGTCGCGCCTTGCACTTACAACTTTGGCTTCACCGATGCCGCCGGCATGGTGGCAACGGCCGCCATTCTTGAGAACGTCGGTATCTCGGCCTACCTGGGCGCGGCCCCCCTGCTGGCATCCCCGGCCATTCTTGGTGTTGCTGGCTCGATTCTCACCATTGAGGCTCGTCACCAGAGCTCCATCCGTGTCTTTAGCAAGCAGGAGGCCGTGCCTCAAGGCTTCGACGCCCCCCTCGGCCCCAAGGCAGTCTTCTCTCTCGCTGCTCCATTCATCGCGTCTTGCCCAAGCGGCTCAAACCTCAAGCTCACTGCCTTCCCTACTCTTAGCCTGGCGAGCGCCACCGCTCCCACGACCGTCAACTCGGTCCTGAAGCTCCAATCCTCTGCCTCTGCCGGCGGCAAGTTCTGCGCCTTTACCTCTGGTGGCGTCAACCCCGGCGGCACAATGTTTACTCCCTTCACTGAAGCTGATGGCTGCAAGGTGCCTGAGGGAGTTGCCGGCATCACCTATCTCTCGCTGTCTAGCTCGGCTCCTTTGACAGGTGCTCTGACGGACGATATTACTGTTGCTGGTCCTATTGCCATTACGGTCTCATAGGTGGCGATGAGGATAGAGAATCGCGGGGAAGAAAATTTTAGGAAAAAAAAAGGAATTTCGAGTCAAAATTTTTTTAATATACACAATACTTTACTTTTCTCTTCATCTCAATTCATCTTTTCCCACACTGTATATCGCTGATATAGGTAGACATGTGTATACATCTATAAGCGCACAATAGAAAAAAAAAGAATACATTTGATACCCAGACTTTTTTGATACGCTACCCCTTCGATTTTATATGTCCTCTTTTCAACTCCCTCTAGTCCAATACACATCCATTCCTCTAAAAGCAACGACATCCTGTGTAAAATTAATCCCCATCAAAAGTCCATCTCACACACTCCTCAGCAGTGTACTTAAAAACCCCCAGACCTTTCAACACAGATCTCATCTCAGCCAATCTCAAGGAGCCAAAGGGGCCTGCCCTCTCGGATAGCCTTGAGATGAAACATCCGTGGCAACGCACCGCAGGTAGCGCCCTCCAACCCCAACGTGACAATCCCTGTTCCACGAATAAAGTGTTTTTGTCTGTCATAGTGAATTAACTACAAGTAATAACCAGTTTATGCTCTTACAATGTCAGTTATGCTATGAGTAGACAATACGCATACGACTATAAGTCTGCTCCCCAGAACCTACGGCATTAAAATTGCCTGCGATCAAGGTCTGATATTGAGGACTCTTTTATCCTCATGGAATGTCTCTTTTGGATCACACTGACATCAACATACAAAAGAAGCCATTTGAAATGCAAACTTCTAAGATCTTGCTATCATCTAAGTTTGTTTGCTATTTGCTACCTCCAGAAGCTGTCGCTCGCAAAAGACCTTTTCGCTTCTCCGATAGTTGATTACGTCCCCCCTCTTCTCCAGCCCACGATACTACACCCATCAGGAATGAGTACAAAACCCTCTTCCTGAATGCTCATCTTCTCCATCTTCTCTTTTTTTGGTTGTTTATTTCATTTCAAAGACACAAATCTTCTCATAAAATGAGACCTAACGTAATTTGTGAGAATCAAAAAGTAGTGATTGATTCCATCTCTCTGTTGAGTCTCCCCCAAACATACCTCTAACTCATGGTGTAAACCCTCTGTGGAATAGTTAGAAATGTCAACGCAGTACAGGGTGGTATCTAAAGAGGCTATCCATGATCATGCGGACTTTTCTTGCTTGTTTATCTTGCTAAATTTGTTTTTTATGCGTATCTGTTAACCATCGAATGTAAATGGCCTGGCAGTGATGTAATCTTGGGCTTTTGTCCAGACCGATTTCTCATTTGGCGGTAGTGAGGCTGCATCCAGCGTCTTCACACCTTGATTGAGGGCGCGAACGAAGTCAAGGGCGATGCGGAGATCTTCAGGGAATGCCTCCGAGTGTGGTACGAATGGTGTTGAGAAACTGTCCAGCCGAAGACCTCGCTCTTCTTTACTGTTTGAGGGCTCGTCTTCCTCAAAGAAGGTGAAAGTGGCGATGCCGAGTGCAATATCCGGCTCTTGTGAGAAAGGAAGCCTAGGTAAAGTTAGCGATCAAAGTTGTCTAAATGCAAACCGTATTGAAAGGAGCAAGAGGGTCGTCATACTTCTGACTGATTTCTAGCTGATCAGCCCTTTCGCGCTTGCACTGGCCATACATGAACATGGACGCCACAATTGCTTCGATCAAGTCTCTGTCAGTTTCGCGAACCGTTGTCGACAGCCCGCGGAATCCCGTTAAATGCTTGTTCAAAGGTCCGGTGTATCCACACTCTTTGTGTCTCAACTTCAACAATGAAGCGCATTGGCTAATGAGAATCAAACTCGACTTTTCGTCATCTGTTCCCTTCCGGGGCATACCAGGCGCGCCTGCAACATATTTGCCGCTCAAAAGTCCAAAACGCAATAATTCAAACGCCAACAAAGCAGCTTCATCGATGCCTGGTACATCAGGCTCATCTTCCCTTGCGTCTTTGATGGCAAGAAGCGTAGTTGCCAGGGCATTTCCCCAATTCGTCAGCTTGTGAGAGTCGTCAACATAACCCCTGAGGTGGAGAAAGCGCCAGATGGCGATTGATACCACCATGTCAGTGCTATCGATGCCGCGGATGGGCTTCTCTCTAGAAATTGTTTTCGCAACAAAGTCCTGGTTTGCAAGCGCAAGCACCTCCAAGTACACTGGGCCAGCAAAATCTGCTGGGTAAAAGTGACGCAAGTCTTTCTCCTTGACATCCCAGGTTGCTACCCGTTGAGATGGGGGTGGCTGGGTGGAGCGATGATTGAAAGTATAAGAGTAATTCGGATCGAACCAAACCTTCATCGTGATGTCCTTGTGGCCAATTCCCCTGTGAATTCTTGGAATGATGAGGCCGAGGGCTTGCTCTTTGATGGGAAGAATTTGGCTAGTCACAAGCTTCTTGTATTCGTCAGAAGCAGTGCCATCCAGGGTCGGTAAGACAAGAATCTGCCCGTGTGTTATTCCGTTCAAGATACGAGCACCGATTAGACCCGTGTTAAGATAGTGAAATAGCTCTGCGGGCATCTGGAGACCGAGGTATTCGTGATTGTCTTGTGTGAGCTGGTCGAAGTCGTGAACCATGACCTCGCCACTCTCAGCGATGTAGATGAAGTGATGGACTGCCATTCTGGCTTTGCGATACTTGTCTAGCCAGTTGGGGTCCTTTGCTTGCAAGATGTCATTGAAGGAGGCGCAAGCGCTAACAACAGCCTTATCTGAGGTCCGCAGGATGTTGACTGCCTCCGCAATGGTGAAGGGGGATGGGTAAATGGAGGTGTCCTGCAGCGGCGGAAATGTAGGGAGAAACGACGTCCCTGTCATGAGCATAGCGTCGATGAACATGGATTCGTTGACTCCAAGTGCACGCATGACCCTCTTCTTTGAGATGGCGGTCACAGTTCCAGCATCCCAGTCAAAGTTGCGAATGACCGACTCGTTGATAGGGTATAGAAGCAACTCCTGAGGCCCCATGATGCCGGCGCATAGATCCGAATCAATCATTTCGAAATAAGCAAGCTTTTGCTTACGTTAGACTTGGTTGCTTGTGCTGCAAAGAATAGGGAGATGGGGGCGCAACGAACCTGAGCAGACGCGTTGTAGGGAGGGACCAAAAAGTGCAGTTCTCTTTCTTTCAAGATACTCTGAAAGAGAGGGTATAAATTCTGAAGACGAAACACCTCTTTTCCCATGATTCGATTAGTAAGTGTATTCCTGTGCTGGCTCAAACGAAAGAAAGCATACCTGGGTTCTCCTTGAAGACATTGACACTTTCATTGCCCTCGGTTTGCAAGTACAGCGTCCATGCCTGATCCATCCTCTGATTTGCAGCTCTAGCGCGCGTCAAAGTGACCTCATCTTGTCCAACTAAGGATTGGCCATCAAAGATGAAAAAGGGGGTGATCCGATGCTTCTCCCAGAGGTCAAGATGTCGGTGGATATGATAATGGATGCCCGTCAAGCCCCCGAGTGCAGGAAGCAAAGACTCGCGAGAAGGGTCGTTGTCTAGAAGAAGACTCAGGAAGTAAGAAGCATCGATAGCAATGGTGCAGTCTTCAAGGTCGGAAATGTTGTAGGTGCTATTGCTTGGTCGTCAGCACAGATTTCTCATTTGCCAGGGGAGTAGAGTCAGCATACCTTGCCTGGCCATTGATCCAGGAATCCTCCACAAGGTCTATGATGGGAAATTAGCGTGCGTCTCTTTCTATGGTCGAGATATATCCAGAGCGAAATTGTAGGGAACATGGGCAAGGACGCGAAATTCCCGATGCGGCAGCCTCCTGAGAGATGACTGCAGCTATTCAACAGTACTGGCCCAATCCACCAATTGAGCGGCCATACAGCATCAAAAAGCAAAGTAGGCACTCGCATGCTACCATGGTATCTCAGAGGAGCCCGCCGCGACGGCCCGAGGAGTCGCGAGACCCAGAACGTGGCCGCCACAAGTAGCGCAAGTAAAGTCACGAGCAACAGGACATGCGTTTCGCCGAGCTCGGCGCAGGCCTTGCAAATTTCAAGAAAAGACTCACAAGGCATCTCGAGCAAATCCTCCTCAGGTCAAGCAGCTTTATGGTTGTCGGAATCGGTATGCGACTGGGAGCGGCGAGGTGGTGGGTGGGCTGATTCAGGACGAGGCTGAGAATTGCTGGCTACCAAAAAGAACAAGCGGAAACGAGACAGCAAGAAGCGGGTGTAATTGGCAGGATGCGTCGTCGGCTTTATGGGATCGAAGAATCGGCGAGATGTCGGTTCGAAGAATGAAAGCTTCTTTGAAGGATTCGTGGTGCTTGTGCCACAATGCAAGCCGGAGGGCGAGAAAGGCACGGCCAAAGCAGGCTCGTTTGGAGGACAGCAAACAAAGGCTGGAGGATGAAAGGCTGAAGGATGAAAGACTGCGCCAGAGCTTGGCCAAAGCACGCTTTCCGGCAACAAACAAACAGGCAACTTCCCCAGCAGCCGCGTCCGAGAAAGGCGGTGATCGATGGTTGGCCCTGCGGGAGGGAGGCAGAGCGGTCGTTGTGGAGGAACAAAAAAAAAGGAACGAGGCGAGTCAATAAGGCAAGGTACAGACAGTTCCAGCGTGGTCGCTGCACGGTGGAGATGCAAAGGCAAGCGCCCACGGCAGGAGGTTTGCTCTGGCTAATCCAGGGACGGTGGGAGCTTTTCCCATTGCGGGATGTGGCGGGTGTGGCTATGCTTGTGGCTGGTAGAGATACGAGACCTTCTGAAATGGAGCCTCGGTATTGCGAGGCTGTTGTATGCAGCGTGTTGAGCTATTCGACTCGTATATAAGAATTAATCAAATTAAGTAAAATAAAATTTCTAGAGAAATATCCAAAAGATGGATCCATCTCTTGTGTACTGCATCTTTCTCACAATGGGGCCTACATCACATGTATCATCAATTCCATGTCAATGCTGTCCTTCACCTAGATCTAGTACATGTAGCGGGGAAGCTCCCACGCCAACAACCCCGCCATAGAAACTCGCAGAGCATAAGCTTTGGTGGCGGGGTGTTCTAATGCCTGCCCTACATGCACCTCTCTGGGTGGTTATCGCAGCGATCCCGGAACGTCGCCAGCCATAGCGGCTAGGGCTATCCTGGAGATCCATATAAGATTATGAAACTTGCCTAAGCTATCTATCTGCTTGTACATCATATGACATGACATTGGGTGTATCTACGAGATTCTCTCCATCTCCATCGCCTTCCATTCTTCTCTCTCCATGCTGCTATACCATCGGACATACAAACCTTGTTTCGTTTAGAGAAGAAGAAAGAAAGTAAAAACCAAGCCTCTTCTCTCACTATGACTGCCTCGGCAAACATCCCCATCATCGACATATCAGGGGACCAAGATGCTGTGGCCCAGCAATTAGTCGACGCCGCTCAAGAGCATGGCTTCATTTACATCAAAAATCTCGGAAGAGACATCTCTAGTAGCAGCATCGACGGAGCCTTTGCGCTGGTAAGGCTCCCCTTTAAGATTTTCACACCAGATATTCGACTCATTGACTTTGAAACTCGATATAGTCAAAGAAGCTGTTTAATGCCCCCGTAGAAGAGAAACATGCCTGCACCATCAACACAGACAATCGCGGCTGGTCTGGCATGCACTCGGAGACTCTGGATCCCAAGAACCAAAAAGTACACTCCTCCCCCTACACCATGACGCATTCGCTACCGGGCGACTAACAATTCCTTTTAGGTTGGAGACTTCAAAGAGTAAGATTGACTCTCTCTCATACCAACGTAGCTTCAAGCGTTCTTACATCACTATAGAGCTTTCAACTTTGGGGAATTCGTCGACGGAAAGGCCCAGCAGCCTCTCCCTCCCACCATAGCTAGCGACGAGCCTCAGATTCATGCATTTGCAGACTCTTGCCACAAGCTCTGCAAGAAACTGCTACATCTCCTCGGAATAGGCCTCGGCGTGAGTGTCTCTCCTTTCATCATTGTTCGCTTATTCAAAAGTTATTCACATCAACCAGGTTGGCGACTTCTTCTCCTCAGCCCACGGCACAAACGGCGAATCCGCTTCCATCCTGCGTCTTCTCCGCTACCCACCCCCCGAACAAACTTCCCGCTCCAGCGATGACATCCGTGCCGGCGCACACTCCGACTACGGCTCCATCACGCTGCTCTTCCGGCTAAAAGGCCAAGCCGGCCTGGAACTCCAGAAGAAGGACGGCACTTGGGCCCCCGTGCCCGTCTGCCCGCCTGGCTCAGAAAATGACCCCAGCCCCCCTATTCTGATCAACATTGGAGACTTGCTCTCTTACTGGACCAACGGGCTATTTAGAAGTACTGTTCACAGGGTGGTCTTCCCGTCTGATAATCAGGCGAGCAGCGTGCAAGGCGAAACGAGCTCCGCGCCGCGGTATTCGATTGCCTTCTTCTGCCACCCTAAAGGAACTATACCCTTGGAGCCTGTGCCGAGTGATAGGGTGAGAAACTTTGTGCCGGATGAGAGCAATCCCAACCAGAACCCGTATGCTGAGAGAAAGGTCATGACGGCAAACGAGCATCTATTGATGAGACTAAAGGCTAGCTACGCCACTTTATACGATGAGAAGTCGTAAACGTCATATCTAATAATTGATAGCTTTTAGGTATATAGAAGTCTAATGTCTTGTATCCATCATGAGCGCCATATACATACTATAATCCCATTGATTTTGTACGCCTTAATAAAGAAAAAGAAACAAAAAGGAGGAAAAGACGTCTTGTCCTCCGCCGGATAGATTATATACTAGACCAACCCACAGTACCAACGCCGCCACGGATCATGAAACCCATCATAATACTTTTTCGTATTCTCTTCGTCTTCGTAAATTGTAAGGTGATTCAAAACACGCCAATCAAAAACACTTATCCATTCTCGGCGTTCTTCGAGAATAGCTTCACGGATATCTTCCAGTTTAGAGAGCAAAGCCTTTGTCTCTGGCTCTTTGTCTACCGAGTCGACGAACAGGATCCTATTGGGCCCTGTTTGTCCATCTAGCGATAGAGCAGTATTGGCTGCATTCTCCTTAGCCCAAGCTTCGGCGTCGCTGACAACGTTCAATATCCCGTGGGCTCGAAGTAAGGGGTTGAGCTCTTCGATATCCGAAAGGTACGATGGTAGTAAGATGAGTCGATTAGCTAGCTGGCATTTAGAACCAGCATAATGACAGCTGGTTTCGGCTTTTTTATCATCTTGATTTGGATATTCTTGGTCTTCAATTCGCTCATTATCTTCTCTCGCCAGAGGCGAAGATGAGACGGTTACATTGTCGTCGGTGTCGTCATCCTCATCCTCGCTATCTGGTATTACAATAGCACTGTCGTGTAATGAAGGGGAAGAAGACGACGACTCTGTGGATCTATTAGCACCGCTCTCCTGCTGATGCTCACCTTTATCCTTCTCCGGGTTGCCCATAGAAGGATTGGAAAAATTTTGGTTTTGACTTTTAGGCGGGCAGTCAGTGGGATGCGATCCCGATACACGAGGCACTTGCACTGAATTACCATCTATCTCCCCCAATGCGCGACGGGTTGGTGATTCAGGCTGGAGCATGTGGCTCGAAGCGTCTCGTCGCGAGGTCTCATTTATAGAAACCGCACGATGCTTTTTCGACGGAGAGAAGAAGATCGGTGGAGATACAGCACGTTTTCTCTTGTCATTAGGCAAGAAAGAGATTTTAAAAGGGTTCACAGTAGGGGGTGGTTGCGTTGCAGCAACTTTATGAGGCTCTGGCACTGGTATGCCTAAGAGTTCAACCGATCGATCTAGGGAGCTTTCACCGACATGTCTGATGAGAGGCATCGAGTCTGACGAATTATGAGAAGCCCGTCTCGGCGATGGCGTTGGCATCGTCGTTGCCGTCAGCTGCGTGGCAGCATCGACAGCTAATCCTCTTGGGTCTGCCTGCTCTAGCTTCGCGATCCATGCCAGATCATCCTGACTATCTTCCAACTCAGGGGCAGCGGTGGCGGCCTCTGCAATCTTTTGCAGCTCGTCGAAAGATAGTACATCAGAATAACCCCGGTCAAAGTGAATCTTTGCAACAGATGGAAATCTCAAACTCCACCAGTCTGTGTTGCCTGCTTTGTCAAAACTAAAGCATCTCATGTCGAAAACAGGAGGATCAGTAAATGCCACTGTCATGGGTATTGTTTGTGCCCCAGCAGCAAATATCAATTTGGTCTCGACATTGCCTTCCACTGAGACCGGTTTTGGGTTTGTACATGACATGAATGTCTTGAGCATAGCTTCATTGAGCTCAACAACGTTTATGACAGTAAATTCTGGAGTAGCATCCCACCGCTTGACTTGCTCCCTGTTGTCAATGCAGCCCACATAAAAATGAGTCCATTTGACATTGTCAATATTGTATGATCTTGCCTTTGCCGCACTGAAGCCAGCTCCAACCACGGCAAAGTCGCCAACCTCACCGAAGCGGCCGATGTAGTCTTTTTTGAGCTTGATGCAATGATTTGTAAATGGCCGTTCATAGTTATGAAAGTTGAAATATGGCTGGTCTGCTTTTAGCACTAGGCCTTCGCTTCTGTCTGTGATGACTTTCGCAAATGCATTCCGCAATGCCGAAGCTGCCATTGGGTGATTGGTATTAATTATCTGCCTTTGTATGAGTTCAGCTTGCCCCCTATCACAACGAACTACTTCCTCAAGCAGTTTAAAGCGTTCCGAGTGCCGAACATCTAGTAACGATCGGCCATCGAGAAGCAAGATGTCGTAATAAACAATCATTAGGTGTTCATGGGGTCTCGGCCTAGACTTGTTAGCAACTTTGGCGGCCTATAGCAATCCTAAATGGTGGACTCACGGGACATCCTCCGCTGTATTCATGAACCAGCCACGACGAGTGACATGTTTTCGAATGTGATGAAAAGGGAGGATTTTCTTTTCCTAAAGCGGTGGCTCTGTCAATAAAACGCTCTATCTTGCGGTCAACAACAGCAACTTACCAACTCGCTATAAACTACCAATTCTCCTTCCAAGATACACTCTGTCTTGATACTGCATCCAGCCTTGCCTATTCCCAAGGAATCCGTGATAATTCTATTTACACAGTTAGTCTTAACAATTCAGTAGTAGTGTTGATAGCATGTAAATACCCAATTAGACGCTTTCTGTCTTCGGTGCTATCTTTCCCACTCTTGGAAAAGATTTGAACGCCGCGCCGGCCTCTGCTGACATCAACATGGATTTGGCAGTATTCCCCATCAACTTTAGCCTCAACGCTCATCAAGCCTGTGCACATGTCAATGCAATGTTTTATGCTGCGAGCTTTGAACCATTGCTGCCTCCCCACTTTGGTTGACAGCTGTGGCTTGACCAGTGCCAAACATTTTCGATCAATATATGCTGATCCCTGTTCTAAGGATTGCCCGTCTTTCCTAAGTCTTTGTATAGTTTTGATAGCAATAGTAAAGTCTTGGCGGATTTGCAAGATTGATGGTAAAACTGGGTCACAAGAACGATACACTTGGTATGCATCAAATACCAGGGGCTGAAAGTCCTTGAGAACAAGTCTCGTAAACCACTTGGCATCTCTAGCAGAGAGCCGTCTATAAATCGTCTCCAGCACGCTGCGAGCAGGTGATTCGGCAAAGCTAGCGTCTGAGGCTCTTATAGCCGGCGAGCTCCATTTCACTTTGGCTGCAACGGAGTGCAAAGCCTCATCGATTTCCTCAACAGTCACCTGAAGCGTTTCTGGGAAAGTCGGATTGGGCTAGAGATGGATCAGATCCCGCTTCCCCAAATAAAGGCAATTCCGTTGTAGCTTACAGTAGCATTCAGGATACGCTCTACGCAATCACCAAGATCTAACCCAAGGCCGGGCTGTTTATAGATAGCGAGTTCCTTGATACGAGAGGAGCCAAGCATTAAAGCACGGCTGATGATGCGCTCAAGGCCATTTGCCTGAATACCGTATACCCTGTCTGTTCTCTTTTCGGGCAACAGCGTAGATAACAACGCTGCGAGATTTATGTCGGGTGCATCTATACGGCTGCGATGTCGAGCACACCAAGCCACAAAGGCCTGGTTGGACGGTTTGCGAGTCGTGGCAAGGGCATAGGCTTCTTCCAGCAAGTCACAGACCAGGGAGAACGGCAGGGGCATTTTCGCTCGACATCTCACGCCGATGGGTATGACGCGTCAGTCACCGTAGTCCGAGGCCCCCACAGTATCGCAAGGCTAGATCGGCAAGGCTGCGAGACAATCCCTCCAGCTCAAAGCTTAAACCGCCCGGAACAAGAGAGACGAGATGCCCGTGATCACAGCTTGCATATGGAGGGAAGCGCCTGTGGCCGCGCGATAGGACCAGAAGCTGCCGGGAAGCGAATGCGTGTGGAAATCTCCACTCACATTGACAGATACGGGACATGGATCAATGGGCACGCGACGCGAGATGGACGGGAAGTCACATGAACGGGCCGCACGTGAAATGGGCTGCAGCCCTTTGGAGCTTTCTTAGAGGGCAGCCGGCTGTGGAGAAGGCGAGAAGCTTTGTTGATGGCGGCGGAGCGTGTTAGTCAGGAAGATACCAGTCACAAACTCAACAAAAATACAACAGCCGCAGTCTTCATGTAATCAATCATGCAATCAATCATGCTCGCCCTTATTACAGGACGGCGCAAGGAAGAAGTCATGCGAAACACGGCAGCGCCGCTTGACCAGGAGTCGCCATATATGGCGGAAATTTGGGGAGTCTCGAGGTTCAAGCAGTGCATGGAATCCTGCACGCTGCGTGCTATTACGAGTACAGTTGAGTCCAAGCAAAGCAAGGGCGAGCACGTATTCCAAGGCGCGAGTACCTGTACGGAGCCTGGGGACGAAAGCACGTACCACAGCCTAATGGCACTTGGCATCGGTACCCAATGCCTTGTACCCGTACTACTGATGTTAGCCTGCTTGCCTGACCTCCCCTCCATCTCCATCAGCTGCTATGCTACAGCTGTCGCTGGGCTGCGCACCGCCTGTAAGCTCCCGCCACCAGCCTGCAATCGAGCATTCATGCGCTAGGCCGTGCCCCCACTCGCCCTCTCCGCCGAGCCCCTGAGAGACAGCAAGCGATCCACTGAAGATGTGCTGCGCTTTGGCGGGTTTGGCGGCTTCGGGTTCCAGCGTGCAAGTCAGTTGACTTGTCCGCAAGGGAGCCCAATGCGAATGTCTGACTGCCCTCGTACGAGGCGGTGCCGATGAACTTGCTATAACTACTATACATGGCCACCACGCGGGCGAGCGCATATTCGACGCTTGTAAAGGTGACTTGAATCTTTTTATACAGGCCGAGTACCTCTCTAAACTAGCACGCTCGCACAAGTGCTACTCCAGGATAACACCAGACGATACAGCAGGGGTTGCCATAGGTACCAAGTACAGCACAGCGCTCACCACCAAATCGCCTCGCCTGGCCTGGATCGCTCGCCTGCTGACCGAGACATTCCCCCTCCTGCGCGAGAAGAGGAGACGAGGCGGATCTCGACGTCAACGCCGACTGCAAGGAAAAAAAAAACTCAAGAACCCCCTCACCTCTTGCGCATCGCCGGAAAAGACCGTTTTGTCGTTTCGTTTCGTTTCGCCTCCTCTTCCCTCCTCCGCCAGTACATCTCGCCCGCCAACTCTACCCGCAGCCGCCACCCACCGCCTTTGTTTACTCTGGTACCAGACTAAGCCGACGGCCTAGCCCCAGAATATCACAGCGCCTTGTTGACGAAAAAAAAAACAACCCCGGCCGTCGTTTGGGCACCAGCGAGGCGACCCCGGCCGCTCGTCCAATAAGTGGCCTGCGCTGAAACGAAACGGCACCCACAGGCCTCAATCAGTTCAAGTTCAAGGACTGGGCGAACCTGGAAAGGGCTCCGCCGGTGCTAGCAGCACGCGGGAGCGACCGATTTTGCGTCTCCTTATCAGCGCCGACTGCCCCATGAGTGGCCTGCACTTTGGCATCTGCATCGACGACCGCAGCACGCACCCTCTCTTCGATGAATACCAGGAGATAGACCAGGACCACCACAGAGCGCTCCTTGTCCGAGTAGCCGTCGTCTTCGTTCTCTTGCGGCGCCTCCAGGGCCCAGCCACTCATTTGCACCCTCCCAAACGCCGTCCGGTTGATGGCAGCCACTCTCTACTAGTCGTCCGATCGTTGTCGCTCCGAGCTCGCATCAATCTCCCGAAATATCTCGACATGGCCTCGCAGCAGCAGGAAATCCGCCTCCGCTCGTCTGCGGTCGATCGCAGCCCGGCTGCCGAGTCGGCTACGGCCACACGTGCGCGAACCACCACGTTCGCTTCATCCTCCTCATCCTCCCCTGGAATCTCACGATCGCACAGTGCGTCCAGCTCGTCCACCGTGGATACCACCGATGCGATGCTTCCGCCGCCGCTTCCTCGCAGCGATTCCTTCAATCGAGGCCGCTCTCGTGCATCTCCATCCGTCTCTCGCCACAAGAACCGCCTCTCCCTTACTCTTCCCGTTGCCCTGCAGCTTGCAGATGACCCCAGGCTGGCCGACTCACCGGCCATAATGACTGCGTCAGCATTGGCTTCGTCTGTTCCTCAAACGCCACTGGAGACTCCTGCCAGTGTCGCGACTTCTCCATCTAATGCAAATGAATTCATAATAGCAATTGCAGCTCAGGAGCGGAGAGTCTTGGAGTTGAAGGAGGAACTTGCTCAGGCCGAGGTTGAGCTGGCAAAACTGAAGAAGCAGTGGGCTTCAGAGGAGGTCTACCGCAAGAGGAGTGATAGCCAGAGAGCTGAACTCTTTGGAAGCTCCCAGGGCAGCATTGACGACGATGCCTTGGTGGCGTCACGACGCAGCGTCGAATTGGATCGCCGGAAGCAAATCCTTCACGGCCAAACCACTCCCGCACAGTCCCGCCGCAGGGTGATGCGCGGCGGCCACGCCCGTACCTTGTCTCTTCTTTCCCCTGTCCGGACAGACAGCGTATTCTCTCTCAATGAAGTCACACAGGCAGACCCGATCGCCCTCCCAACGGTGGAACAGAGAATGGCCCAGCTCACCAACCCGACCCTGTCGAAACGCTCGTCCTGGCAACCACGGTCTCAGCAAAGTGTAGCATCCGTTGTCGGCGTCCCTTCCATCGTCGAAGACTTTAAGCTAGGATTCCGCGCCTTTGTAGAGGATATTCGCCAGATTACCGTGGGAGATGAACCGGTCAACGGCCAGTTGCAGCGACCCTTGTCGACGTCCATCGCCAGTGCTCGTGAGCAAGATACGAGTAAGCCGAACCATGATACTACCACCTCCACTAGGACCAGCAGTAATGAAGGTTCCAGTACGGCCACGTCGACCTCATCCCAAGCTAACAGAACCCCCGAGCTGAAGCCAAAGACTGGGAGAGGGAAGCAATTCTCCTGGACACCGCTTGGTTTCGACTCTGTTGACGATACTGATTGGTCCAACTGGGATTCCCCCGTCTCCACCAAGTCTGCCCGCTGGAGTGGTTCTACCGTTAATAGCAGTGGCATTGATGACATTCCGGAAAAGGAGGATGAGGAAGATGCCAAGCCGTAAGGATATTCTCTCCTGTTTTGCTTTCATGATGCTGTGTGCAGGGATGAAGGGCTGATTGTGGATGCCAAATAACTATAGGGCGCGAAAATCCGATACATTGCTTCTTTCACCAGCGCTGGAGGACCTACTTCCTAGCGTGGTTCATCATTTATCCCCGAGCAACCTTAAGAGGACGGCCAACAATCTGATGGACGAGTGGGAAAAGTCACTGGTGGCTCCTGAGTCTCGACACAAGGAGACCACTGTATAGAGCAGGACTCACGACACTTTCCCTTTTCTTAACTTTTTTTTTCCAATTTCTTTTTTTTCTAAACCAGCATCATGCGAATGCACACACAACAAGGGTGGACAGGGAACATATGATATTTAGAGCAATGACGTTCTCTAAAGATGGCACTGCCATAAAAATGAAATCACAGCCGCAGAGACCTGGTACATCTTACGACAAAGTTAGTTTGGAACGATTTGGATGAGATATCGGACAAAGATGGTACCGCAAAGTTTTATAGAGTTTTTAAGGGAGCATGCCTGTTTTTGTTTTTCCTGTCTTTTAATGCTTTTTTTTTCCTGGCCGTCTTTTGTTTTTTCAACAAAGGCTGCTTACTACATATTCTTGACGTTATCTTTCACTGTTGGAGCTGGATTATCGAGATGACGATGGGAATGACATGATGCATTATGAGAGACTAAATTGCAACCAAATAAAAAGCAAAAATTCCCAAAAGTTTCATGCTAGCATTGCGGTCCCTGATCACTTAAAGGAAGAAAGAAGAGCCTAACCGCCATCTCGCAAAATAATACCAAAAGGTCTAATGATTAAGGATACCTATATAATATAGAAGGTACATTAAATGATCGTCTAAAGTACACCATATCACTTCATTAGGCAACACGTAGCCGTCTATCTACCTTGATTTTGAAATTAGTAGTCTGCCATTCTCGCTTGTATTTCTTATAAACTTTTAATATCATTTCATCTAGCTGGAGTGCCGCATAAATTACCCCTAAAATATCTATACCTACTCTTATATACATGCTCTTCGTTCCCAAGCGATTCCAATGTGCGCACAGCTACAGCCAAACAAGTTGACACCAAATTCCTCCACCAGGCTCAGTCATAATACCCCGAATGCGAAGGTCCGTCATCGCAACACAGCATGCTGAGAATTATATTCGTCGACAAGGGATCCACCGCCATGATCCGAAGCTTCATCCCCATTGGTTTGAAAAGCTCACGATGATCCCACGCCGCAGTGCCCCACAGCACTGTTGTGATTTTCGTGGGCTGAATGCCTGGGAGATTAAGCACTATGGGCCCGCGGACAGACTTCTTGCCCAGATTGACGACGCTCAGCATCAAAGTCTTGTTGAGCACCCAGTACGAAACATCTAGCTCTTTCTTCTTCTTCACCCTGAGCTTCCTGGCCGGTATCCTGGTGAGAAGCTCGTTCACAATGTCTCTGTTCATGACACGCAGGAATTTCTCGTGCAGGGCAGTGGTCGCATTGTCCACGGGCCAGGCCCAGGGGAGGACTCCCTTTGCGTTGTTGTTGAGGGCGAGAGCGCTCATGGCGATGACTTCGGCGGCGCTCGGACTGACGGGCAAGGACTTCTCGCCGCTGGGACCGGTTTGCAGGTTCTGCATCTTTGGCTTGGGCCAGTGGTTCAGCCACCTCTCGTATTGTGCCAAATGGAAAAGCCGAATTGCGACGTCTGCCGCGTTGCCTTTGCAGCTGTCGCAACCACAGCTGCCGTAGGTCGCATTGCAACTTGTCTGCCATCTGGACGCGCCGGCTCCGATGGGATGGGCATCTGCCACGATGATGTCGGCCGCCTTGGTGTACTCCTCGAAGTAATAGTTGTCGCAGCCAAGGCTGACGGCGATCGGATGATAGGGGTCAAGCTGTTTGATCAGGCTGCTTGCTTTCCACATGCGGGCGTGAGTTGCCGAGTGGCCATCTGGCTGGTCAAAGGTCCAGTACGCGTAGAGGCCATCCGAGTCCTTGATGGCTTCGACTTGTTCCTTTACCGCGCTGTGGTTCTTGTAATGTTGACGCAAATCGTACATGTATCTCACACCGGCAGAGTCCAGAGACTTATAAACATTCCACGAGGTGGCTGAAGCAGGCATCATCGGCACCACTGATTTGAGACCATGGCTACGGTATGCCTCAATCTTTGCAACGCTATTCTCATCGCATAAAAACCCTTCACAGGGGGCGTAGAATCCATACGGAAAGAAGGGCTCAAACTTGCTCCCCGGGCTGCTGCGCAAGAACAAGCCGCCGCTCAGATTATCAATCCTGACGACGTTGCCTTTTGGCTTGCTCGGCAGGACGTATATCTCGGTCTTGGCACTGAAAATGTACTGCCTGTGCCGGTCGAGCGGGTAGGACTTCCTCGGACGGGGTGGGTTAAAGGGATAACTGTAATTCCTTCTCGGCTTGTACTCTTCCGCCTTTTCCCTGAGCACTTTGATTGGCGTGGCTTTCAACGTCACCTCGTAGGGCTCAAATCTTGGCTTGAATTTCCCAAGATCGAACTTGAACCGATAAATGGGACGATCCGAGGTGGCGTTGTGCAGATTGAAGCTCGCACGAAGCCTGCCCTGAGCAAGCACTTCGCCAGTGGCCGTGGCCGAGATTGTGGCGTTGACATCATACGGATAGTAAAAGTCGTCGTCCTCCATGTGCGGCCACGGAACGCCGTGATAGTCAGACGTTTCGGCATGAATAAAGAATTCACCTTCAAACTCATCGGCTAGGAAGATGTTGTATCGCGGCTTGAAGCGGACGTTTAGCGTTAGATTTCTTTGTACGTGTGGCTGAAAAAGCTGGCCACCAGGATTGAAATCGGGGTATCTTTGATGAAGTCAGATATGACCATGGACGAGGTTCAAAAAAAAAGGGGGCGGGTTTACTCTGGCATGTATGCCTTCCCGCACCATCGAGGCCAGTCGATATGCTCGCCGGGCTGTGCCAAGCAAAGCGAAGAGAAAGATAAGATGAGCATCGCTATTGCCCACATTTTGATTGACGACATCTTTGAAAACAAAATAAAGAAAAGAAGACTGAATTGGGAGAAGAGTGATGAAAATTATGGAGACCCTTCCAGTCGTGATGCCCTCAAATGCCTCTCATCTATTTCTCATCCTACTATGCTTGTGTAAATGTACTCTTACGGGTCAGGCAAGCTTCGCTTACAACCGTTAAACAATAAATCGCTCATCGAATAAAGGCAAGATCATCGAAATACCATATCAATAAAAGGCGCTGCCGCTTGCGATGTGGGAGGCTGCTCTTAAAACTCAGCCCTTGTACTGTAACCTTGGCCTTATTACTCTATTAATAAGTCAAGCCTTGATAAAGCCTTTTCGTGAAAAAAAGAATTACCGGTATATACCTCAAAAAGCTTAAACCCCATACATACATGTACTCTCTTTTGTCGAAGCGATTATCGGAGATAGCAAAAGTAATTTGGCTGTCTCTCTCAACAAGCTATCAAGGTACCAAGCCATGCCGATACTGTCTTGTTGTAAAAAGGAAACCTTCTTGTAAAGTTTACCAATAAGCTTATCATATCTTTCATTCTGCATTCATCCCGGCGTAAATGATGCGGTATTTGAACGCGGTGCTGTCGCATGCCGTCTTTATGAGATAAGGGGCGCCCTATCCACACCAAAATGCCTCTCAAGGTACATACCGTTTGGCGTTGATGACGTGGGGAAAGGGCCTTAATATTACGGGAGTAAAGCATAAACAGCTTATTGAGGTTTTGCAACTGGCTGAAGACGTCTTGGATCTCAGCAGGCCATGGAAGAATGTTTCTGCTTTAATTTGTCTGGAGCCATATAATCACGACGAGTATTGATAAAATTGATTAATATCAACATGTTTGATAATACCGTTCCTTTTGCGTGGCCCGAAATGCCCAACCAGCCAACAGAGCCAACCGCGACTGCTCCTCTTCCGGCTTCAATGCCTGACAACGATCCAACCCATTGTAGTATTCTAATATAAACATGTGTATCTTGCAAAATTACGTCCATATAAGGATGATTTAAGCCTTGCCTGGCTCAATCTCAAACTCTGATTTACGGATCGGTCCGACAAAGCCACTGTTAAGCCATCAAACCTTTTCAGGGGGAGACTTCTTATTTATAGTTTGTACGCGCAAGTAGGAGACAAGAAAGCAAGGAGATGGAAAAACCTTTCCAAGATTACTCTATATTTGTCTCCAATGCGTCGTAATCTCGTCGTAATCCCTTTTTTCGGCGTGGACCTATGAACTATATATAGAGGTCCTTCCTCCCGTTCATTTCTCCCAGTTTTTTCCTTCGAAGCCTATGTGAAGGATAGTCCTTGTCATTTGCTCAGTCTTGTGAACTCGTCAATTCTTCTCACTCACATAACACTACCATCAAAGATAACCATCCTCCAACATGTCTTTCTCACTCTTCCCCTTGGTAGTATTCCTTTCTCTGGCGTGCTTGACATGTGCACAGCAATTCATGGGGCCAGCCTCGTTTGCATGGCCCCTACCAAGAGAATGGAAACGCACTTCTGACGATGTTCAGCCTTGCGGAATGTCACCCCAAGGACGGCGGTCCAAGTTCCCCTTGCGTATGTTCTTTTTCTCTTTTACCATGACTATTCAAATCCTACAGTCGAGCGGCTTTTGTCCTAACTGTCAGCAGACAATAGATACCTAGTACTTCTGTCCAAATACGAGACGCAGAATATTGAGGTGAAGGTCTCATACAATACGGGTACGTATTCATCCTACATGTCCCCATCTTAACTGTTTTCCCATATTCTCTAGACACATTTCCTTGTGCTAATCCGACATGACGTAAAAAAAGACCCCCAATCAGTCGCCGACTTCTCGCATTTCCTCAAGCGGCGCATCTCCAACTACGGCGTGGGCTTCACCTGCTTCAAGATCCCGGACGCCCCTCAGGGCATGGACGCTGGAGCCAATGCTACGTTCCAGATGCGCCTGGAATCTAATTACGAGACCCCCCTCCCGCGGTCCTACTTCTCCTGCGCTGACATCACCTACGTGGAGCGAGAAGGCCTTGACTTCCCCGACTCCCCCTTCCCGTGTGTCAACACCACAGACGCGGAATGGGAGATTTTGCCGACGCCCACGAAGAAGCAAGATCCGCCAGGGCCCACTGCTACTCCGTGGTCCCCAACCGAGGAGAAGGGGAAGAAGAAGCTCAGTAGCGGGGCCATCGCTGGAATTTGCATAGGAGGCACCATTGTCCTTTCGGGAATAGTCGTACTTATCTGCAAGGCGGTGATGGAATCTCGGGAGTCGAAAGAGCGTCAAAAGCAGGTTCCGTGTAGATGGGAGCCGGGGAGTTATGGGCTACCGGACTTGGTACCTGTGAATTATGACGTTTATGGAACGCCTACGAGAAGAGGATAGTATAACTGAAGAAAAAGGGGGAAAAATTAAGAAAGTTGAATTAAGAAAAAGGATTCAAATCTAGCACAACAGAGTCTGCAGTTGTTTTATCGTAACCATCATGGGACTCGTACACCAAACAATACAGCGAAATGATGTGGAGCCAAAAAGCCAAAGCCTGTAGATCACGACATCTGAATGCGTACATGTGGCTGCCCAAGTATAGTGGTAACTATCTCCCTGTGTCACAATTGTAGACTTTTGATGGTCGAAGGATGCCTGAGTAATGTCACTACGCCGTAAGATCACTACGCCGTAAGATCACTACGCCGTAAGAGAGATACAAGGGGCTGCCTGCATTAGACTAGTAGCCATTGTATGAATTAGAAGTACACGGGCATGGCAGAAAATAGACCAGTCAAAAGAGGAATGGGTCGCCATGATGAATTTCTAGTGATTCTTTCGGCCGAGGGGCTCTGTCACTTGTAATGTACTGGCTTCTTGGTGAGATGTCTTGACAGAGACATCATGATTAGGGAGTAGAGAGGAGGAGAGGGACAAGTTGGATCAGTGGTGGGGGGAGAAAGAAAAGTGTGAGAGGCAGAGAGAAGTGCAGGCACTTTAGCCAAGTAGAGGAAAATGTGCTGAAGCGGTAGCTAGGAGGGTTTACAGCGAGAGTACTAGATGATAGAACTAGTATGCTGGATAGCTTTTCCTATATTTCGCAATTACAACAGCTGGCTTGCTTGAAAGAAGCGGCGTGATGAGAAGGAGGTTCATAATCGAAAATGGGATACGCGAGTATAGTCGTGTATAAAACACGCTACCAATTACCAAAATAGAAACAAACTCTAAAAATAATGTAGCCGTCGTAAACTTTATCACAGAACTCCAGCCAAGTAAACCCAAAGGGAAAAAGAAAAGAAGAAAGAAAAAAAAAAAAGCGACAAGGCGCTTCGTCACCCGTGACGATAACATCATCTACCTCAACGCCATATCTCCAAAAGCTCGATCAAGCTGAGCGCCTTCCTCGCTGGATATATCTCCGCTTCCACCTTGATCGCTCTGCCCTGTTGATGTCGGCGGGCTTGGCTCGATTTGATGGCCCGGCCCGGATCTCTCAGGCTCCAACAGTCGGGCATCGCTATCCAGCCATCCCGGCGCCAGGCGTCTCTTCTCCGCCAGCTCCCGCTCCCTGATCCGCTCCTCGAGCTCTCTGAGGTCCTTGTCCGCATCTTCCTGCATTTTTGTAATGTGTGCTTGCAGTGCGCGGCACGATGCAATGATATCATCGGGATGCGCGGCATGGCCGGAGTTTGATACCACGTACTTGGCTTTTGGCTGTGAGGAGGGGCCATCTGACGCGTTGGGGATGCCCAATGGCGAGGGGGGGATGTTGGAAGGCATCGTTTTGTAGTTGTACGAGAGGGTGGTGGCGGATGGGAGAGAGACGAATGGCGAGACTGTGAGAGGGACCTGTTCCAGCAGGTGGTGTGCTCCTGTGGCCTTTCCATCAGCGTGTGCCCATGGCCGCTTGGGCAGTGTTGGGATGTTACTCACGATTACTGTGCATGGTATCTCTTCCACGCAGGTCGGATACAAGGCAGTGTCGGGAGAGAAGATGGCAAGACTTGGAGCTCGCCGAGTTGCACAAATGGGCAATGTTGAGGCTGCAGGAAGAGGTAGAAGTTATCGTAGAAAAGGTAATTCTCAGATGGTCTAGAAGGCTCCAGGCATCCGCCGGTAAGGGCTTGTGCGGCAGAATTGGGTATCGTAGCTACAAAAGATTGGAGGTCGAAGGTTGAATCAAGGCGGGCGGGAATCGTGATCGGCGGGGCCGTGCCATCACTGGCCCCACGCCGTTACAGTGCCTAGCCTAGCTGGCAGCAGTATCGATAAGGCAGCAAGATGCAGCTACCCCACGATCTCACTCTTTTTCCGCCCTGCGCGCTTCTTCCTCCAGTCATCAGCTCAGCTCAGCCCAGCTACGCTCTGCTCAATTCAGAAGCTCAAAGCTACAGGCAGCCAGCCCATCATGCTACCAACCACCATCCGATCACCACCTGCTGCGGCAGACTACACGCCCCTCGCAGAGTACCAGTCTCAGACCCCCGAGTCCTTCACAGATGGGAAGCCAATCCTACACTACCATCTGGCCGGCGCAAAGGCAACAATCCCACGCTCGCAGTGTGGCAGCTTGGCCATCTTTCCACAAGATACCGCTGCGGCTGCCAACAACACAAATGATGGAGAAGCTGCCGAAGAGCTGGCGGAACAGACTGTCGACGTATTTGCGACTTCAGAGTGCGTCCTTGAATCAATCCTTGTTCACCTCACATCTATTAACCTGCCGCCAGAAACTTTGTCGTCTTCAGCCACCAAGCCGAGGCCGGTGTCTCAATCCCATACCCTCTGATCTCAATCCACGCCCTCAAATCCGTCAACGACTCCCAGGCCGTCTGGATGCAGCTCGACTTTGCCGACGGCGGCGCTGACGACTCCGATTTCGAAACCATTGAGCTGACAATCGTCCCTCCAAGCTCCGCCGAAGCCAACTCTGCGCAACAGCTCTACGAGGCCATGGCCAATTGCTCTGATTTACATCCCGACCCTGACAACGAGGAAGATGACGACAATGAATACGACCGAATCGTCTTTGAGGGCAACGCGGGACACGAGGCCGTCGAGGGCTTCACTGGAGTGCTCCATGGTGTCACAGACGGCGGGCTTCCTCCGCCTTTCCCCGGTAGCGGTGGTTGGATCACAGCAGAGAATGTGCACAACTACTTTGATGCGGATGGCAACTACATAGGCCCGGGGGCGGAAGTGGAAGAGTGCCCCGAACCCGAAGATGCGACGGAAGAGCTTGGCGAGGGCGCTGGTAGGACACGCCCACGGGATGAGCTTGAGAAGGACGATGATGTCAACGGACACGATTCGGCTGAAGATCCGGAGAGCAAACGGCCAAGGGTAGAGAATGAAAACAACGAGTAGTCTGCATTCAGGCTGAAGAGTAGACAATGGGAAAGGTGGGATGGCGTTTACGGTTAGAAGGGATATGGCGATTTATTCCCTGGCCAAAAGGCCTTTACTACAATGTATAGGAAATGAATATGTGAGTAACAGGTATCGGATTCAGTGCATTATATTACAAAAAGAGCAAGTAAACATTAGATTTTAACATGTAACCTCAGGGTGTAACTAATATACAAATCAAGTCACCCCAATAAACTCCCCAATCTACTAGTACCCAATCTCCATTGCCCAGACACCTAACTACAATATTGGAAAAAGAAAAAAAAAAAAAGAATAAAGGAAGAAAGATGAGAAAAGAAAACTTGGTTCACAGTGTTATACCACCAATATCAGCAAGCCATTGTCGCCTCCAAGAATCGAAAAGAAAGAAAAGAACAGGAAAGGAAAGTTGCGTATTCTATCGCTCGCTCGCTCGCTCATACTCGTACACCTCTCCTCTTCGCATCTCTCTCCGGCGAGCTCAGCAAAAACCCATCATTGTCATACAGCTCAAGGCTATCCATACTCGCCCGATGGAAATTCTGTCGCTGCTCCGCGGCAATGAGTTGCTCCACGGGAGTCAGTTTCTGACTCAGTACAACCGAAGGGATTCCCTCGATAATCTCGACGAGGTTGTCACCGTCGATTGCATCTCCCTCTTCCTGCGCAACGACATCTTGCGTAACAACATCGATAGTCTCGTCCATGATGCAGGATAGTCGCAAGCCCAGCCCCAGATTCTCCTTGCCATAATGGTAAGTCTCTGCGCGGCGGTGCAACGATCTCCTCGGCCCATATCGACGGCTGCCTGTAACAATCATGGATCTCCTGGTTTCGCTGCCAATGTTGAGGTAATGCCTGCTGCCAATGCTTGCCGTGCCAATACGAATGGATCGAGACGCAGTCAGCCCGGCGCCGCTGCTACTCAACGACGCAGGGAGAGTAGGCGAGTCGCCTTCTCCAGCAACCGTGGAGGCCAACGACGCGACGCTGTATGTGCTGATCATGCTGTTCATCCGGCGCAGCTCGGCGACAGTGTTGCTCAGCCTTTGACCTTCGACGAGTGACCGTATAGGAGATCTGCGAGGTGGCGAGGGTGTTAATGCGGTTCCTGGCTCGGCGGTAATGAAAGATTCAAGAGTGTATATGGAACTCGAGGTAGACGCCTGGCGCACCAGACCTCCTCCGCCGTCGCCGCGAGGCGGAGGCGAAAGAATCGTGACGATGCTGCCATCAGAAACCATCATGCTAGGCGAAGGAGGTAGCGGTAAAGATCGATGAGTCGGCGCCGTCCCCATCAACAAGGACATAATCTCTCTCTCGTCATACGGCGATGAGGACGTGTCGCGGAACTGTGTATTCCTGGTTGGTGTCGTGGGACTCGACGACGCCGAGTCGCTGCTGTCAACCCAGTCTACTCTTTGCATCTCGCTCGCGGGCACTTCAGTCGCATCCGAGTCCACCGACACCGAGGCGAAGCTCGCTTCTGAAGGCGCCTCGAGCAGATAGGGCATCTGGGAAATGGAGTATCTTTTGGCGGGTCTTGGTGTCGGCTCAAATATCACAGGAGGCATCAAGCCCCCCTGACAGCTCATACCCGGCCGTGAAATCGCCGAGACTGGTCTCGACGGCGGTGGACCCGACGGCTCGCCCAGTGTCAATGATGCCAATGATGCTACACTCAACGCCTTCACCCGCCTCTGCGTCGAGTCCATGTTTGGATGTCTCTGGCGCGCTTGCCAGCTAGGCCACCTCCTGGGACCGCCCTTTTCTACAAAAGGATCGTCATCTTGAGCTTGTTGTTGCTGTTGCTGTGGTCTTGGTCTTTCTTCTTCTTCCGGCTCATTGGTACTGTAGAGGGTCGACAGGGAGCTTGATTTGTCGCTGTCAACAGACATCCGACGCTCAGAGCTCTTCTTTGAAGAATGCTGCTGCTGGACATGCGATATGGAAGGACGTTGCATCTGAGGGAAAACAAGCTGCGGGTGCTGCATCTGGGGGAACTTCATGTGTGGAGCCTGCATCTGCACATGGGGCATCATCCTCATCATCTGAGGATTTTGTCTCTGCGGACTCTGCCGTTGAGGACTCTGCTGTTGAGGACTGTGTCTCTGGGCATTCTGTCGCTGAGGGCTCTGTCGTTGCGGGCTCTGAGTCAGAGACGTCGTATACTGGGCCCTCTCAGGGCTTCTATTCCCCGTCTGTTGTTGGTCTTGTTCCCAATGCACACTCCTAGCTCTACTAGGGCTAGATGCACCGCCAGGCAGTTCAAGCTCTTGCGTCGCCGCCAGGATCAAGCTATTCGCAGCGCTTCCAATGGAGCTTGTGGAGTTGTTTCTGCTTCCAGCAAAAGAGCCGCCTCTCTTGGATGGACTACCCGATGCACGCCAGCCGTGGCCCGATCTCCCTGATGCGCCAGTTCGGCTGCTGCAAGATGATTTGGTTGGCGACACCTTTACGGCAGACGACGATTCAGATGCCTTGACGGGAGAGCGCGAGCTCCTCTGAGAGAGCCTCAGCTCTGTTGAACGCAAGATGCCCTTGAGGCTTGGATCTGTCTTTGACGGCCGCATATGAGCCGGCCGGATGTGAGCTGGCTGCTGGGCACCGGGCACCGTCAATCCTCGAACGGGGAGAGGCACAACTTCCACCGACGATGAGCGATCATCGCGCGGCGACAACGGCGAGCCAGGTATCGTAGCCAACCTTGGCTCAGTCTGGCTCCGCGGTAGCCATCTCGACTGCGGGCCTTGCGCCATCGGCTGCTCGCCAACCTGCACGTATCCTTTCTCAGACTCTGGCACAAACATGCCAACATTAGGCAGCGTCGGCGCCATCCCCAAGCGCCCATCTCTCCCAAACCACGAGTCCCTCGCATTCCTCTTATTGTTCCGCACCATCTTCGGCCCATGCAAATCATCCTCGTCAACCCAGCTCCTCGACCTCTTCCTGCCCCTCGAAACCGTCCTTCTCCTCTCCGGCAGTTGAACGCCCTCATATGTCGGCAGCGGCGGCGGCACAGCATGCTGCTGCGCTCCGCCAGAAAACGAAAACCGGCTGGAAAGTCGACTGGAGACCTTGCTGAATGACTGGGACCCCAGCAGCCGCCGCTTGATCAGCCGCGACGATGACGGCGGCATGAGTGAGTTGTGCGTCGCCGAATATCCGTATACCATCCGCGGGCCCGAATGGCGATGGCGAGTCTTCTTCACCCACCATACGAGCAATAATCCGATTGCCGTGAAGAGCAGGATGCCGCCGCAGAGCGCAATGGCAAGCAGCCAGCCCAGCCCAATTGGATGCTCCGTCTGCTCGACTTCTCGTCGAAGCACACGCGTCGCGTAGCTCATGGTTTGTGTGTGTCCGCCAATTTCATTCAATATTGACCTCGTTCATTTCATATAATAATTCAAATATATCGACAGATTAAATTGTACGTCTTGGCTGCGGACACAAACGAGTGAGTGCCGATGAGTAGAGAAAAAACACAACAGCAAGAGGGAAATGGGCTCCCCCCCGGGTCCTTGTGCTTTTGTCACTGTTTCAGCGAGAATAACATCGCAGCAATCCAGACGGTCAGTGCTTGTGGTTGATTGTGGCTGTTTCGAGGAATGCGTTGCCGGGCCTGGTCCATTCCATCCACAATACCAATGCTGCCTGGCTTTTACAGATTTAGAAAATGAGACTAACAGCTTATCAAGTATGTAAGACGTACCTTGAATAGCAGAAACATGAATAAAATATGACCCTGCCCTGATCTATCATCATACTCATCGTCGTGATAGACCAGTCCACACCACGAGGCTACACAGTTTGAAGGATTAAAGATAAAACCCATGGCTGTAACATTTGCATAAACTGAATAAATTAAATCTCACTTAATTGATTGTCACATAATACATCTACCTGCGCAACTCTCGTTAAATCTTTTTGATGCCAAAGACTGGATAACATCTTTTTTACCCTATGAACAAAGCCAGCAGCCAAATGTTGATTCAATCATGCCTCACTAATACCCCTAACTATCTGGATCCTGTCCAGATTCACGCGAAAATCTTTCAAAAATGACGGAAAAAAAAGGATAATAACAGCTTCATTCACTTGGTCTCAAAACATTTAGAGCTGTCCTTGTCCTTGGCCGTGGCCGTGGCCGTGGCTGTGGCCGTGTCCATGACCATGAACACTGCGTCGGTGCTTGGCAGGAGGAGCACCAGTCGCGGTAACAGTCACAGTTGAGGGCTGGGCATCCACAGTGACGGTAGTGTATGCCTGCTTCCATAGGATTTCACTAACGACGTTGCCGACGGTGATGTACTGAGTGCTGACGAAAGTGGCGGGAGTGGCAGCCGCTCCCACCGGGGCTGGAGTAACTGCAGGGCTCGATTCAATGGCAGCAATCTGCACACCACCAGAGTAGCCATCAGAGGATCCATCCTTGAAGACCTGTCCGGGAAGAGGAGAGCCCTTGACGGGTGCAGTGACACCAGGCTGGTAGGGTAGGGTAGGGGCAGTTGAGACCTTGGTAGGCTTGCTGGTAGGCTGGCTCTGGCCGTGTCCGTCCATTCCTCCAAACAGCTGCTTGAAAGGACCATTGCCGTCCTCCTTTCGCAGATTCGCAGGCATGTCCTCGAGCTGGCACTGCATCGCGGTGCTTTGGTCAACGACGTCGAAAAGAGGGCAGTCTTCGATGAGGCCAGAGGGGTTGGTGCAAGTGTTGACGGCCTGCTGCAGGAAGTTTTCGTCCCAGCCCATGATGAAGTCGGCATGAAGTCCGTAACCTAGCAATCTTGTTAGACGGTCTTAATCACACGGCGCATTAGCCTATAATCTTACCAGTAGTGTCTCTGTTAGCAATGACGAATTGACCATTGCGGCCAGCAAAGGCATTGGTGTTCCAGATGACCTCGAACAGCATGCTTGGAAGACGAGCAGGGTAACCCGCAGGGCAGTCTCCAGTCATGACGAGATCAGGGTAGGCAACGTGGTCCTTGTGGTTGGCGCTATCGGTCGCATCGCCTCCCTTCCAGCATGATGGGAACATGATCTCGAAACGGATACCATCTTTGCAGTTGGCATCGAGGTAAGCCTTGTCTGGCATGAAGTGGCGGTACAAAGTACCTTCAGGGGCCTTGTCGTAGTTAAGGCAGTTGAAACCGAGGGCGCGCTGGGCCAAAATTTCTTGGCTTGTTTGACCTAACGAAGCCCAGAGGGACTTTGGCGGGTCAGGTTGAGTGGGATCGCCAGCTGTGTAAGTGCGTCGGGTGGTGTCGCCGGCCACCATTCGAAAGTCGGTAGGGAAAGCTTTGATGTTGTCTCCGTAGAGAAGATAGTATCTAGCACGTCATGTTAGCCATGCTGTCGGGGGAAGTGAGTGGAGGGAGACCACCTACGCAAGCATACCGCCAACTTGGGGGACTAGTTCATATTCCTGAGTGCTGGCGTCTTGAAAGTACAACGCAGGGTGCCAGTAAGCAGATTTGTCTTGAGTTACACGGCATGATGTACAGTTGCCGGTCAGCAGCTCGGAGGTGCCAGAAGTCTCAGAAAACGCTAAAGAGCATGTTAGTCGCAGTTTCTCTTTGGAAGTCGGATTTGGTGCCAGTATGTAGAGGCTGGGCGGACTGGATCTCATTGATCGAAACAGACGGCGGCATCTCTCATGACAATGAGGCCAAGCCAGCAGGCTTATAAGAAATGAGAGCACTCACCCGACGAGCCGTGAATAGCGTGCATGTGAGGCGAGTCAGAGCCGGGATAGACAATCGGGTCCATTCGTGCCAGGCCAACACGTCCCTGACACTCCATGCGCCAGAAAGCGTCGGCAGAGGCGACCAGCCCCGCGGTGACGGCGATGACAGACTTGAGCATTGTGATAGAGATGTATCCAAGCTCGAGGTGTTGCTCCAGGCAAGACTGATATCAAGAGTTGGTAAGGAGTGGACGACGCAACGAGGCTGTCTGAAGAGAAGAGGTCAGCGTCCTGCAGCCTGCAGACTGGTGGCTTGGAGACAGAAGGAAAAACGAGAGAATAAATGGAGATGCAAGAACAAGAGATGGAAAGGAGCACAGAATAAAGAGATGGAAGGATGTGGTCATGGCAGAATGCGGGGGAGAGCCTGAGAAGAGGAAGGCGGTCGTCCACATGATCATCGCAAGCAGAAGGCGCGAGCATCACCGAGTCCCAGCACTTGGCAGGAAGCAGATCAGCCGCAGCACAAGCCCCAAGCTCAAGCCCCAGGCCCGTCACTGAACGGAGACTTTTTTTCGTCTGCCTCTGCATCCTCGCAAGCCAACGCCAAAGTTGCTTCGTGTAATCGGCCAATTTCCCTCGCTCAAACAGTAACTGTGCCGTGGGGCCAATCGCTTCACTGTGACCCGTTGCGTTGCGCGGGCTTATACATGCGGCGATTTTTCGTAATCTTCTCGAACCTCGTGTGCATGATGTCCATTGAAACTGTCAAACAGGAAAGTAGGCTTACCAAAGTATCGCTGTTATCGTCAAACCTCCACAAGAAAAGAATCGCGAGTATACGCGAAAATGAAGAATACTACTTCTGCACACACTTATGAAATCTTTCGTGATTTCCCAACCTCACGAAATGGCTCCTGAACTGAAGATTCCAGAGAAAGGTCACTGGGTGTTCAACACGAACACGTATCCAACCACCAGATAGAATTCCTCGCGGGGCGTCTGTCGCAATGTCACAAGTACTTTGCGGCGCAGTCAAAACCGGCCCGATGGATATCGATACGGTGCGTGGTGAGTTCAAGCTACAATCGTTGGCGGCGATTACAGCCTGTCAGTGCTCAAGGGGTTCTTGTTGCTTGTGCTGATACAAACAGCAAGAAGAGAGGATCAAAGTGCCCAAGAGTGTGCAAAAAGGAATGCGTATAGACAAAAAACGAAGGAATGTACGTCGGTGAGCCGAAAGGAATGGTAAAGAACGTGGGAATGCTGAGCAAAACACAACGCGACAAGAGCGCAGAGAGAGGAACCAGCGTAAAAAACGAGGGATGAGTGTGGTTGTATATGGGATATTAAGGGCGATCTTGCTATCAAGGGATTGGGGGGACTCCGGGTCCTCGCGCCAATACCGATGTACAAGTTGGGTATGGGTGAGAGATTGTCAAGGGCAGGCCCTGAGGATCGATGAAGAAGATGGGAGAAATGATCAAGACCCAGCAGCAGGCATCACGGAGCACAGCGCCATGTACTGTACGTACGCTACGACAACTTACGCATCGTAGCCTTGGCCTTCCTCCAGGCGTGCAAATAACCGGCTATCAGGCATCTCTCGCTGGCCATCCGCATAGAGAAGCACTAAAAGAAGATTACGGAGGATCAAGGGTCGACCAACCGCCCCAACAATGGACCAGTCAGGCTTCGCCATCGATAGCCCGACTTTCCAAACGCGGCAAACATTAATAGCCACAGGAACTAACAAGGGGGGCGGCGATTAGGAGCTTCTTTGCGATGAGGGGCATAGAAACTTCGCTTGCCGTGAGGTATTTGCTTGAGGCGATGGGATCATGTAAAAGCATGCGCAACAGCTGATTGGCCAAGGGACTCAAGAAATTTGAGAGACATGGGGTCGAGCAGGGATGTTCATGTACCCCTTGGGAAGGTTTTTTGTCCGACCCGCGTGATGATACCACTTCAGGGAGCATTAATCCGTCTCTGCTGGGGTTTCTGGAATATACCGTTCAAGCGTCGTCAATGCAGAACCGAATCCTTACTGCCCACTACAGTAAGGAGACTCTTAGAAGGACTCAGGCTCTGCCTCCTGAATCCAAGAATGCGCATGACCGTTGCGGTGAGTTTGGGTCGCCACCAGAAACAAGGCTTGCGGCTGAAATAGAAATAGTAAAAACAACGCTAGATCAGAACAGAAAACGCCACCCGCTGCGTGTACCTGGCTTCTATAGCGCCCCAGTGGTGCGGCGGCCTACGCCTGTGCTTGATTGCAGCTCCCATTCCTCTCATGAAACGGCTTGGAACTTTGGATGGCTTCTGGCGCATATGACGAGGCTGGTGGAGCCTTGTCCATGCGATGTGCAAATGGACTTGACAGCAAGCATATCGCTTCCCGCTCATCCCAATTTTGGTCGAAGAGCCAGGAGAGCACAACAGTCGGCCATGCCGTTGGACTCGGGGGACCGCAGACCATCAGCCAGGTATGGTATTCGAGGGCAAACGAGATATTTGTGATCCTTGAGCTTAAGGGCCCCCGCATGGGTCATTGGATAAAGCTGGCCTCGCTAGCCTCATAAAGCAAGATGCATTTCCATTGTTTGACGCTGTTATATGACGCTGGTTTGCTTCTTATTGTTGAACAGGTTGGGTGGCACCCGCATAAGGCCCTCGAATTTTCAGGGGCGCCAAGATGGAGGGGTCGAGCATTGCATTAGGGAGACCCTGTATGCATTTGAAACCGTTTCATCAGCGCCTGTGGCCAATCATATCCCGGAATCTGCCCCAAAACAGCTGCCCCTGCTTTGTGCCTGGGGGCTAGGCGAAGGCCAATGCAGAAGTGAATAGAGAAGCGATGGCTGCAAGCTTGTTTGCTGGTCGAGCTGGCAAATGCGGTGCTCGGGCGCAATTCCCCCTGCTCGCCTTTGGAAAATCAGCGAGACTTGTCACAGTCAGCTATTGTTTTGTTTGCTCTGAAAGCTCGGTTCCTGAATTGGGCCAGTGGGGGTCTGGAGAAGGAGAGGCTGCGGCGCCGCCCGGCAGCGAAGAAACAGCCACAAGGAGCTGCACTTTTCATGTTCTCACCTACGCGTATCCTTAAATTCGCATCATCTCGCTGGCTTCTGGCACGAGCCATTGTCTCCGCTGCCAAGCTCGTATGATGGGTGCAGCCTGTGTATGTGTTGCTCCTACATTTATGAGCCATAGGGCCCCGAGATCCAGCTGCAAGTCGCGAGGCTTCCAATAAAGAGCATCACGTCGATAGTACTAACACGATGTCGATCTGAAAGGGCCTGTTGCTTGCCAAGAGCACTAGAATCCCGCTAGGTTAGAGGTTTAGCAGCTTGAGGTCCTATGACGAAATGATCGAGGGTGCAAAAGTTTAGGTATGCTGAGGAGCCGCATATCGGCAGTCTTCCGGTATCACTTATTAGCTAAACAAAGAAAATGATCGACAAGTGATGGACAATCCAAAACATATGTACTTGTACTTGAAGTAATCGCCCATCAGGGGCTAAGCAGGATGTGCGAGTACCTGTGTATACTTTCTCTGTGTGCTGTATGCCACAAGCTTCGGATCCATGTGTATGATTCAGTCAATATGGCTACGAAGCCAAATATTTTTTATTTACTGCAGTATGCAAAGAGGAAAAAGCATCTTACGCTTATATGACATATGGATAGCGTGGTAGAGCTTCACCTCAGTTGTAAGAGTGAAGGACGGCTAGATGGGGAATTTCGTGGCTTGCAAGTGGTAATATTGATATACTAGGTTAAAGCGCAAATGTAACATCGAATAACATCTCCGACGTGGTGTAGTGGCTAGCATACCGCGCTTTCATCAGTGAAAGTCCCGCGGCGATCCGGGTTCGACTCCCGGCGCCGGAATTCATTTTTTTGCTTTTTTTTAATCCTTGGCGTTATCCCCTACCCTGCATCTTGCATCTTGTCTGAGTAATTTTGACGGCGATTATGTACAACGTAAGAAAGAATCTACCTCTTATTAGTATTTCTGTATTGTGTAGTTTTTTTTTTTTTTTTTATTTTTTTTATTTTTTTTTTTTTTCTTTACTTTTCCTAGTAAGCCATATGTGTCAAAATGAATGAACAATCAATGCAAATCCTGTTCGAACGTTTTGGTACATGATATGGCATAAATGGCGTCTGACTCACTAGCATTCACTGTTGTCTCTAAGGTCAGACATAAAAGTAGCTAACAACTTGGGCATCTTTCAGCTCACAATAAGAATAAAAAAAAAAGCCTTTCTTTTTATTTACTAAACAATCAACTCCCGATGCTCGCATTCTGTGATAACTTGACTGTGCAGAGAGCGCTGCTGTCAGATATATGGTCATGTGACCTGCAGCAGTAGCGATTCTGCAGCTTGACACGAATCAGAGCCCCTGTAATCGCGGCGAGCGGTTTGCGCCCACTTGGAGTCCCCTCTGTATGGGGCCGAGCGATAGCTTCAAGTAACGAATGACCTACATTGAACACCTGGCCATGAACGACACGCCGCGGTAGAAACAAGCACCGTATTCGCCATGGATGATCTCTCGGGCCTCGATTGGAGCGCAAACGCCGCCGGCAACAAGCCCAAGCCCATGGCCGCCAACCCCTCGTATCCTCCGTATCGATCGTCGCCGTCTCCCTTTGGCACAGGGCAAAGCACGCCGCTGCCCCAGCAGCCAAACAACTCGGTTCCTAAAGCGGCGCCGGCAAAGGCTGCGCAAGACAGCTTCAGCAATCTGGCTTTTGGCCTGCCCAAAGCTACGCAGAAATTGTCCCTAGCCGAAAGACAGGCGCAGCTGGAAGCCGAGAAACGAAAGAAGGAAGAAGAGCGACGGAAGTTGGCAGAGGCGCAGTTTGGAAATGGACAACACTGGGATGCGCTGGGATCTCGAGGCTTCACTCCTAGTCCTGCGCCTCAGCAGCAACAGCAAAAGCCTGCGCCTGCCAAGAGCTCAGCCAAGGACGACGATGACGACCTCTTTGCCGCATTCAACAGAGATACAAAGGTGGACAATGCCAGCCATTATCCTCCACCCGCACCAAGTAAAGACAGACTGGACTTGACAGACTCCTCAGCATGGGGCTCAACAACGGCATCTAATGGCAACGGGGCTTTTGGAGGAGTTGATGATGACGATCCTTTCGGATTGCACGAGATGAAGCCTGCTGCTTCAGCTTCAGCTGGCCGGGGCACTTCCTCTGGCGCAGATGATTTTGACTTTCTGGGAGACCTCGGGAAGCCTGTAGATGAAGTTAAAAGGGAACAACAGGCAAAACAAGAAGCATTGAGAAGCGAGCCAGGAAAACCCATTGAAGATGACTCGAGCTCTTCCGATGACGACGACGAACCTATCGAACGAAACGTTGAGCGAGTGCCTAGGGTGAACAAGGATCCCTTTGACAAAGCTGTTGCGCAACTTGTCGATTATGGATTTAGCCCCGAGCAGGCCAGACGAGGGCTTGTGGAGAGCGGAACGGGATTCAATGCGCAAGCAGCGGCTAACTGGCTCTTGGACGAGGCTCATAGGAAATCAAAAGAGGCATCACAAGGTCGGGGCTCTCAAGGGCGAAATTCCCCCGCATCGGGAAGCCAGAATCAGCGAAGTGATAGTCGATCACCTGCAAGGGGAGAGGTTGACTTTGCAAAGACGGCGGCTGCTATGGGAAACACACTATTCAAGTCTGCCAATACTCTATGGAAGACTGGACAAAAGAAGATGCAACAAGCGGTGGCGGAATTCCAGCAAGAAGGACAAGGAGACCCAAGCCAGCTGAAATGGATGCGCGATGCTCAGCAGGCACAAGCACGGCCGAGACCTCCCCAAGGTAGCTCCAGCGCAACGGATGAGGCGCTCATGCTTGAGACTGGTAGTAGACCACCACCTGCCAGGAGCAGCAGCAGCAGTCGCCCTGCCGTGGACCCAAGAGCTGGGCCTCAGATTTCACGAGGATCATCACCTGCCCTATCTTCGGGAACTCCAAGCCGAAATAGCCCCGTTCCACGATGGCAGCAGCAGACAGCGCCGCCGCCCATGGTGTCGGATGCAAGATCAAGGCTGAACAGACTTGCAGCGGACGATGACGACAGCTTCTCTAGCTATGTAAGTGCTAGTAGGAGAAAGAAGGCAAGCCCAGCGCCAGAGCCTAAGAAATCTGAGCCTGAGCCGGATCTACTCTTCGGCTCGCAGGCGTCAAGACCAACGCAGCGAACTCCCTCTCCAGCAGTCCAGCGATCAATGCCAACAACCTCAAGTCAGCCTCGGCCAGCACCAGCGGCCGCACCTCCGCGCAAGGTCACACCTCGGCCTGCTCGACAAATTCCTCCCATTAGCCCTGCAGCACTGCAGGCATCGACAACGCATAGGCTACAGGGAACTACGCATTTCAAACGAGGCGACTATGCCGCAGCGCATGCGTCTTACTCATCATCTCTGTCCTCTGTTCCTACAACGCATCCTCTGATGATTATCTTACTCACAAACCGTGCATTAACTGCTCTGAAGACCGGAGAGCCTAAACAGGCAGTGACTGATGCAGACGAAGCGCTCAAAATCATTGGGCCCGGGAACGGCCAAGGAGAGACAGTAGCCGTAAAGAATGAGGCTGGGCAAGAAGAGAACCGTGACATGAAAGAGCTCTATGGCAAGGCGCTAAGCAGGAAAGCAGAGGCGCTGGAGCAGATGGAGAGATGGGCGGACGCAGGCACGGTCTGGAAGCAATGCGTTGAGGCTGGTGTTGGCGGACCCACGGCTGTCAAGGGCCGTCAGCGATGCCAGGACGCCCTTGCTCCCAAGCCCAAGCCTGTTCCAAGGCCAGCAGCAAAGCCTCGACCACAACCCTCTGCGGCTAGTCGAGCACCTCAGAAAGATTCAGAGGCAGTCACACGGCTGCGTGAAGCTAACCAGGCTGCTGCCAAAGAGGATGACGAGAAATTTGCCCTAGCAGACAAGGTCGACGCCAAGGTATCCGCATGGAGAGACGGGAAGAGAGAGAATCTTCGGGCTCTACTGGCCAGTATGGATGCAGTGCTCTGGGAGAATAGTGGTTGGAAGAAGGTTGGGCTGCATGAGCTGGTCATGGCGAACAAGGTGAAGATTTCGTACATGAAGGCGATTGCAAAGACCCACCCTGACAAGGTAAGAGATTCATCCATCTGAGATGTACCGAACGAAGCTTGAGAGAGAATATAATGCTTACTTTTGGATGTTTTAGCTTCCGCAAGACGCAAGTACTGAGGTGAGACTCATTGCTGGGTTGGTGTTTAGCACCCTGAATGAGAGCTGGGACAAGTTTAAAGCAGACAATGGGCTATGAAGCGTCTCATTCGAAAGCGATTTTTGTTGTTTTTGTTGTTTATTAATTTTTTTTCACCTATGCATGCATTCATTGCATAGAAGCAGCCAGAGTAAGGAGGAGGAGATGTGAGAGAAGCATTTTTCCTATTTAACGATGACAATGACCATGATCATTACGGTGTTGGACGATGGATACATTGACTTGAGTGTTTGCTCAGATGATCAGATATTTGCTCTTTATTTGGATTTACTTTGCCCATACGCCATGCTATGCCCCTATTTCATACCTATCGTATATACGTATATAATTTGAGAAAATTCGAAGATGTAACCCCCCCCTTTTGTCCGTGGATCTAAACTCCCATCTCATCGCACAGCGGCTGTTTATATTGCCCCTCTTCTCTTTAGTAAGAATTTCTACAACCCCAGCATGCGCCTAACGCCGTCGCGAACCGTCTTCTCGTACTCGTCCCGGCGCTCGCGCCACATCTTGGCGGCCTCGACGTTGGCGGGGCTCTCGTCGTTTGGCTCGGCCAGCATGCTCATGACGGAGATGAGGATCTTTTCGACGGACTGGATGGGCGACCAGCGCTCGGAGGCGTGTTCGTAGTGGTTGGGGTCGTCGCCGGGGGGGTGGAGGATGGAGATGCAGACGAGGCCGCTGGGGTAGACTGTGAATTTATGGGTTAGCATCACCGTATTCGCCTTGTTTCCAGAACTCTCTTTCTTTTGTGATATGAGGCGATCTTTTTGTGCTTTCATGCTTGATTTCGGGCAGAGCATTACCGTTGGGATGCCACATGTCGGCCAGAAACTTCATCGACGGCGGCGCCAGCGGATAGTCCTTTGGAAACTTGAGCTCGGCCGGGAACACGCCGCCCTCAAAGGGCGTTCCCTCGGGGCCCTGGATGAGACATTCCCAGTGGAGGAGGTCGTCTTCCGAGACGGGGCCGGCGGTGATGCCTTCGGGCGGGTTGTTTGTGAGGGCGCGGTATTCTTGGAGGAGGCGGCGGTGGGCGGTGGATTGGGCCATGTTGGGGATGTGCCCTCGGCTTGAAGTCTGTACGGGGGAGTTGAAAGGTTTGAGAGTTGGAAAATAAAATTGGTTGGTGATGATGGGAGGTTTTTTGGTGTTTTGCGTTTGGAGATTGGGGAGTTTCGAGATCGCGGAATCGGAGCCGCGGCGGGAGAGCTGCCAGTCCGAGCGGTTGTGGCGGGGTGGAGGTACGTACCGCTTATGGGGAGCGTTTGCGTGATCCACCAGGCATTTCTCGGAATGGACGCTGTTATTGATAAAACTGGAGAAACAATTATATATATCATGATGTAAAAATGTAGTTGTATAATATAGCCTTCATGTTTCGTTTTGCCTAATTGCTAGCATATCGTGACATATGCTGTCTATCAACTGCAGAGTTAGCTAATATGCTCCGTCTTATTTGGTGGGTGTCTTGATAAAGGTCCCCCTACTTGAACCACTTCCTTTTTGAGGTTGGCCTGCAGAGGTACTGAGACATACTATCTAGGTAGACGTAGAAGAACGCAATGAAGTGTAAAAGCAGGGCGCAGGTGGCCAGTTTGCGGTTCTGCCGCAGTCGGAAGGAATCATCACCGCGATACTCTGCACGTCTGTTGGAGATGGCGCCGTGAGTATCTTGTGTGTAGGTAGTATAAGCACATAGAGACTTCTAATGGAGAGGAGTAGTAGGTAGTAAGTAGTAACGATGACAACCCCGACTTTTCCCAACGATGAACGAAGCTGATGCGAGGAACGATATGATACTACCCAACTATTATTAGCTTTCATGCTTCTTTTTCTTTTCTTACCTAATATCTAAGACACTCTATCGGCTGAATTGGATAATATGCTCCATGTACAAATATAGAGATGCGAGATAGGATTCATACATGCTTACGGCCTGGAATTTCAGCTGCCCTCCGTGCTGGAATGTATAAAGAGAATAAAGCAGTCTCGTATAAGCTGCAGTGCTACAGGAAAATGCTACCTCTCAGGCGAGTGCGAAGTTATAGGATGCTGCGTCTCTCATGATTTGTCGACACGAAACATCGGCTGAGCGGCTGAACGAGGTTGTGTGTGTGTGTGTGTGTTACGTGTATGTCTTACTTATTTTATTGCAATTGGACTCCTTGCTTGTCTGACAGGTGGCTTTGGAATGTGTATAAAAGGGACTGATCATCCTGAAACGTAGAGCAAATCAAGAAGCCAATTCAATAAGAAACTGTATCAATTCGCTACCCATCTGCTTTATCAAAAGAATACCAAGACCAGCAAAAATGAAGTTCTTTCTCGCTCTGTTCGTTGGCGTAGCTGTGGCTGCCCCTTCTCTGCAGAATCGCCAGACTGACGGCTGTGCCGTCTATGAAACCTGCTTTCACTTCCCGCTGCCATGTCCATCTGGCCATGTACGTATCAAAGCTCTTATTTAAGCTCTTACTTTGGCTTGCTAATACGATGATAGGTTTCGAAGGAAGTGGTCAGTCACCTCGCGCAGTCGTCCTTTGTGTTGTTATGATGAAAATACTGACATTTGATGAAAGAATGGATGTTACACTTGCTGTCTTGTGGATGATCAGTAAGATTGATTGAAAGCTGGATGAGCTTATTCGAACATATTCGAATTCGATTTCAGTTGGAATATGAACCAGCTATAATACAAGCCATGACAATTTATTATTTGCCAACTGAATCTTTGTCAAATCTCTCGCGCCAGGAAAACTCACAAATCGAATACATGATAGTGAGTACATGGCATCGTATCATTTAGCCAGATCTCAATATATCCCGCTTCCCACGCCATGCCTTTATCACGACAGGCCCCCATTCCCTTACAAGATACAGCATTCGGGATGGCAATCGTCCAACAGTGGCCCGCGGCTCGTTTCATCCTCATCGTCTTCGATGCTCCAATACATGTTGTGCGAGAATTCTCCCCCATATTCTTTAAAGACTTTGGCCATCGATTTCAACAGCGCTTTATCATTGCCACCTAGTGCACGCAGCGTAACCTGTAGCCTTTGATAGCTCTTTAGGCTGCATAAATCATCCGACGCGGTATCGCCGGCATATAAAAGCTCGAATGTAGTGCTGTTGCTCTTTTGAAGTTCTGCCTCGAGGTTTTCAAAATACAGTAGCATCTGTATTGTAATCCCTATATAGCAGAGGCACGAAAGCGGTCGACCACCACCGCCGATGTCACCGTAGACATCTCGGTAGAGAAACCTCAACATCCTTTCTGCCGTCATATCGTCCTTGGCGGTTTCGAAGCTGCCCTCTCCCTTTTTTGACGCCTTGTTGGTATCCTAGACCCAACGAGCACGGTCTTGCATGGAGCGCACTCCCTCAATCTGCGCTTGTCTTTCGACTCTAAGCTCGTCAAGCATTGGGCCAAGGGTCTCTACCAAGCATGATTCGCCGATGCCCGCAGCTTTAGTCCGTTTAACCAAATCCGTTTCTTCTAATCGCCAAGCGGATGTCACTGGATCACGAATACGTCTCGTCTGGCTAAGCCGAATCAGTGCCAGGGCTGACCTTGGGTCGACTTCACTTTCCGGGATACGACTTGGATCCCAGTCCACTGATTCGTACATGGACAGAACAGATTTTTGCTTGAAAAGATGCAAAGAAGTCAGGCTTAGAAAATCACGAGCGTTGGTGATTTTTCCTACCGGTCGACGATTTGTCGCTTTTCGACACTTGCACTTGCTAACATGAGAACGAAAAGCTTTGCCAAATCGCGAACGAAAAGCTTCGACAAAATCGCGGGTAGGAGGCTGCCCGCCGGCGAAGAAGGTATCGGATAATGCCCACCCCAGACCGCTATAGAGCGATATCTCCTGTTTGAGGTAGCCTTTTTGTACAAGCATGTTGTGCAGGTGTATGATTAGCGTTGGTTCCAGCATCCCTTCCCACAAGGCCATGGCGCTTCGATACGAGAGCTCGAGGCCTTCCACCAGGCCTGCGCCGCAGAAGAAAGGAGAATAATCCCAAGCTCCGTTGTGATTAGTTGACGCAAATCTCGAAGGGAGCAGCCCTGAAAGGCTTTGGAAAATTTTGCACTTCCCTAATGCGTCCCGGAACTCACTACCTAGCTCAGTGAGGGCTTTGAAGCAGCTCTCTGTGTATTCGAAACCTTTGCCACCGTTGCTCGAATACATATAATTCATTTTGAGACACGCTACTGATAGAAAGTATCCGTTGCCATTTTCCTCATTCAAATCTTCGCGTCCGAGGAAAATGTCCAAGTCGCGCCGTGATCGAAAGGTCGGCGCCGGCTCGCTGAGGATGTGACCTTTCAACCAACCAATTGCCCATCCACGAGACACCGTCCATGCGTCGATAATGCACTGAAGATGAAAAACGAGATGCGGCGGTATGTTTTGACGAAAGTCTGTACCATATTTTTGCATAGCGAGCGTCGTCACTGCAGCGGCAAAGTTGGTTAGACCAAACATCCTGTGATATGACTTTAATGGACCTTTGTTGGACCAGTCCATTTGTTCCAACACATAATTTTCCTTTTTGGCATTTTCCCCATGCATTGCAACACATGAAGTTATGTTGACAAGATCGTACAGCCAGTTAATGGTATAAGAGCGCCTCCATTTGACCCTCTCTTCTTTGGTCGCTTTCTGTAGATCCAAATCTGGATTCCAGTTGTCAATTTGGGCGAGCATACGCTTTGTGGGCTTTCCACTTCTTGTTTTCTGGTAGTCTGTTATGAAGTCGACTAGGTCGTGGTAGGTATGAATGAGGAAGAGTTCTTTTTTATCCAGGATTGTTGGTGTTACAGTGGCCTTCCCAGAGCTTTCTGAACGGATGCAGCAGTACATTTCCCTGTTTGCTTCTTCGCCCTCGCCGTGCATGATGGTTTGTTTGATCCTTTCAAATGATTCATAGCCCGGAAAATCAATGAATATGGTTGCCTCATACTGCTTGATCATCGCTACAGCGATATTGGCGGTAGCTGCAGCCACTGCACTGTTGAGGTTCCTGTAGGCTACTTTGCGCCAAATCCCTTGAAGAAACAATCGAAACTGGATCATGTCTCTTGTGAGCGCAAGTACAGCCATGGCATATTCTGAAGCATCGTCCTCTTCGATTATGCGGTAGCTCTCCAATGCAATGTCCAGAGCTCTGCCGTCTGACTGCGAAGACTTGCCATTTCGCTGGGCTTTCTTTCCTTTGACTTTCTTTTTACCTTTTCTCAACCTTCGCTTTTTTTGAGAAGGTGCAGATTCTTTGTCAGATTCTTCGCTATCAGCGTCCAAAATATCATTCTCCAAGTCTAACGCAGAGAATTTATTGGTAAACGAAAAAGAGTTGGGGTCGATTTCCTCCTCCTCATCGTTGCTTGCTTGCTTCTCTCGTTCTTGGGAAAGCCATTTTTCGCCGCCCAGGGTTTCAAACGCGCTTGTGAGAGCATCAATGAAATACTTGTGGGTCGAATTACGTTTCTCTAGCTCTTCGCTGGGGTTCAATTCTGCTAGCTGTTGAAACCGAGAGTAGTACGTATGTCGTAACTTGATGACGGACAGAAACAAGTGATAGATCGTAGATGGGATGTCGGGATGATATTTTGCAATGAGTTCTGACATCGCAACGAGGTCAGAAACAGTGATCTGACCTGTGGCATTGACCTCTAATGCAACATTGTGTCCAGAATTGTCTAGATTCTCGATGATGGGATTTGAAGTCTTGATCATCCAGTACAGCAGAAGACTGGTGTCTCGCTTGTACGAGACATAGGAGTTTTCAAACCGCATCGAAGGAAACGTACTAGCAGAAAACAATGTCTGCAACAATGAGCTTTAAAAATGTATGACGTGAAATTTTAGAGATGAGGGATAGAAGAAAATAAGTGTGTTTTTGTGACAGAAGCTGATAACAAGAGCTCGAGTTCACTTTGAGTGCAGCCCCTTATCACGTGCGTGTCAACACTGCCAGCTGGCACAGCGCCCAGCACTGGCAAATAAAGAGAATAGAACCAAAAACAACAGAATACCTGTAACGAGTTTATGGGATATTCGCAAGCAGACTTGTTTACGTTTGGCTGTTTCGATAGAATAGCAAGAAAAGACATCGTTTCTAACCTACGCTTTTCTATCTGCTATCCCTTGGCTATCTTTAAAGACAAAACTATAATCAAAGCCCACCTTTGGCCTTCAAGTCTTCATGAATCTTCTTTTGCTTCTCCCATGCCTTCTTAAGGTTCTTAAGCTGGCTCTTGGGCACCTCGCTTCCGTCCTTCAGCTTGGTGGGGATACCCTGCTCGTCCCAGGCACTGTAGCGCTCATCATTCTTAAACAGATCCTCAGGGGGAACCTTTGCCTTTTCTCTGGCTTCTTGATCTGCCTTTTCCTTGGCAAGTCTTGCTTCCTCCTTCTTCTTCGCCTTCTCAGCTTCTCGGGCAATCTTCTCTTCACGAGCAGCGATAAGCTCGGCAGCAGGAACAAACTTGATGAGGGACGGCTGGTTATCGGGCCGGTCGTCAAGATATACACCGAGGTTGGTCAAGTCTTGATCACGGATTCGATCGGTGATTTGCAAGATAGCCTTCTTGGTTTGCGGATCGTAAGTGGAGACTGTGCGACGGAGCTCATCACGGATTTGAGATACCACTCTTAGGTAAGGCAGCGATAGTCTCTCAATATCACGAGAGCCTCCCTGAGCAATAGATTGGAACTCTGATGTAGGATCCTTGGCAAGAAGCGCCGAGACGGTCTCGTTGGAAAGCGAGAGGGCCGCAATGTCTGACTTGACCTGCTCGAGTACAGCCGCATAGGGCTTGACGGCCGTCTCAGGGTCTGTACTCTCAGAAATAACAGACGCCCAGCCAAGGCCTTCGTAGGGAGGTTGAGCATTAGGATCGAGACCAAAGATGCCAACCAACTTTGTAATCCAGCGGGCAATAGCCTCGACCTCGGCGAGATCTGCGTCTTTGTTGTCTTTCAGGTAGCTGTTAGTGGTATTGACCAACTTCAGGATGACAAGCATTGCTCGCGGGGTATCAATTGAATTTGTGAGCGCCGCCTCTACCTCCTTCTTGGCCTGCTCAAGCTCGGCCAAGAGACCAGTGGCAGGCTTGTCTGAGCTGATATTCAGAGCTTTCACGCCGCTCTCGATGCCTGCCTCGGCCAACCACGACTTTGTGTTTGTGAAAAAGTTCTGCATCAGGCATGGTTAGTGGTTAGAACTTATCAACTGTGAAGTGGTAATTTGTACTTACGCTGATCGTCGACTCCCAGTTATCAGCCTGAGCTCTCATATCTGGTGAGATTTCAACGCCGTCATTCCACTTGCCCATCAAGAACACAATACGCATGCTTCGCGATGTATAGCTAGTAGCCAATGCGTCTTCGATGGTCTGGAAGTTCTTCAAAGACTTGGACATTTTTGATCCAGAAATGGAGAGATGGCCCATGTGAAGGAAGTACCTCACCCAGGTGTGCTCGCCTTTGCCGTGTTCGCAGAAGTAAGCCTCGCTCTGTGCCAGCTCATTGTCGTGATGAGGGAAAGCAAGATCAATGCCACCAGAGTGAATGTCCATCTGTGAGCCCAGGATATCAGACGCCATCACGGAGCACTCAATGTGCCAGCCCGGTCTGCCATCACCCCATTTGCTGGGCCAGAATGGCTCTCCAGCCTTGGACTTTTTCCAGAGAGCAAAATCGCCTGCGCCCTTTTTGCCTCCCAGATTCTTGGACAGAGACCCCTCTCCCTCCTCTTGAAGAGCTTTATCATTCTTGCTTTCCGGTCGTAGTCGCGCATAAGAGTTGCCAGCCTTCTCAAAAGCACCAATGTCGAAGTAGACTGATCCCTCAGACTCATATGCAAATCCCTTGTCCACAATCGTCTCGACAAACTTTGCAATCTGTGGGACATATTCGGTCACTCGTGTAATATGATCCGGCCTGAGGACATTGAGCGCATCCATGTCAGCCATGAATAGGTCCTCCATGCTCTTCGTCAGGTCTGTGAACATGGTCTGGTCCCTTGTATCAACGGTTTCCTTGTAGAGAGAGTCGAGGTAAGGGAGGAAGATCTCGTCAGCTCCGGGGAAGATGGAGCCAGTCTTGAGAGCATTCGCCGCCGCATCCATGTTGCTGATGTGCATCTTGATCTTAGCTTCGGCATCGCTTGCCTTTCCTTCACCAGTTAAGGTGCCTCCAGCAAGGACCTTGCCGTATGCTGCGTCTCGTTGAGCAGTGTAAGTCGTCTCGTCCAAGTCGTTTCCATTCTCCACCAGCAATGGCAAGCTGCTAGCTGCATAAGCTTTGAAGGCCGTACGTGTCAGCTTTGCGAGCTCTTCCTGGGAGTAGCTCTTGTTCTTTTCGATCTCGAGCAATCGCTGTCGTCGAGCCTTGATGATGATCTGCCAGATGGTAAGCTTTGCGCAAGGCATTTATACTCCAAAGTCGTTTCTTCGCACCTTGTCGTCAATATCTGTAATGTTCATGACAAAGTTAAGCTTGAAGCCAAAGTAATGCGTCAGAATGCGCCGAATGATATCGGTAGACACATAGTTGCGCGCATGTCCCAGATGGCTCTTGTCGTACACAGTCGGACCGCAGGCGTACCAGGACACCTCGCCCGATCTGATTGGCACAAAAGGCACCGGCACACCGGGCTTCAGCGAGTTATGGAGCTTGAGCGACTCCATGGCAGAGAACGAGTATCTTCGATAGACGTGGCTTTTTGCGACGGCGCAGAATTGGAGTCGAGGTCGAGGTTGAGGTCGATATCGGGACACGACGCGGAGGAGATTCATTCAGAGTGGCCACAAGTCGATTTAAAAAGAGCGCAGGGAATACGAGGGTATCACCGAGGCGACAAGGTGAGTCAGACCCAAGCATGCAGTATGCACTCGAAGGTTTGGAGATGCAGTAGTCGTTGCAGTGACTCTTCAAGTCTCACAGACCCTTGCAGAAATGCCCCTCCCTCGTCTCGAAGAATAGAGCATCAATAGCATTATTTTTTAGCGTGCTTGGTGCCCTGAGCCCGCTAAGCCCCTCACTATAATCGCCCCTAGCCAGGTGATTTGCAGCTTTCAGCCGCGAAAAGGGCGGGGCACGGCGCTGTTCCGCTGCGGAAATCCAACTGCCGCCAGCCATCACAAGTGCTTGCTCGCGTGGAATTTTTTTTTCTTGATAAGAGGATAAGCGGTTGGCTGGTTTACACTGCGCCGACAAGCTTCGCTTCCGCCAAACCAGTTCGCGATTCTTCCCGTGGCTTTCAATTCAACAAATACGACTTAATCATGACAAAACCGTCGACTTTTCTAGTGCCCGGCGAGAAAACGTCTGCCGGGACACTCGCCATTATCAGCTTATCGCGCGACAACTTTCTGCCACTGACTTTGGAGAAGTCGACCGGCGCAGTCGATGGATACCTCGAGGGTGCAACATTGAATACACGCTTCGGCTCCTATCCTCACTCAACACTGCTTGATGTGCCCTGGGGATCCCAAGTCAGGGCGTCAGAGGTCGACACGGGCTCCCGAGGCAAGAAGCGGAGAAGAGATGCTACAGACGAAGACACACCGATAGCCAGCCAAGACGACGACGAAGACTCCGCCGCTGCCAATGCGCCGGTCAAGAAGGCTGTTACAGCGCCAAGCGGCTTCATCTATATCTTACGGCCTACCCCCGAGCTCTGGACGACTAGCTTACCGCATAGAACACAAGTTGTATACACACCCGATTACAGCTATATCCTCCACAGGATACGAGCTCGACCTGGAACCAGGATTATTGAGGCCGGAGCTGGAAGTGGAAGTTTCACTCACGCATCTGTGAGAGCGGTTTACAATGGATATCCGCGAGACGCGGCCGATACGAAAGGAAAGGTTTTCAGTTTCGAGTTTAACGAATCGCGATATCACAAGATGCAAGCGGAAATTGGAGAGCATGGGCTCGACGGCCTTGTCCAACTTACACATCGCAATGTATACAACGACGGCTTTCTTGTCGATGGCAAATCACCAAAGGCAACTGCCGTGTTCCTAGATGTGCCTGCGCCCTGGGAAGCGGTACATCATCTTTCAAGGAGAAAAGTGAAGAAGGGGGGCGAAGAAGCTGAAGAGGACAGCAATTGGGTATCGCCGCTGGATCCTAAGCAGAGTGTGCACATCTGCACCTTTTCACCATGCATTGAGCAAGTTGATCGAACAGTCACAGAGTTGAGAACACTGGGCTGGGTTGACGTGGATATGGTGGAGATTTCGAACCAGAAGATCAACATATCAAGAGAGCGCGTTGGCGTAAACTTTCCTTCAGAGAGAGGATTCAATTCTTCTCCTGCAGACGTTGCAGAGGCCATCACAAAGCTCAAGAACCTCGCTGAGAGGAATAACGAGACAAATAGAGTCCGGGCCTTACAATTAGGAACTGAAGGGCTTGATAGCGAAATGGATGTCGATTCCACCCCTAGTCGCGATAACCGGCCTTTGAATGGCTCAGACGGAGCCGCTGGTGATACGGAGAGGCTATTCATGCAGGGGCGACTTGTTCACAGACCAGAAGGCGATCTCAAGACCCATACGTCGTACCTGGTTTTTGCCGTTCTGCCATGTGAATGGACCGAAGAAGATGAGGCCGCGGCTATGGCTAAATGGCCCTGCGGAAACGAGAAGAAGACGATTGGAAACCTGGACAAGCAGGCACGGAAGGAGGAGAAGAGGAAGATGCTCGAAGGAAAGGCCAAGTCTAAGAAGCAGAAAAAGGCGAATGATACCCGGACTTCGCAAGTTGTGGTGTCTGCCACGGCGACGCCAACTGACACTGCGTAATTTTGAGCTTAATTAGCTATAATCTTGAATAAAATGGTTCCATGGCGTTATGAGCGCTACAGTCTGTATTAATGATTAAATTTTTGACCCTGATTAAGTGTTGTACTCTTGTAATGATCTCATCTCATATCTCGAGTTGATGCACTTATACGCGGAGTTTCTTCGGCAAACTAGGTAGCTCTACCTGCGCAAGAGTGGCTGCGCTGCCCCGGAAAGCGGATAAACGATTGGCCATCACAAGCAACCTCCAACCTCACCAGCCCGCTATCGTAGGCTGCTAGGTCCTCGAAAGGTCAATTTTCCAACCAGAGCTTCTGATCGCGACATTCTCTTGCGCGCCGCAGCAGTTTTTCACAATGACTTCCACCATTGGCATTCCGATCAAGCTCCTCAATGAGGCTCAGGTGCGTTTTCAGCTTCCAGAGATTTCTTACTCCCTTAGCTTGTCCATTGGATTGGAGGTGCTAATGGATAACTGCTGTAGGGTCACATCATCACCCTCGAGATCACATCGGGGCAGACCTACCGCGGAAAGCTCCTTGAAGGTAATGAACCCCCCCCCAGAATCATCTAACGCAGGATCATCAAAGCAAACCATAAGAATTGGCCTGATGCGAAACTGAAAACTAACAATCGCCTAAACTGCAGCCGAGGACAACATGAACGTCCAGCTCAAGGACATCACCGTCACCGCCCGCGACGGCCGCGTCTCCCATCTCGACCAGGTCTACATCCGAGGATCTCACGTCCGCTTCTTCATTGTCCCCGACATGCTTCGAAACGCGCCCATGTTCCGCAGCCGCAACGTACGCGGTCGGGGTGTTGGTCTGGCCAGAGGTCGTGCAACAGTCAGCCGTGCTCGTGCCAGCGGTGGCCGTGGCCGGTAGAAGAAAAAAAAAAAAAAGCCTAATCACTTTAAGAGGAGGCAATGGGAGGGAGATAAACATGGGCTTGGCGTTCAGGATTCACGGGGATTTTTTTTCAATCGTGCTGTTTTCTATATGGAGAGAGAAGAAGAAAAAGAAAGATATATGGCTATTTGGCGTGTGTGTGTATGTGTGCTGAGAGCGACAAGAGATACCATGGCAAATTGGGTAGTTGGATTGGCAAATCTGGAAATGTAAAGGAGAAAAAGGAGGTGTGGGCTGCGCGAAGCTCAAACTCTTGAAATTTTTCATTCTCTAGACTAATAGGCATCTAGATATACATACAAATGTCATCGCACTCTCAATTTTTGCTTTTCCATGCCTACATGCTCATACAAAAGTCTAATTCCCTACCCATAGTCGTACAATATGCCATTATTTCTTCATCTATTTTAGCCGTGCCAGCGCGTCTTCCGCCTGAGCTACCAGTTCACCAGCCTGTTCTAGCTCCTTGATTCTCTGAGCTGAGAGCTTGTTTTGCTGGACCCCATCGAGGACCTCGGCAGCGCTCTCTTCCGCGCCTCTTATAGCCTTGCGGCCTTCTTCGCGGACCTCGCCCTCCCAAAACTCGCGAGCAGTCTCCCACTTCTTCTGCATTCGGCCAAGGCTGTATACGACACCGAGGGCCGCCACAGCGCCGGCTTCAAATATCGTCGATGAGAATGACGAGACGTAAAGCAGAGCGGCCAGACACGAGGTGACGGATGATGTGGCAAGGGATTGAACAACCAATTGCTGAGCAAGCGACTGGAGAGCTGGGACCGTCTCATTCTGGATGTAGCGGCGTGTAAAGGCGATGTGTCCCGGCCACTTGGGAAGACGTGATTGAGGAGTAGTGGGAATTATCGGCTCATTCTTGCCGGAGCCGGTTGCCAGACTCTCAGAAGCGCTTTCACGGGAAGACGTAGGCTGTGGATATTGCCCAGCTTCCCCCAAGAGCTGAGCAATCCGTCCCGTGAGATAGACAAGTTCCTGCTCGGAAGTAGGGAGAAAGCGCTGGCTCAAGATCTCGTTTGTCAACATTGCAACATCATCCACGCGCCAAAACAGCTTCCACCACCCCAACTTTTGCCAGCGCCGCCCGTTGAAAGCCAAGTCAAGCTGTTCTTGCAGCTCTGCGTGTGCCAGCTGAGCCCACTTTGCAAGTCTCTCGTTCATGGCGCGCATTTCGGGGCTGGCCATTGAGGCTGATAACTCGCGAGACACTCTTCTGCTCGTTGATTCGGTCTCGATTGCAGAAAGGGCGCTTTGTAAAACTGACGCGATGAGTCTTCGCACTGCGGGTTTGGTTGCTTCATCGTCGGCGGCCTTGAGACCGGCCTTCAGCCATGCGACTAGCACGTTCAGATTGCTTGCAGACCAATTATGCTCGTACTTCATAGCATTCTGGGGCCCTTGGCGGAATAAACGGACGGCTTCTTCTGCTAAAGCCGTATCGATTACTGTGAAATTGGCTCCCAGTTGTTCCTTTGAGAGCCCCTTCAAATCAACCGCAGCTGTGATGGCGTCGCAGCTATCAAGTATCGGCAGTCCGGTGATTCCAACAGCTCCCGTCAGTCCATCGGCCACCAAAATCGCTTGGTGAACGGGAGCGTTCAAGGGAGCAGTGTGTTTATCAGCCGAATCAACATCAATCATGGGAACCAGAACAGCCTGCTCAAGCGACTGAACTGTAGTTGGACTTGATCCGTTGACAGGCACTTCCGCATCCATCAGAAGGAGCTCCAAGTTCAGCCCATTGAGCTCTGCAGAAGAGACTTCCAAAACGTCTGGCAAGTTGTCATTAGATAGCTCTAAGCGAGTGACATTTCCACGGCTCGGTCCAACTCGAATGATTAACGGCTTGCTGGTGTCATGCTCGTCCAATCTCTTTTCCCATTCCTGCTCATCAACCAAGGGGTCCACAAGGAGTGCTTTTAGAACCTTTCGCGCAGCATCTCTGCCCTCGGAGCCATTGGCAATTCCTAGAACAGCAACCCTAATGGCTTCCTGGCCTGGCGATTGTCGCAATCCTTGAAGCGCCAATTGTAGCCTGGAGAGGTCTACGAGATCCGGGATTTTCGTTTGGAGCTGCACCAAGGTCTGCTCAAGCTCAAATCGGGCATTTGACGAGGCGCGCACCGCTGCCGCTGAAGTTGACTGCCACCTCTGAGATTTCGGCCTCAGTCTTGATCGAATCTTGGCGGCTCGCGGTGCTGGAGAGTGAGAGCAGAAAGGGCATATTGATGAGAGGACGGGCGCCCGCGACCCCGTCAATAGGCGGAGGTGCCCATTCCGCGACACTAGAGATCGTTTGGATGCCATCGCCGCAGCGATGTTCCAGAGTGGCTTGAGATTTCGAAGCTCATGAGCTCAGTGAAGCCATTGTTGAGCTGGATTCGGCAAAGTTGCGGCAAAACTCGGAATCAACTTGTTGAAGCGGGGCCGCTGTGAGCAAGCGCCTCTCAGAAGTACGTCTTATATCGCCGATATCAGGATATGCAGATATACTCTCCTTATTTTGCTGATAATGTTTATCTTGGATATTTCTCAAAGAATGACAATCTTCATATGGTACAGATTCCAATTAAATCGTGTCTGATAGCGTGCAGACCTTCTGTCTGGGTTCTTATATTCCCAACGTACCACTATATGAGAATGAAGAATATAATACACTCTCTAGACTTATATGAAATCTGAAATAATCTCAATCTCAATCATGTGAAAATGAGTCCCAAAGAATACATGTAGACATTTATCCACTGCATGCGCCCATCGTATTTCAATTACAAGACGGCACCAGCACTCAATTCCAGCATGCGCCAACAGGCTCCATCCTTATCGATAAGCCAAACGCCAAAAAATTTGGGCTCTCTCTCTCTCTCTCTAAGCGCTCCGCCAGCAGTGTCCAAAGCCCGAAGATATACATCCAATATCCAAAAAACCTCTTCTTCTTCACCACATCAATTTCAAACTCCATTCCTCACAGCACAGAAAATGGGTCGCGAACTCCAAAAGAGAAAGCGCCGCTCCGGCCGCGCCCCCGTCCGCCAATCCAACACCACAAAGAAGATTCTCAATCCTCGTGGCAACTCCGTCATTGCTAAGAACTGGTACGGCGAAAGAACAAAAAGAAAAAACTCCATTTCTGCGCAAAACTAACTCCTCAATATAGGGACAAGAAAGAAACATTAGCACAAAACTACCGCCGCCTAGGCCTCCTCGCCCGCTTAAAAACACCCACCGGCGGCACCGAAAAGCTCCTCAAAAAATCATCCTCAAAAGACCAAGTCGCAACCGCCGCTGCCGCTGCTAAATCAGACCCCTTTGCCATCTCATCCATTACCGAACTGGGCGCCCTCTCCGAAGCAAAAGTCGAGCGCGACTCCGAGGGCAACATTGTCCGCGTAATCAGCCGCAAAGCCAACCCGCTAAACGACCCGCTCAACGAGGTTGATACAGACTCCGAGGCTGAAGACGAGTACGCCAATGCCGAAGAATGGGGCGGCATCAATGACGACGGAGTTGGCACGACGGATGTGGTCAAGTCGCTCATCGAAGAGGCCAAGAACCCGGCCGCGCCCAAGATCAGATACCAGAGCGAAGGCGAGAGGGAGTGGCTGGAGAAGCTGGTGGCCAAGCATGGGGACGACACGAGGGCGATGGCGAGGGATCCAAAACTCAACCCGATGCAGCAGACGGCGTCTGATATTGCGAAGCGACTTAAGAAGCTCAAGGCTTGAGCGTGGGGAGAAAATGGTGCGAGTGACTAATTACATGCATGTGGTTTCCTCTTCTTTATAGTGCAAATTGGGGTCATAGAGACGGCTGCATTTTTAAAATCACGGCGTTTAGGAGGGCAAACTGTTTGAATATCAAAGACGCAAGCACAGCTTTTATCAGTGTCGAGATAGAATCGCATTGCTATGGTCTTAATCTATCTTCTTTATTCTTGTTTAAATAAGGAATGAATCAGGAGCAGTGGAAAAGAAATAGAAAAATCCATCAAGCCGCATTCCGTGTGCTAAAAAGAGTCCGGCCATTCTATATACACCTGGTATCTCATCAACGTTCATCATGTTGTTAGATGCTCACACAAAGAAATAAAAAATCGGGATGCCGTCAACGCCGTAGATATAAATCTACCCAAGCAAACATAAGCATCCAGGCCACCAAGAGATCCCCCCAAGGTTTATGTTATTTAATTGTCCAAATCATTGATAGTGCCCGCTACCATCATCATATCTTTGTCTTTGTGTGTGTGTGCTTGCATCATATGCTTTCGCTCAATCTCCCTTCCCCTTTCAAGTCTCTATCCGGTCGTAGTGACCAGTGGGGAACTGCACCGGGCCATCAGCATAAGTGTCCGCATGGTTGCCGCTGTAAGGGCCAGGCGACGGTGTCTTGTGGGCGCTAATATCAGTACCGAGAGCGCTTCCATGGTATTCAGTTTCACTGTCGAAAAGAGGGGTGCTGTTGGTTCGTGGCGGCAGAGCACCGTAGCGGCTTGGGTCGTCAAAGTCATCGGGGTTGTAAGGGGTGTTGTCGCCGTAGCGGCTGTTCATGCTTGTGGTGTGGTCGTCGTAAGAGCTCGGAGCATCGTGGTCGTCCATGTTGACTCGCTCGTAAGCCTCTTCATCATGGGGCGCCATGGAGAATGCAGCCTTATCGGGATCAATGTTCTCGCTGCCGCTGATTTTGCGACTATCATAGCCTGGTAAAGTGCCATGGAAGTTGTAGTACTGCAGGGTGTATGCACTAAGGAATGTAGTGCCTATCCATAGAAGACTATGAAACACATGTTGAGTTAGTTTGCTGCTATCAACACCAGCAAGGAGACTACGTATCGAGAAGTATACATACGTAACAAAGACGCCGACGGCAACAATGGCCTTGCTAATGCCACAGCTGCCACCGCAAGCGCCAGAGCTGTTGTACGCGGCCTGGGTCGAGAAGGCAGAGATCCAGATGATGATGAAGAGGCCATCGACAGCAAGCATAATATACGGGTTGGCGAATCTGCGAGTGCGGCCGAATCGAGGAGTCATGACAAGGTAAATCCAAGCTGGGATGGAAATGAAGCACTAGAAACAACAAAGCGTCAGCCAAAACCCATAAGCTCATGGTTGTTTCACAAGCCCCCCTCAGCTCTCCGGGACACAAAGCTTACCACTGCGAAAGTCCATCCATTTGTTCCCAGAATCCTGGAGGTGTCGCCGCGGAAAACGGCAATCTCCAGACACCACGCCAGAAAGGCCAAGATGATCTGGAACGAATGGACACTCAGCTTCAGATTCGGTAGAATCTGGGGGTCAATCTCGAAGAGCGCCATGGCGGCGGCAGCCAACTAGCGTTAGGAGAGAGAAGTCGTTGACGGTGGAGGGGCTAGGTAGGGTATTCAAAGAAACGAGGAAGAGCGGTGGTGATGCTCCAGACGAAGCTTTTGCAAAAAAAGGCAAATACCGTATGTGTCAGAAGTAAGAAAAGGAAGATGTCGCAGCTTCGGTTTTCTAGCTGCCTGCCAAGGGACCTGTGGAATGGGCAAAAGGTTGTTCGTTTCGAGCGTCGAGTTTGAAGCTAAGAGGAAACTGAGGCTGGGGCTCCGTTTTTTGGGCTGTCAGCGGGTTACCTAGGGCCGTAAGCTGAGACTTGTGCGAGTCTGGGCCTGATTCGTCGACCGCCTTTAAACAAAGAGACCTTTATGCGCGGGTATGCGAGACAAAAAAACGGGAAGTAGGAAAGAAAGAAGAAGAGAAAACGAAAAGTAGGGGGAGAGAGGGGCGGGAGCAAAACAAATACAAGCACTAAAATAAGTCTCGCAATCAGGACGCAGAATCGTCAAAATACTGTTATTGTCAGGTTGTTTACGGCAAGGCGAACAGAGCAGCAAGCGCCGGGTTCCGGGCAGCAGACGCTGGTGGATGGAGGGGCGCCCGGCACTGGACGGGAGCCACGCGTTGCGCTCATGGCAACCAGCCCGGGTCCAAGCCACAGCCACAGCCCATGGGCCATGGATGGATTGTTGGCTTATTCTGCTTAGCGGGCGCGGGTAGGCGTTATTCAAGGCGCTGCGCCACCTTTCGGCCCGCCGAGACTTTTTACCGGGGCCAATGCCTGGGCTGCAAAACCGGGCAGCTGAAGAGGATCGATGACAGATACAGAGCATTACGTAGGTATTGCTGTAGAGCGCGATACTGTACAGTGAATTATGGAGCTGGAAGCGGTTGTTGAACGATGATTTTGTCGACGTGCTTGATTTGGAAGAGACGGTTGTTTAATGAAGTCAGGTGAATACGGAGGCGCACTTCGTATTATTGTCACCGCGTCAAGGGATGGCTGATTCACTTTTATTGCTGCCCATTTATCGACCCGATTTCGCTAAAGTAAAAGAGAATCCAGGAGAATCAAATTGAAAGCACACAAGATGCGATGGCGGGAAAAATGCCTGCTGCGGGTCTCGGCAGCATGTCCCGGAGCCCGGTAAATGGATCAATGTTTTGTCACTGATTGATGTTAGCTACAAACATTTAGACTGCGAGTGTCTTACATCAACACCAAAAATAACTGCATCCTGCAGGGGCATAGGCGTTGGTCATTAAGCACGAGCCGGTCATTAGCACTTCGCATGGAACACCTTTTCGAGATTTGGTCTGATGCGATACATTGTCCCTTCTTCTTCTTCTCTTAATACTATTTAATACCTTGTTGTCCGTACTGCTAATACTTGCACTCTGTTTCAATATTAGCATCCTATTCCGGTAGGTACCGGGTTTGCGGTTGATACGAAACACGAATTGCAACGCCGAGGTCTCCTCCATCCAGCACTCAGGCAAAATTGTCTCGTCCTTGGATGGCCCAGCCTTACATCTCGAAAGTCCCAAAACGTATTATTATCCTGCCCCCTTTTTTTCCCGTCGCTTCTTCATTACATGTCTTCATCTCATTCCGGCGGCGTTGTCATGTCTGTCATAGACTCCTTTTTTATCCAGCCTTCGGCCTCCAGCTGCTCCCGAACAAGCTTCATTGTCTCCGTCTCGAGACAAAGCCAAGCTAACTGCCGAGTCTGGCAATGTGCGGTATTCGACGCTTTGAAGTGCGATAGTAGAATAATCTTGCCTTCCTCCAAATCGTCCGCGCATGGCAAAATCCGTATGAACTGACGCGTATCAGTAAATGGAATGCCCGTAGTCTTGCAGCCGCTCCGATAAAAGTCGGTCCAGTCCTCAAACGTCGTCCCAGTTCTGCTCCGGTCGAGGCGTCGTTCATACGCCGCCAAGTCTTCTTCTATGCCCATCGTCTGTTTCTTGTCCATCACGTGCAGTACATATGCTTCGTTCACTTTGTCTATTGCGCGGCGGATTTCTTTGGCCGCCTGGGAAATCCACCTGATGCCGTACCCGCAACCAGAGATGTATTTTTGATAGTAGCTGTTTCTGTAAGGAGCGGCAGTAGTGGCCAGGTCGGCGACACCCAAGACCGAGGCCGTGGCTTCAGTAGGCATCGTGATGTTTCCAAATAACGACCCGCATCTGCGTTTGGGTGGCATGGACCCCCCTGGCACCGAAATATTCATTCTTACTCGATCAGGCGGCTGTACCTTGCCTAACAAGCGCCGAGCGTTGGTGATGGCAGCCCATAGAATGGCAGCCATGACGTCGTTGTCTTTGACGGCGTCGAGTGAATTATTGCCGCAGTGGAAGTGATACTTGCGAAGATTCCGAATAAAGGCTAGAACTGCATGCAGCTGGAACTCAATGACCCGACTGACCAGCTGGTTGCTTGTCGTGCGCAGGGCTGTGGATTCCTTGCTTCGCTGATAAAATAAGAACAGATCTGGGGAATCCATGATACAATTCAGCTTCAATCGAGCACTATAATATTGTGTACTGTGTCCGCTCCCAAAAGGCCAGCTTGGGTCGACCATTGAGGAAAGAAAAAGTTCGATCAACGTGTTATCAAAAATAACTTCGTAAAAAGAAAATCCAAGAATCAGCAGATTCTCGAAAAATGCAATTTTCAATGACACCGGTGGTACACCGGCTTCTGGGATCCGGTCTGCCGGAAAGAAAATTCCACCCAAGTTCTCGTTTATGTCCTCCAAGACTAATTCATCGCTCAACGTATATTCGATATCGATGAGGTCACCTCGCTGCCTTGCGGGCACGCTTGGCATCGAAACCAGGGCAGTGAGTCGTCCGTCGTTTTCTCTCCAGGTTACGCTGCCACCCAGTATTGGGCACAGTGCTACGGCCTTGGAAAATGTTCGTTCGAGATACTCTTGAATCGATAGCATCCGCTTCTGTCTGAGCTCTCCTGCTGAACCCTCTAATGGAATGACAACGGCAACACGTTTGAACCTCCTGACATTTTCGGCCTCGATAGGGTTCGGCTCAAAAATGATGGTGGAAATATCGGCAGGATAGATTTCCAACTCCATGGAAGCAATAATAACAGGACCTATGATAGATTTATGTTTGTTTCAAATTGAATATTGCTGCACATATGCAAAACTAAAAGGAAGAAGAAAAAACGCGTTAAAACAAGCCTTACGTCTTCATATGCTACCTGTGAAGAGGAAGGGGCCTTTCTCTACAGATCACGAATATTGATGCAAGAGCTTCCTATAGTTTGATCAAAATTAAATCTTCAGCATCTACTTCTGCTAATGTATCTATTCTCGCTAGTTTTAGTACCTGGTTAAAGTAAACTGCACCTTTTATATCCTTGATAACGCCTCCCTTTTTTGGTAAGGATCCATATACCCAAGCGCTTTCACTGCAATCGCCGTGCGTGATGCTCCAATTTTAAATAACCATTGCAATAAAAAGAATATGAGAGTCATAAGTCATGGCCGGCTGGCAATTAAATGTCTTTTACTTTCTTTTGTGGATGATGGTCGATTTTTATCGCCTGGAAATCGTCTCATGGAGCACGTGCTGCCTCATGAGTGAGACACAAACGAAGGCGCCAATGGACAAGCAGAGCATGGCCAGCCAGACGCTCTTGAATGCCTCCATGAATGAGCTCATCACTCCATCCTGCCATCCCTCGGGCAGATGTTTCAAGAAATTGAGATCGTCACGGATGTGTTGAATGATTTCGCCAGCATGCGGCTCGTCGCCAAATCGCTGCCAGAGGCGAGAGCTGAGGATGTTTTGATAGATGGCAGAACCAACTGTTATGCCAATTGTACCGCCTAGGCTGCGGGCAAGGTCTGATCAAATTAGCACACGTCCTGCCCCTCAACTGGATATGGGTGAAAAATAACTTACAGGTTGCTGATGTGATGACAGCCTGCTGTGAGTGATCAACAGCCGCAATGCACGCCAGCAGAGTCGTCGTCAGCATGGCGCCGTAGCCCCCACCCGTAAAGAAGAAGGCAATCATGGTCACCCATCCTGGAGTAGATTCGTCCTGCGTATTGAACATGCCGACTCCCAAAATAATCATCACCAAGCTGCCGATTCCCAGCTCGACATATCTGCCAGTCTTCTTCATAAAGTAGCCGGCTACCAAAGATCCGACAGAAATACCGACAGGTGAAGGCAGCATCTTTAGACCCGCACCCGTTGAAGAATCGCCACGAACCTGGAGATAGAGTGGGATGTAAAAGATGCCCTGCATGGTTACCATTGTGGAGAGAAAGTTGCACATGCAGGCCGAAAGTACTGTGCGGTCAAGGAGAAGCCTAACCGGAATGATGGGCTGCGTTGCTCTGCTTTCCCACCACAAGAAACCAGCAAATGCAGCAAAGGAGAGCGGAATGGTCGTAAGAGGCAGAGGGTGAGTCCATGGGACGATGTTTCCACCTGCGTTGACACCCAGAAGCAGAAGAACGAGGAAAGAGACGGTAAAGAAGACACCGCCAAAGTCGATACGTGCAAGGTACGACTTTTCCGATTGCTTTGGTGGTACTCTGACGAGAATGGCTACGGCCACGGCGGAGAGGATTGCTGGAGGGACCTGGACGAGGAAGGCCAGTCTCCAGCCCAGTTTGGTGTGATCGTTCATCAGCCCGCCAAAGATACCTCCCATCATGGCTCCGGATCCATAGCAGATGTTACCAATGCCCTGGGCGATGCCGCGGTTGCGCAGAGGGATCAAATCGGATCCCAAGAAGGTCGAGATGCTCATCAAGCCGCCGCCGCCAATGCCTGCAATGACACGGCCGAGAATCATGACGCTGGAGCTCTGAGCCAGGCCGCAGATGAGGTTTCCAGCCGCGAAGAAGATGTTGCTGAAAACCAGGCCGGGGCCACGGCCAAAGATATCCGTCAAGCGGCCGGAGATGGGCTGGCACGCAGCATTGGAGATGAGGTAGGCAGTCGCCAGCCATGACAGCAGACTGAGCGATTGAAATTCACTGGAGATGGGTGCTGAAAGCGTCGCGATAATTGTCGAATCGATCGCTCCGAGAAACACGCCCAGATAGGCGGTTCCCATGATGAGGCACAGCTTGGAGAAGGACACCTTCTCGGCAATCACCGTCGTCTCGCCTTGGTCGTCGCTATCATCGCTGTAGCTGCTGTAGTCGCTCTCGCCGCCATAGCCACTATCGTCACCCGCCAGCAGCTGCTCCGCATCGCCATCATTGCGCGGATGGCGCTTCGGCTTCGCTGCGACTGCAACCGCCCCATTGCCGCTTCTGGGAGACACAGCGTCGTAGTCAGATCCGTTGGATCTCAGCAGCGGCGTGCGCTCCGAAGCCGCGACGGCCGGGCGGCCTTTGCGAGACTCGCTTTGCTTTGCAGTCATTGTCAAGTCTCAAGTATCAAATCTCAACAACTTGGCAACTGTGACACATGCGAGGGAAAAAGAGCAGAAGGGCGACGGCGCAAGTCCACTTTTGTATGCGATCTGAGCAGCTCTCTGTACGGTATAGCCGTGGAAGTCTTTTTTTTTTTTTTTTCTGTTTGCACCCCGGACGCAGCTTGATCCTCCTGCAGCAATGGTGGGCTGAGAAGTGGGAATCGTGTGGTTGACGAGTATCAGCTTAGTGAGACGGGATGGTGGCGGGGAAAGGGCAAGATATTGCATCCTGGTCTCGATGTCCCATTACTCATAGAATCCTGGATTTTCAAGTGGCCGCTGTCGCTGGGGACATTGGCTACTGCATCAAAAGCCAGGCACTTATAGCGTCTGGTAAGTGCGCCTACATGCGCTAACTGCGCTATATCCATGATGCTATGGCGACATCCTCTCTATAACTTGGCGAGCTGTTCATTACATCGTGATGGAGAGAAGCACTCTTCCCATTACCACAGCATTGAGCTGAGCATGCGCTGTCCTTACTCATACGCCTGTACATGTATGCTGTATGCTGTATGCTGTCAAGCTGTACCTATGCAGTGATCGTACCATCCATACAGGGATTCTTAACTACATGCATGCATGTACATGAACATTTCGCTTCTCATCATACCGAATACGCCTTGCTCGGCTTAGCAAATGCGGGCTCCTGAGTGGCTGCAGATTGCTGACTTAGCCGCTACGCATCATGGCTAGCGGGAATGATGTGCTGTGGCTCAAGCGTTATAGCGCTGGATGGCTTGATGGCGCCCCAGAACTGATCCTGGAATCTAAGATCTGGGCTTCAAAACTTCCGTGTCCGCGGCTCCAGGCCCCCCAGGCCAAAAACAAGAAAAAATTCCCGGTATTGAAACATACTGGGGCAGTTACTATCGGCAGTTGACGGGGTCAGTGCTTACTTACAAGGAGCATCAACATGTAGCTTGTAGTATTATACAAGGGCAAGAAGCGGAATTTCGGGCCGCACTGCCAATGCCGAAGGAGAGCATTGATAAGCGGTGCATGGTTGATGATACCACTCTTCCAGGTACGTTGTATATCAGTAAGCGCTAGTCCTTGAGATCGTAATGGAAACCGTTTTTGTTTTTCGATCCTTTGATAGACATGGCAAGTGGTACGATGACCTAAAATAAGTGGAATTCAAGAAATGATGTATCCGGACTGTATGTTAGTTGGAAGAAGAAGATGATATTGGCGGCAGAATGTATCATAGTATACATGTAGACATAAGGACTATATGTATACTAGGTATTTATTATACTACCGGTATAGGGGATGCTTGCTTGGTGAGACGATACAGTCTCATTTGATGACTTGTTGCTTGTCCACCGCCTGCATGGGCAAGGTTGATTGGGTCTGGAAGCGTAAGCCGACGATCCTGCACTCGAGCTGCATAATATATGGGAAATCTCTTTCTGGCACATAGATAGGATGCAGGTGCATATGCAGACCCTTGTAGAGACCGTTGCCCGGACTTGAGGTGCTGTCCGATATGTAATGGATTGGCGACTAGATAAGAAAGCGAATAGACAAAAACTGGAGTAGTGATAAAATAGGCTGTAATGAATTGCTGATATAGCCGGTGCTTCAGCTGCTGCTGTAAATGATGCTTGAGTGGGATTGAACAAGTCATATTTGGTTCGAGCTTCTCGTGTTTTCGTATTGTCGTATTCGATCTTAGCCTGACACTTCATTACTCCAGTTAGTATCTTTGCACGAACACTTCTGACAAAGCAGGTATCACTGGTGTATACAATTTTGTAGACTTTTTATCCATTTACGAGATGCTTTTTTCCAAGCTTATTCCAGTCTTAGCTTGCGGATGGACGGGACGGGGCGGTTTTGCACAGCCCCACTGCGGACATAGCCGCTCAAGCCATCAGTAGATTTGCCACTAGGAACCCATCATGTCTAATCTTTTCATGATCGTTGGGACGATACCCGTTTCTCACATAATCTTGGGGATGCAAGGTACATGTATCTAAAGAATGGGGGAGAAGAGACCTTGTGTATGGTATCAATGGAATTTTAAAACACGGCGGGTGTGAGAGTATAGAAGGAATCTGGGGAACAATCAATTACCTACCCTGTCTGTGAGGTGGCCGGGAAGGATGCCAGTAAGATCGTTGCGTGGCGAGAAAAGGGAGCAGCCGGCATCTTATTGACTTAAAAGGATGCGAGAACAGATATGTTGTGATTCTGCGAATTTAATTCCACCACCAGTCAGGGAAGTTTATAGAAATAAGTTTGCAGATAGAGTTTTTTATAATGATGCTTGTGAGCACTAAAAGCACGATGGAGAAGAAAACATCGTACATGAAGATCTGCCGGCGCTTCAAGATAAAAATTTGATCACTCCCGCATATTGGGTTAGAAACATGGACTAGGCGATGCCGAACCCGCGTGAACCAGTCAACCGGGGAACTCAAGCGGATCGAAAGAAATTCCAACTGCGTATAAGAGTGAGTAAATCCAGCCATCGAAAGATGAGAAGCTGGCCTGGAATATTCCTTGCCAAAGTCAGGGGTGGCTCGCAGCGACCCTACATACCTTCTTCATATCTCATCACCGTGTTCCGTCTCTATGTACATTGAGCTGAATCAGAAAAGGCCAAAGTGACGACGGCGATGGCCATATATAGTTTCTAAGACAAAAGGATACGTACTGAATGTTTCATGTCCTCTAGATTATAAGAAATGATTAGAAGCAGTACCTACCTAGTAGATATGAACCGCTGACAGCCCAGGAGCTTAAATTTCACATGACCAACGTAGAAAATCTCGCGCTGCTCGCATTTCAATAGATATGGAATTTATTACTCCGCAGAAGGAGTCTGAGTTTGTTGAACAGACGATAGTACTGCCTTAGAACATTTAAGCCTGCGCAGCTTCGCCACTTTCATCTTTGTTTTTGCCCTTGAGCGATTTATCAAAGAGAGAACCCTGCAGATCAGATGAATTGTTAGCCAATCCTTCACTTTCGACAACACCTTCTGATCATCATTTAAAGAGAATACAAAATTGAAGATCCTTCGTTCTTGATTGGCGATAAACACTTGCGCGAATTGTTGGCACCAACTTCACGCGTATTTCGGCTATGCTGAGCTAATACTAGCCCTCTCTGGAAGCTGTCGAACTGAAGCTAAACGCCGTTGGTTGAAACTAAGAAACTGCCAGGATCGTGGCTAGCGTAACGGTTTTAGTAGCGCCCTTGCTAAGAAGTCCTTACTTTGGACGTACCTTTGCTCTCCAGTAGGCTAAAGAATTGTGGCAAGAAATATGACTGTAAGGATGCGAGTGCAATACAAAGACAACTACTAGGTAAACAGAGAAGGAAATACTATTCAAGAAAGAACAAATAAATATACAGAGGAGAAAGATCCCATCACAAATCTGAAGCTCATGTCTCATAACTGCTGATTGCTGGCTTGTAGCTCTAATGGTTTTCAACCATGTATATGGAGATCTAGGGCTTGCAGATACTGGTGGGCTGTTCATAACGCGGAGGTGATTTGCATGAATAGGTAGCCAGCCATTGGAAGAAAAAGCTTTGCGCGGCTCTCGCGACAGCCGTGGGTGGGTAAACGGAGTGCTGGAAGTAGAAACTCAAAGTATATCACCTAGAAATCACGGTTATCCTTGACTACACTCCACACATGCGGAGACAGGCACATTTTAGTTTGAAAAGAAAGTGACACTCACGACGGCCAACAGACATATACATACAAACAGACACGGAGGATGTACGGATGCATACCTGCACTCCGAAGGAGCCCCTGAATTCTCCACTCACTGGAGATGTGCAAGTATTCACCTTGGTAGGGTTTGTCGAGTCATTTAGCAAGACTAACGCCAAGATAAAGTCCATTATGGTATAGTCTTGGAGATGATGGGCGATTTTCGTCACGTCTTGCAAACTTTGCGCTCCTTTATTCCAAGAATGGAAATATACATCGCATTATAGCTGGATATCTATATTTGTCATTTCAAGACCTCGCTTCCTAGGCTCCATTATTTGAGCTATCGCACAAATTAGTGCCGGTGCTCAAAGCGATAGTGCTGTGAGTCGAAGGAGAGAATCACCAGCCGAAGGATGAGCAATAGCGGGTGAGGGTTAGACTTAGCGTTGCAAGGAGTAGCACGATACCTGCATAGTAGCTTGAAAGGTATATGTAATAGAAAATGATGATTAAACGGTGTCAATAGTGCTGCCATCTAACTTCTTTCTTATTCCTCTTTTACTCCTCTTTTCGTCAACCCTCTCTCAATTCTCCTCAGATATTCGAAATAATGGCTCCGAAGCAAGATGTGTTCCACCTTCATCCATATGGATGGGAAAACGATCCCGAACGGGAGACTTTTGCCCTATCCACCTTGGATTATCTTTCAGCTATGGCTTACAACAACTATGCGCTCTTTTTCAGAATGGACGATGCAATGAAGCCTCTAGCAGTAGAGATTATGAAAGAGGGACTTGCGCGCACCATCAGCCAAGCGAGGCATCTCTGTTGTACAATCGAGAAAGATACAGATGTCACTAGAACTGGGTATTCCTTTGTTAAGAAAAAGGACAGCACCGTCCGTCTATTTGTGCAGTGGCTCGACGCACCTGAAGACGCCGACAAGTACCCGTCCATGGATGACATTGAAAAGGCAAACTTTAGCGCAGTGCCCCTTGGCGACCTCAAGCTTTGGAGTGTCGAGCCCATGACTTACGGCGAGAAGCCGGAAGCCCATCCGAGTGCTAGCCCCATCGTATCTGCTTTCAAGATGAACTTTGTCAGAGGCGGAATGGTCTTCAACATGCACCATCACCACTACTCCAACGATGCCATGGGCTGGGCTGGCTATACGCGGCAGTTGGCTGAGAACTGCTTCGCCGCTTTCAACAACACCGCCTTTCCTACTTGGGATCCCAAGAATCTGGATCTTTCCCTTCTCGTAAAGAAGGAGCCCAGCGAGGATCAGAAAGTAGACGGGCCCCCTGCACCGGAACGCCATCCGGATCACGTCCAGGGTGTAGCCTTGCTGTTCCATCTGCCTAAAAGCAAGGCGGCCGAGCTGAAGAAGTTAGCCTCTCCCACGGACGGAACATGGATCTCTACCTATGACGCCTTCACAGCCTTTATATGGCGATCTATTACGCGTGTCCGTGCTCCTGTATTTAACCCGGACCCGGCTTCGAAGATCTTCTTTGGCGAAGGGATCGATATGCGACGACGTTTCCGCAATCCCGCCGTTCCTCCACGAATTCGTGGCAATGTGATGTTTGCAGCTCTGTCTACTACAGCCCCAGTCGAGCAGCCAACGGTGGCCGAGCTCATTTCAGAGTGGCCCTTGTCTCGGGTGGCTCAGTACGTCCGACAGATGACCGATAGCGTCACTCAAGAGAGTCTGGATAAGACGCTGGAAATGGTGGCAACTGTTCGCGACAAAACTTCTCTCAACATCCGATCAGACTCCCTGCCGCCCATGTCGACGCTTTTCACAGACCACCGTGACGCTTACATGGCATCGACCGACTTTGGTTTCGCGACGCCTATTACCCATCGCCATCTGACAGATCGCATTACCGAGGGTGTCATTATCGTTTACCCGCCTCGTAAACTAGATCCGGAGTCGGATGAGGGTCTAGAGTTTTCTTTCTTTTATGAGAAGAGGCTGGCGCAGACTTTGATTGAAGATTCCGAATTTGGCAAGTATTTCGAATATAGGGGTGTTGATGCTGAGGATGTCTATGCTGTGGCCTCCAAGTAGTGAGACGCAGTGTGAATAAGAGGCGGATAATTGGTATATATTTTAAGAACAATTATCCAGCAGACAATATAAAATAATTAAAGCTCTTGCTGCTCTTGCTGCTACTACTTCTACTACTTCTACTACTTCTACTACTTCTACTACTTCTACTACTTCTACTACTTCTACTACTTCTACTACTTCTACTACTTCTACTACTTCTACTACTTCTACTACTTCTACTACTTCTACTACTTCTACTACTTCTACTACTTCTACTACTTCTACTACTTCTACTACTTCTACTACTTCTACTACTTCTACTACTTCTACTACTTCTACTACTTCTACTACTTCTACTACTGCTACTACTGCTACTACTGCTACTACTGCTACTACTGCTACTACTGCTACTACTGCTACTACTGCTACCACCGCTACCACCGCTACTACTACTGATTAAGTCTTATATCATAAAAGTAGGATGCTAGACAGCTTTTCCTTACATATTTTCATTCAATAGTAGCTAATAGAAGGTAACCATGAAAATACCTTAGATCGAATTTGCAGATATTATATAAGCCTCATCATCTATTTCCTCAAACCACTCTTCGCTATAGCCATCGAGCTGTTCATCCAAATCTCCCCGCAGCACCGCTCTGTTCACTTCGGCAATCTCAATTTCTTCGGCTTCATCCTCAGCTTCGCCGCTGAAGAAGGCTGTTCTATCCGAAAACAGCTCCCCTTCTTCGCCCGTATTCTTGGAGCGAATCACATGGAGCCGATACGCAAAGACAATGCCGGGAGCCGTTTCATAGCTTTTCTTCTTCTCATGCTTCGAATCGCCGGTGATACTGGCCCCCACCGCGGCAGGTACAGCACCGGTGGGAATAGGAACCGATGCCCCAACAGAAGCTGCCATTTCATTTGCCTTCTCGTTTGTGACTGTGAAGCTTCGCTGTGCCACGCGTAGCCCCGAGATGATGTACACGTATCGCTTGCCGAAACGTCCGCTATCAATGTGCCTTTTCACACCATCGAGAGCCACGATTGCTTTCAGAGTCTCTGGGGTAAAGGCCCCATTGAAAGCACGAATCTCGTGATCCGCGGTGCCGAAAGACTGATTTTTGCTGTTACACAGCGACATGCCCACGTTGGCGTTGGCAATTTCAAGGAACTTGGCAAATAGCTTGGTCCCAAAAGATCGTTTCGTTTCGTTCAAGAAGCTGCGATTCTTCTCAACAATAGATTTGACCTCTGGTAGGTCTATCGTCGGGTAATCGGCGAGAGATGCGAGAGTAATGGTTGGTTGTCGAGGACTGGGAATGATTCTACCAAGCGCAATTTGCCCATCGGGGAGGAAGGTAAAATCGGGACAGAGAAACCAGGATTTACTCGCCATTGCTTAAGACAGTCAAAGATAGCTAGATGGTATGGGCTTGATATGATGGATGAAGAGTGGTATATAATTGAGAAGTATCTGTAGATTTATCTGCGGGGTAGGCCGTAGGCTCCAAAGATTCTCCCCCCCGATGATATACATGTGATAAGTGTTTTCTGCCTGCTAATTGCATACCTGTGTGTATTACACTCCAATCGATATCAATCATCCGATTGGAGGAGGTCTCAACTGCTTATCAGGCTGTGTATAACGACTTACATGATGGGCACCGACATTAACTGGCGGTATTTTACTCATCAAGCTTGTTCCAGAATAACAATTTCAATAACACATAAATTTGATCTATTTGATCTATTTGATCTATTTGATCTATTTGATCTATTTGATCTATTTGATCTATTTGATCTATTTGATCTATTTGATCTATTTGATCTCTTTGATCCAACTCATCTGATTGATCTTAAAGTTCTAATATCTCAAGGCGGATGCGTTTTGACTGTTCTAGGATCTATGATAAACCAAGGTCCGCCAATGCATCGCAGAAAGCCATACATCGGCTCATATCATTTGGCCTGCTTTTCCAGAACCATGCCGGTTTTACAGCATTGAGCCGAGGGTGTTCTGGAACTTGTTGTACTAGCCGATACAGTATCTTCTCCATACCTTTGGTAGTCCGGAGCCGTTGAAAAGCACTGCTTGCCGGCTTCCCTTGAAGCGATACCAGCGAAGGCAAGATAGTGGTATATATCAGCATAGTAGCGCTAATACCCGCCATTATAGCTGTGGCAACTGAGGAGCCAGGTTGGCAAACGTCTGGATATGTAGTTCTAAACTCTTCTCTGATATAGTCCGGAATATCGTCGCCATATGTACCGAGCACAGCAGCACCATTAGTTGTGCTGGCTGAATTTGATGGCAAGAAGGTGCCATGGCGGTTCGTTGCGTAGACAGATATGACGGCATGATGGCGAGCCGGGAAACTTTCGTTATCCGTAGATGAATTCCCAGCGCTAGCGAGGAAGATGACATCTCCCTGGCGCTCCTTCTGCACTGTCTCAATGGCCTCGTGAATTCCTTGATCATCGAATGCGAAACCGAAAGACATGGAGATGATGTCGGCTTTGCCAGTCCGACCCGCCCAAAGGATGGCCTTTCCAATTAGTCTGTAAGCTTCATAACAAATGTAAGATATCTCACGGTTCCACTTACTTCCTTTATATTCTCCCGGTTCTTTTCTAGCATCTTTGTGTTTTCGGCAACACGCACCACCTGGATCTCGGCACCAGGGGCACACACCATAATAAGCCTTACCATCAAGGTCCCATGACCAAAGCTATCTGTCATAGTGGTGGCGCCAGGATTAACAAAATCTTTTCCCATTGCAAATTGCTCTTTTCTCCCCTGAAAGGCGATGAAATCTTCGTCACAGCCGGTATCTAGGATGGCAATTCGAACCTGAGCAGCGACTTTACACGCTCGCCTTTTGCGCTCAACTTGTTCGCTTATTCTCTTTAGGTCTTGAAGCCACATTCTGGAATCGATGGCACTGTGGAATAATGCTCCTGGCTCCGGCTGTGCTATTGGATCAGATACCTCTTCAGGTATTGAAGAGTCTGGCTTCTTTCTGACGTAGGTAATGTCCCCGGCTTGCACTCTAAAGCCTCTTTTAGCTAGCCATGCAAGTGGGCGAACCACGTTCTTATAAAATATCTTCCTCCGCGCAAGGATACCTGCTCGCGAGTCCAGGGCTGTCGTCGGCTCACTGGATAATTTGACACTCCCTCGAAACGGTTTCACTGGCTTTGATGGCGGAATAAAGTTCTCGCTATTAAGACAGAACTTCACAGCCCGGTCAAAGTAGTTCTTATTTGTGAAGCCATCCCAATGTCCCTTTTCTAGTTCAACAAGCTCATCGGTTGCTATTTTGTGATTGAGATTCGCCTGTGCAACCATATCTCGACGTTTCCCACTCCGAAATGGCTTACCGAGGCCAATTTCTAGAAGTAATATGCCTATATCAAAGATTCTTGGGCATCGATGGTTCATAAGGGCCTCAGTTATGATATCTGGCGTTATATTACCGGGGATGTCAAAAGGGAGCGACAAATAGGCGCAGAGAGGCAGCTGTCCTTCATGCTCTATGCTCTCTTTCTCAGGCATGAACCATATTGTATCGCTCGTCCATTTGATCCGTAACAATTCTGAGTCGTAGTACTGCCAGTATGATCGTGCCAAGGCATAAGAAAGCATCACTTTGTCTTTTGGTGTAAGGTCGTAATGGCGTAGGATACTTTTAAGAGATTGTCCCGGTCCAGCCTGAAGAAACTGCTTTAAAACTTGCGATTCATTAAGTAACGAAAGATTGGTGTCATAATTGAAGGAGAGGAAGAGACGGGCGGTGATCTCTCTTTCTAGGATGCGGCAGAAGCCCCCTCGACCGAGCAGCTCCTGACCATCATCCGAGGAGCTCTTTGGTTGACTAAATCCTCTAGAGTTAGCGAGAACAAGCCAAATAAACGATTGTTAAGTTTTGGATGATATGAGTAATTGGCTAACCACTAGGGAGCAACTTTACGATTAAAGGAGAAGGAAAGAGATAACGCCTCGATAGGACCATCTGATATGATGAATGCCCCACTCTTAACAATGACTGTAACTGTAGTGCCATGTAAGACATATAAATACCTACATCTTTAAACAAAATTCTTGCCAAAGAGCCATATCTATGGCTGAAATAAGGACCAAAATGTTGTATGAAGTCGAGTCTGGAAGATCGTGTAGGCACAGCCGTGCTGGATGCCGTATTGCTTGTGATTCTAATTCGCTGGGTGATATAGTGCTACTGAATTCGTGAGACGCTGGTTCGCATTGGGTAATGTGTTGGAGAGCCTTGAAGATTGTATCATTGTCGTCGTCAGAAATAAATGGGATATCAAGGTGCTGCTGCGCATATTCGGATAATTCATCTGTATTATTTTCTTCTTTGGTTAACATACCAATGAGGTCATCACATGCGAATTCGAGACCTCTGGCATTTTCTATTCGTGTCTTGAAAAACGCAACGAGACACGTCTCTGGATCTGACTGGTTTTTCTGATTAAACGGAGATTTGAAAAATGGTAAGTTAATATGAAGAGCTGCGCTTGTGGACTCTTTGGCTGGCTGAGTAGTAGCCTGTAGGTCTCGTAGGATTGAATGACAGAGTTGTTCAACGTCAAGTTCTATCCAGTAAGGCGGAAGAGAGTCGAGATAGGTGTTGATTAGATAAAGCCGAACGGCGATATCGTTTGCTACCTTGTAGCCCAAATCAGAGGGCTTTAGGCGTCCCTTAGCCAACACCCCAAATATCGCTTCAGAGAGCTTCGCGGCGTGTGATGACAAGAGAATTGAAATGGGTTCGTCTATCGTCATGGTGAATTAATTATTTCAATGAGAGATTGCACTTTCAAGACGTGGCTAAGTAGCTCTTTTACACATCAAAGGTAGGCCTTTACCCGACAATAATTTGGGATATCTGCTTGATGTTTTGAAGGATCTATTTTTGATAATAATCTGAAATTGGGCTTTTAGGCTATCTATACTTGGGAACGTTAGTGGAACTACCATAGTCTAAGTATTTGTACAGAAGCAATACAGCTGGATGCCCCCCTTCACTTTTCCCATATACTTATTTGTACCTACTAGCATGTAGGTAGACAACGTAGCCTGTCAAACTACGAAGGTACTATATAGGTAGCAATTCGACGCAACTGAAATTGCCTTGATACCCCTGCTAATAGCTCCCTTGCACATACTGTCAGGAGCCCACCGTATCTCGTAGCCAGCGAGAAGAAGGTGCATAACTCCGCAAGACCCCTCACTTAGGTACGATTAATCGATATCTTAGCACAGGTACATGGCGTGCTTTATCCTTCTCACCCACAGTTACCCGTACCTAGGAGCGCAAGTATCCATCCACTAATGTCAACTTTGATACTTGTTGGAATACAGCAATTTTACCTTCCTTTCTGCACCGAGCATTGCAGCAACAGGGCACCTGCTCCTAGGCTCATTATAGGATAGCAGCAGTGCTCTGTATTTACTATTAGTAAGCTGTTTTAGCTATTTTTTAATATACTTATTTATACTTTAGTATTTTTTAGGGTGCTGGATAGCAGAGTTGGGGTGCTGAATAGGTATTCCCTTTATTATAGGCCCGTGCGGTATTTCCTTTGTACCAATACAAGGCTCTTTTGTAACCTCTATCATGTGCTCTATTTGACCAATCCAAGCATTCCAACAATACTCGTGTCATCTTGGTACATATACTCTGGCAGCACGGCATGTCAGTACCTGATATTTGCCCAAGACATCTTCATATTCCTGCTACCTTTGATCTCGTTAGCTTTATACAGAAAATTATCTATAACTCAAGACTACAATCAAGAATGTCGCGTACTTCTGTCTCCATCTTAGCGCTCACAGAGTCTTGCGTTTCTAAATTCGACAACCTTCTTGCATCATATGCTCGGGGCTCACAGCGCATTGAATCGTTGGAAAGTCGGCTAGCTGACTTCAACCTTTGGGCCGACGGTGTTGGCGCCTTAGCAAAGCCTGGGGCCTCGTTGGATTCCAGACTACAAGGTCGTCTCAACGATCTCGCATTGGTGAAGAATGTTCTTATCATGCTGGCCGACTCTCTGGACCATTGCGTGGGCCTCGCTAAAAACGAAACAAACTACGACGAAACAGCCCATCACGAAGCTATCCAAAACCTTGACTCTGCTATCAAGAATTTGGCTTTGATCGGCGTGGCCATTCGTCGAACGGGACAGGCATCACGAAACCGTAGGGCCGACAAGACATTCAATCCGGACAATCACCAAGAGTTGAGAACGCATCTCGAATGTATAATTCGTCTTCGGCCGACAGAAGAAGCGCTCTTTCAGCAGACAGAGAACGGTGGATTTGTCGCCAAATTAGACAACTCTAAACTGTCCGATATCCAGAACCGCCTCGTGGAAGCAAACCTTCGGCGAAGACATAAATTTTTGATAGCGCAGAAACGTTCCAGAGACCAAAGGAACGTGCAGATACGTCCTTCAATTCTTGAAGCTCCATCACCTGCAGGTAGCGTTCTACAGCAAGAGCCTCTTGCGGACATACGGAACGCAGATGCAGCTAAAAATAAAGAATCGACATCATATCCAATTACCAGGGGCCATGAAGCCACAGCACCAACGATTTCAAGATTTTCTCTTGCATCAACAGCTGAGGGAACATTGAGATATACTCCAGCTGCTAGAAAATATACTCCAAGCGTAACGAAAACGCAAATCACATTCATCGCCTCTGATGTCGAGTTCCCAAAAGCCCCTTCTATCCCTTTAGGCCGAGAGATTATGAAATGTCCCTGTTGTTGCCAGTCTCTACCAATTGGAACATTCCAAAATCCTAAACTATGGAAGTAAGTAGTAGGAATCATTACCCTTGTTTAATTTATAAAGGCTGATTTAAATTTTTTGTTGAAGGCAGCATATAGTTGAGGATCTATGCCCATATACTTGTATTGCTGAGAACTGTCCTAGTCCGCAGCTCTTATTTTGTACAAGAAACGAATGGGAGAGCCATGTTAAAAATACTCATCTACCCCGGTGGGAATGTCCATTTTGTGAAGAGCAAAATGAAAATTACTCGACTATGGAGAGCATGGGCTGCCACCTTCAGGATGTCCACGGAGAGGAGCTCCTAGATAACTCGCTTGCAACCCTTCTCTCTTGGTCTGCGGTACAAACAATGGGAATAAAATCCTGTCCTTTATGCTCATCGAGTGGGCCCGAAGACTCGCCGGAATTGGTGGACCACGTTTTGCGACATGCCTATGACTTTGCCCTTCGGGCACTCCCATGGCCACAGCCTGTTGTATACGATTTGAATATGTTACCAGGAGGCTTCACCATTCCCAAAGATTCAGATCCTATGGAAGATGTTCGACATTGGATCAAAGGGGCTGCACACGCGAGCGTGGGACCCCCAGAGATACAATTAAGCGATTACGATGGACAAGATCACTCCGCCCCAGTTCCTACCAGTCTTTTCGAATACAGTGACTATTTCCTCATGAATGCATACTTTGATGACCAATCTGAGGATAGGTCCTCCAAACTACAGTTTAGTCAAAGCAATGCTTCGGCTTATTCCACCCTGTCCGCTCAATCACACATCACGAGCCGTGTTGAGGACTCTGTCGCCTTCTCGGCTGACAGCCGACAGGTGGCATCAGCCTTTGGTGAGAGTGTTATTAGGATCTGGAATATAGATACGGGGCAAATTACAAAAAGACTTAAAGGCCATGACAGTAAAATTTACTTAGTCGCCTTCTCGCCTCACAGTCAACAGCTGGCATCAGCCTCGGTCGATTATAATATCAAGATCTGGGATATAGAAACTGAAGTTTGCGTGCAAACGCTTATAGGCCACAATGGAACTATTAAGTCAATGATTTTCTTGCCAAACTACCAAGAACTAGCATCTGTGGCAGATTATGAGGCACCCAAGATCTGGAATACAAAAACCGGACAGTGTGTACGGACGCTTGAAAGCCAAACTGGTATAGTTACTTCAATGGCCTATTCGCCTAACAGCCAGCAACTAGCATCATCAGGATCATCATTGGATGTTGGAGGAAGAATCTGGACCTGGGATATAACATCAACACTACGGAAACACATGTTTGCAGGCCATAAGGATATAGTCAAGTCGCTTGCCTTCTCACCTACCGGCCAATGGCTAGCGTCAGCGTCATGCGACCGGACTATTATGCTTTGGAATATGAGAACAGGGGAGTGTGAATGGACGGGCAAAGGCCATGATGATCAAATTACTTCAGTTGTCTACTCTCCCGACAGCCAACAGCTAGCATCAGCGTCATTGGATAGCACCATTCGGCTCTGGGATGCGGCGACAGGCGCCTGTCTTGCAACGCTCAATAACCACTACTCTAAGATTAATTCCATCATCTTCTCGCCTGACAGCAAACAACTCTTATCGGCCTCAGACGACAACGCTATTCGGGTCTGGAACATAGCAACAGGCACATGTATCAAGACGTTAATGCTCAAAGATCATGATACCGAGCATATAGAAGGTCATACCTACCATACACATTCAGATTATACGGTCGGATGGGTCTGTGCTTTACCAGAGGAGCAATTAGCGGCGATTTATATGCTTGACCACAGGCACGAGGATCTTCCAAACCCGGGAGACGATGACAATACATACGTCCTTGGAAGTATTAGCGGGCACAACGTTGTTATTGCTTGCCCGCTTATGAGCGGAACTGGTAAAGTTGATGCAAGAACAACTACTCAAATGATGTCTACGTTCCCCATTATCAAGGTCTGTCTAATGGTAGGAACCGGCAGCGGTATTCCTCGAGAAGTGCGATTAGGAGATGTAGTTGTCAGCTGCGCTCAAGATGGGTATCCTGCAGTTCTTCAATGGGATATGGAGAAAGACGAACCATTGGAACGTCCAGGCCGTTCAACTGATCTTCCCAGAGCATTGTTGAGAGCCTTGTCCAAGTTTCAAATTGATCCACGTTCCCTTCAACTAATAAACAGTTATGTCAACGATGTTGAATATCGAGATGCCGTGCCAAGAAATTTTGTCAAATCCTACTTGCCTGAGGATCTGCTTTTCAAGCCAGGCTACAACCACGTTAGCAGGATCCCTGATTCATATGACACGGGAAGTGAAGAGGATGACTGTCAGCTTTGTGACAAATTGATGCTCGTCGACAGGGGACCGAGAAGGCTCAACGTTAAAATTCATTACGGTCTTATTGCATCGAGTAATCGAGACAACAGAAATGTCAACTTTCGCGAGAAACTCAGAGAATTTAGCGAAGATATTCTTGGCGTCGGCATGGAGGCTGCAGATTTAATAAACGCTTTACCCTGTTTCACTATCATGGGTATTTGCGATTACGCAGACTCGCATAAGAATAAGGCATGGCAAGAATATGCTGCAGTTACAGCTGCGGCATGCGCGAAAGCATTTCTTACGGTACTATCAGTGGACGACGTCGATAAAATGGAGGTAATTGAAGGCAAGCAGACTCATAAGATACCAACATCCGCAAATTCTAAACTGACATTTAAAACCAGACATTATCCCACTGGATATTGTGGATAATAGCGCCCAAGAGTACGACACCCGCGAGATGGCTCAGAGTCAGGCCGAGCACGACGAGGCCCACACTGATGGCGTTGATACGAAACTGCACAACGCAGTTCGGAATGGCGAAACAGAGGTGGTCGAATTTCTTCTAAACCATGGGGCCAATATTCAAGCTAGGGACGAGGATGGCGATACACCCCTTCATATTGCAGTTTTCTGCAGGCAAGTGGATGTAGCTAATTTCTTTCTTAGCCATGGAGCTAATATTGAAGCTGAAAATAACAACGGCGAAACACCCCTTCATTATGCAGCTTCCTACGGGGAAGCACCCTTTCATTGTAAAGCTTCCTACAAGCAAGCACCCTTTTATTATACAGCTTTCTACGAGCAAGTGGACGAGCAAGTGGCTATAGCTAAGCTCCTTATTAGCCATGGAGCCAATGTTAAAGCTGAAAATAAAGACGGCGAAACACCCCTTCATAAGGCAGCTTCCTGCGGGCAAGTGGATATAGCTAAGCTCCTTCTTAGCCATGGAGCCAATGTTGAAGCTGAAAATAACAACAATAACACACCCCTTCATAATGCAGCTTCCAACGAGCAAGTGGATGTAGCTAAGCTCCTTCTTAGCCATGGCGCCAATATTCAAGCTAGGGATAAGGAGGGCCATACACCCCTTCATTATGCAGTTTCCTGCAGGCAAGTGGATGTAGCTAATCTGTTTCTTAGCCATGGAGCTAATATTGAAGCTGAAAATGACTACGGCGATACACCCCTTCATAGGGCAGCTTTGTACGGGGAAGTGGATATAGCTAAGCTCCTTCTTAGCCATGGAGCCAATATTCAAGCTGAAAGCAACGAAGGCTATACACCCCTTCATTATACAGCTTTCGACGGGAGAACAGAGGTCTGTCAGTTGCTTCTTGAGCAAGGAGCCAGTATCAACGCTCAAGATGGAGAGGGCGATACACCGCTTCATGTTGCAAGTAGGGAAGGGGAAATAGATCTGGCCAGAATACTTGTCGAACAAGGGGCTGATATGGACACTGAGAATACACATGGCAATACAGCGCTTAGCATTGCCATACGGATGAAGCAAGAGCATATCATTGAATTTCTGCAGGAACATGGCAATGGGTCTTCAGCGGAAGCCAAGGTTTAGATAATATGGAGATTGTTCGTACGCCACATAGCGGTTTCTTATAGTAGATTAGCCAAGATATCTCATATTGTACCTTTCTCATTTTAAACATAACTACAGGGATTTCTCAACGCCCATCGCTTCTCGAATACCCTCCTCAATAGCCGACACTCTAGCCTGTTCCAAGCGCTTAAGAGGCCGGCGAGGGTATCCTCCGTATCCATAATAGCTCTGAATCGCCTGTTTCGTGCCCGCAATAGCAGCCTTTGTCAACGGCCAGTCGCCACGGCTAAGAACCTTTTGTAGCTTCTCAGCCTCCTCCTTCTTGCCCTCGGAATACAGATCCCAGACCTTGACGCACAGCTTGGGCATGACATTGGCACCTCCAGCAATGATGCCGCTGCCGCCGCTGACAAGAGTCTGGAGGGTGAAATCGCACATGCCGCCAAAGGCCATGTATCCTGACCCTTCCTGGAAGGGGGTCTTTGCGTTTGTGCCGAGGGCGACTCGCGTGAGCTTTCCGGTGTTGCCACAGGTGAATTTAGTTCCGGTGATGTTCTTGTGCTCGGCTAGCTTGATCAGCAGGTCGCTGTCCATGTCGACGCCAGACACGGCGCCGGGGTAGTTGTACAGGATGATTGGGATGGGGCTCTCGTCAGCCAGGGCGATGAAGTAGTTGTAGATGCTCTCCTCGTCGGTCTGGGCTCGGTAGTACGAAGGCGGCAGAACCAAAGCAGCTGCGGCACCAGCGTCAGCGGCCAGCTTGCACAGCTCAATGGCGCCTCTGACGCTGCCTTCGGTTGCGCCGAAGAGGACGGGCGTTGACTGGAAGCCGGCGGCGTCGAGGGCTTCTCTTGTGGCCTTGAGGACGGCAATCTTTTCTTCTCTCGTGCAGTGGACGGCCTCGCCGTTGGATCCCATGACGACGAGGCCAGCGAGGCCGGCCTTGGCGAGTCGCTCAGCGTGTTTCTTGATGGTGGGGATGTCGAGGTCTTCGGTGTTGGGGTCGAAGAAGGTCATGGTAGGGGCGTAGATGCCGCATGGCAGCGACTTGGGAGCTGCCATTATGATGTCTGGGTATATGAAGGCACGCAGGATATTGGGGTATATTTCTGGGCGAAGAGAGGACGAGGTATTACTATAGAAAGAGAAGACGAGAAAGGAGGAGCTGTAAGCAATGTTGTCGAGTCTAAATAAGGCAGACCCAATCTTTATAAATACAATTAGGTGCTCATCTATGAATTCTCGGTCAAAGAATAGCCGCTGGTAGCCAGGCAAGCTTGTCTAACAAAACGAGGAAATGCTTGTACATGGAGGGGAAGCCACCGATCAGCTTCCGATATCAAGACCACGGCTTACAGTTAGGCTGACCCCGTCAGCAAATCAATTGGAGCCAGAGCCGAAGACGGCGAGCGAATAGAAGGAATCAGCGACTTGGAGGTCATGGAAGCGGCGGATTGGATATAAAACGGCCCATGATAGTGGATATTGGTGTAAGAGGAATATGTCGCGGCTCGGTTGATGATTCTGGGGAATCGAGGTACAATGGAGGAAAGTGGGATGTTGGGAATAGAGTATTTGATTGGTGGAAATATCGATTTGATGGATTTTCCGCCATTTACATACCGGTAAAAGAACCCCGAGCTAGATCCGCTGTACCTGGTTGAGCTACTCGCATTTCAGCCGTCGGTAGTACGGCAATATAGAAGAAGCTAGGCACATGGCGAAGGAGTCATGTACGTCGGGTTATTGTCGCCGAAGTTTATAGAAGAGGCGTTGCTAGCTTCATTAATATTTCCGTAGATGGAAGCTAATTTGAGCATTGTGTCTGGTTAATTTCTTTGGGATTTTATTCATGACTTTACTCCCTTACATTGCGTATACACATCTTACAATCACGTCTCCAACAGCCAAAATTCCATGGAAGAAGCAACTTGGACAGCTTAGACAGAGCTAAGATGATGATGCGGGGTCATTGGAATTCAGCGCGGGGTAGTGACCTCCGAGACCATTAAACGTGGGATTTACAGTCTTATTCTAGCATCATGATTGCAATTGGCATTACAACTACCAGCTTTCAGTTGAGACACCGAGACAACTCTAGCTGCATGCACCTATAGCCGCATCTATCAGAAACCAGATAGCACCTAAATTACATGCATCTGAGCACATGTGCAGTTTAATGGAAAAGAAACGCAAAAGCCAGGCTGAGGGTCCCTGAATATGCAACTCGGTCTTTATTAATCCCTCCAATTGCTGCCCCGCCAAATGCCCCTCAATTCCTCCGTCTGCGCGCCGTCGACGTTGTTGGAGCTGTAACGCGACTCGGCAAGGCTGTGTAGATGCTTATTCTTCTTCTAGCCTTTATAACTTGACCGTATTCTTTTTCTCTTTTTCTCAACTTTTCCTTGTAGCCTCTTGTCTCATTGAGGTGTCTCCTTATTCCAAGATACCCCGGTTAACACACCTCTCACCATGGCGACTCCTCTCAACGTATTGATGGTGAGTGAAGCTTCTCACAACTTGTAGTTCGTTGTGCAACGATACAGATGGCTAATTGGCATATTCTCATCCAGATCGGTACCGGCGAGTACACCACTGGCTTCGTCGGTGGTGGCATGTCCGGCTCCGACAAGAAAGTGGGCGTCGTCGGCCTCACCCTCTTTGACCTGCGACGACGAGGCAAGGTTGGCCAGCTGGGCATGGTGGGCGTCAACGGCACAAAGTTTCCCGCAATCCGTGAGTATTGGCTGTATTTCTTATCTGAATACACTCTGTATCCATCTAACTCTGGGTATAAAAAGGCGAACATCTCGACAAAAACATCACCCAGGTCTACAACAACCTCGACACCTCCTTCGACTCGTTCCCCGCCAACGACAAGGTCGACGCCGACGCCTACAAGGCCGCCATCGACCAGCTGCAGCCCGGCGACGCCATCACCATCTTCACGCCCGATCCCACGCACTTCCCCATTGCCCTCTACGCCATCGAGCGCGGCATCCACGTCCTCATCACCAAGCCCGCCGTCAAGCTGCTGCAGCACCACGTCGAGCTGGCGCAAAAGGCGGCCGCAAAGGGCGTCTACGTCTTCATCGAGCACCACAAGCGCTTCGACCCGGCCTACAGCGACGCGCGCTTCAAGGCCCAGGCGCTGGGCGACTGGAACTACTTTTACTCGTACATGTCGCAGCCCAAGTCGCAGCTCGAGACGTTCAAGTCGTGGGCCGGCAAGGACTCGGACATTTCCTACTACCTCAACAGCCACCACATTGACATTTGCGACTCCATGGTCCAGCAGCGCGGATACCTGCCCGTCAAGGTCTCGGCGTCTTCCTCCAAGGGCGTGGCCACCAGCCTGGGCTGTGTCGACGAGACGGAAGACACAATCTCGCTGCTGGTGACTTGGCAGCGCAAGGACGAGCCCAACAAGCGCGCCATTGCCGTCTACACATCATCGTGGACCGCTCCCCAGCGCGCCGGCATCCACACCAACCAGTACTTCCACTACCTGGCCAAGGAGGGCGAGATCCGCGTCGACCAGGCCCACCGAGGCTACGACGTTGCAGACGACCGCGCCGGCCAGCTGCAGTGGTTCAACCCGTTCTACATGCGGTACGCCCCCGACGAGGACGGCAACTTCAACGGCCAGACGGGCTACGGCTACATTTCCATTGAGAAGTTTGTCGACGGCTGCCGCGCGGTCAACGAGGGCAGGGCGAAGCCGGCAGATCTGGATGCAAAGGGCCTGCCTACTCTGAATAACACGATTGCGACAACGGCCATTTTGGAGGCTGGACGACGGAGTATTGATGAGGGCCGTGAGATTCAGATTATGGTGAAGAATGGAGCGTGGAAGTTGGTGTAAATTAGATAATGAGTAATGATAAAGGATACTGTACGAAAATGAAGATTAATTCGAATGAAAAAGATCAATTCTCAATTATCCAGTTTGATTGTAGCCTAATGCTGTGTAGTTTAGTGGCTGATGTGATGCTTCTTATTCGAGTTGGCAAAGCCTTGAGCTTGAACCCACACTACCAGCCACTAACATAAAATTTCACTGCAATACACTGACAGCCTTTGCATCTCATCACAACCACTGCTCATGGAAAAAAAAAACACACAACAAAACTAAACAACCCTCTCTCTAAAAAATGTCTCTTCCCCAAGACATCGACGACGACATCTTCTCCAACCAGCCCTCCATCTCCAGCCTCCTCACCCAACTGCGCCGCAGCACCCTCACGCCTCACAACCGCCTCAAATCCATCCACGCCGACGCCGCCTACGTCGCGCAAGTCGCCTCCGCCTTTTCCACCCGTCAACAATCTCACGACCGGAAGCGCAAGAGACAGGGGAGACCGCTGGTGGCGAATGAGCGCTGCGGGAGCTGGTACATCCCGCCGGAGAAAAAGGACGGCAGCGCCTATTTCAAGAGCACGGATGGGCATGAGCGGGCGTGGAAGTTTAGCACGAGGAGGCTGAATCTGCATTTGATTGACTTGATTGAGGAGAATGACGGGTATGTGGAAGCAATTCATTGGTCATTTATTCCATCTTTTTGAGTGAGTGTTGGAAGAGACATGAGATGGCTGACTTATATGGCCCCATAGAATCATCATTGTCGACTCAACTCGCCGCGGTAAACGTATGGCTTCTCTCTTCTAATTCATTCACTCATATAAATCTCATGCTAACCGTCAATAGGCATGCCCGATGCCCTCTCCACCACCATCCCCATCTGGTGCGCCGTCATCAACCGCGCCCTCCTCCCAAACCACCCCCTTTCCTCCAACCTCTTCCTCCCTCCTTACTTACCCGCATCAACTCACTCCCAAATCCTCGCCCTCATACCGTCATTCCTCGCTTCCCTCAAAGAACTCAACCTCACTCTGCCCAAATCTCTCACAAAACCTCTTCGCCCCCTGTGGATCACGCAAGAGTCATCCCTCCCCGACTCTCCAGACTCAGGTGAAGAAAGCGACGATGACAACGAAGACAGCCAGAATGTCATATTCCAAGACTTTAGACCTGTCATATGCTGCACCGCTAGCAGACGAGTCATTGGAAGCGAGGTAGATGAAGGCGGCTACATCCAAGGCGCAGGAGACGACACCGAGAATTGGGCACTGGGACTCACCCCCGACGTCTTCTGGGCCAACACCACAGCCCTGCTCTCTTCCCCTGAAGCTAATCTCCCAGACCTCATCGTCCGTCTGGTGGAGGAAGCTAAAGTGAAGCGCCAGGCCGGACAAGGCAGTCAAACCGCTCTTCCGCGAAAGCAACTCACACCACACATATCTGTCCGCCCGGTATCAACATCCCATGATCTCTCAACACCACCTGTCAAGCAAGAAGACGAATGCCTCATCCTCCTCACCGACGCTTCTCCCACTCCAAAGGAATCATGGATCCAATCTCCAACGCATATCCGCGTCGACCTTGGCAAACACAAGACTGCCAGCCGCAATCTCCGCCTTGCCCTCCCAGAGATATGCTCCTTTGCAGCTGCTTTCCTACAGAAACACCATTCAGTATCAGATTCCTCAGCGGATGGAAACAAAAAGCCACCGCAGATTGTCGTAGCCTGCGACTCGGGCAAGGATCTCTCAGTGGGAGTCGCCCTCGCATTGTCATGCTACCTCTTTGACGAGCAGGGCAATTTTCGCGTGCCAGATGAAAATGCGTCCTTTACAAAAACGCTGGTCAAAATTAGGCTGGGGGCCATCATGACGGTATATCCGGAGGCGAATCCGAGCAGAACGACTTTGCAGAGCGTAAATAGCTTCCTGATGGATTGGAGGAAATGAGCCACGATTAATCAATTGTGCAAAAGCATTTTGTATATAAAGAAAGCAATTAGATCAGATAGACCAATTCCAAGACCGTCAATTCGTATCGTCGTATCTATTCATATCTAGCCTTTTACCGTCTCCTTCTCCTCTCTTATTTTCTTTCTTCTCTTTAACCAAGACGATGAACCAAAAAAAAGGCTCAATAAATAAACAAAGGCTTCAATCCAAAACACAGAAAAGAAAAGCAAAAAGACAAAATGGTAAAAGAAAACTCCTTTAAACCTCGCCCTTCTCAATCTTGGCCAACGCACCAGGAAACTCGCTCCAGTCACGCATCACCACCACCGCGCCCGCACTCCTCAACACGCCCTCCATCTCCTCCTGCTTGGCATCCGCATACGGCCCGACATAGCCAATCGTCTTGATGCCCGCCCTCGTCGCGCTCAGCGTGCCGCTCTTGCTATCCTCCACCGCGACGCTCTCCTCCGCCTTCTTGCCCAGCACCTTGAGCGCGTGCAGGTAAATCGCAGGGTCCGGCTTGCTCGTCGGCTTCTCCAGCGACGTCGCCGCCGAAAAGACCACGTCCCCGGGGAAGTACTTGTCATGGCCGACCTTTTCAATCGACGCGCGGACGCGCCTCAGCGCCGACGACGACACCACGGCGAGCTGGTGCTGCTTCTTGGCCTCCAGCGCCTGCAGCTGCTCGTCGACGCCGACGCACGGCCTCAGCGCGGCCTTCAGCTTGGCAATGACGGCGTCCTCCTCCATCAGGACGTACTTTTCCATGTCGTCGGGCGCAATCTCGATGCCGTGCGTCTTCTGCAGCGTGGTGAGCATGCCGCGGAAGTTTTGGCCGACGAACTCGGTGATGAGCGTCTCGCCGGTGAACTTGACGGGGACGTTGCGCTCGGCGCAGATTTGGTTGATGAGGTCTGCGCAGGCCTCGAAGGCGAGCTCCTCGGAGAGGACGAGCGTGTTGTCGCAGTCGAAGAGGATGGCGTTGATCTGGTTGAGGATTGATTAGCGAGTGTTGGGGAGACGACGAGGTAGAGTATGGTATACTTACTTCAGGCATTTTGATGGTATATTCTAAAAGTAATGTTATGTCAAAAGAAGAAGAAGAGAGGGTATCTAATTAGACTCTAGGTTCGCAACGGTATGAAGAAAAGAAGAAGGAAAAGAGGAACCAGACGAGCGAAGCAGCAAGTATATAAGCCCAACGGGAAGACTAAAAAGGCCCTTTAGCAGCTCTCCACAAAGCAGCACCACGTCGGGAGTTCGTATAGTACTACTCCAAGGCCCAGTCAGAATGCAGTGCCATCTGTATAATTACCTCATATGAAACACCAAAACGATACAAAACCACATTTCACACGCAGGCAGTGGATAATTTCCCCCTCAAAATCCTGATTCTCGCCGTTTTACAAAAAATGTCGTGGCCATGCGCAATTGAACCATAACTCCATGCAAACTTACTTTTCTTATTCCATCGTCCAAATCACATGCTAATAAAAAACCGACTACACTCTTAATTATCAGCACCGCCATTCATTCCATCGTCAATCCCAAAAACAAATAACCTCCTTCTCCAGCCTCCTTCTACCTCCCTCTTGATTAGCGTCTTTCTTTTTTTTCTCCTTCTTATTCCCATCCTAGGCTCTCACAGCTTCTTCACAGCCTTGCTTCATCCATCATTTTTACCCCTCCCCCCTCAAATCCTTGCCCAGTGTCGTCATTGCCCCTCCTTCGGGGCCATGTTAGTGGACACTTGCTTTTGGCTCCATAGCTTGAAATCCGGCTGCGGGCGGCAGTTTTGCTTGGCTTACAAGATGCTGCTGCTACTGCTGCTACCAAATCAAATGTTACATGTTACAGCAATATATCATCAAATGCGTCAAGCCAATGAATTGAGCTATATTAATCAGAATCGCGCCTGGAATTCCCCTCATGCTCTAATTTCCCGTGACCACCCCATGGAACGCAGCCGCCGTGGCTGAGACCAGCATGTCACTCCGCAAAAGGCCGTAAGACTAAGTGATGATATCGTCATGACAGCACCGTAATTAAACAGCCCGCAGGGATCACTGCAAGCGCTCATTTCAACCCCCACAAGCCACATCACTCAGAGTATGGAGTTCGTAAAGCAACAGAAAATACAACTGCATGTATAGATATTTTATACCAAAATAAATCCGCTATAAGTTCAATTGATCAAATCCATCCATCCATCCATCCGTCTCGTTACAGCGTTGAGCTAGCACCCGACCAACATGAACACGATTGCTATATCAAAGTAAAGCCTCTTTCAAGCCCTCCTCAACGACAAAATCCTAGTAATGTCTTTTTCTTCCATCATGTCAACAAGAATCCCCCGCGTGCTTCGAACTCTGCCAGAAATGCATCCCTAAAACGCCGTACTCGCTGTCAATTCGTCTTGACAGTGCAAAAAGTGCCCAAAAAGGTGGATGAAAATAATAAGAAAACAAACAAGAATAAAAACACGCCAGCTTGCCATCAGCGTACTATCAGGCGGCATCGTGCCGCTCCGCCCATGTCGGATTGCACAGACATTCCCAGCCTTGCAAAAGGGGGTCTCGTGGCTCGGTTCCTGAGGTCCTGTTCATGTCCCGCATACCAAGCCCTCTGTCGCTATGTGGATATATCGTTCTTTTCCCCCTCTCTCAAGCTCTGTGCGTCCAATATGTTTTTCTTTTCTATTTTTTTTTTCCTTCTACAAAATCTCTTTGAGCTGTGCCTTTTGATCTTGGGACAAGCTTGATGGGAAATTGACCTTGTAGCGAACAATAAAGTCGCCTCTCTGTCCAGGCTTCTTCGTCATGGGCATTCCCAGTCCCGGATACCGATCTTCACTTCCAGGCTGGGTTGGGCCGCCTTTGTCTATGCTGATTTGCTTGCCGTCAATTGTAGTGACTACTCGCTTCCATCCAGTCAAGGCTTCCTTTAGGTCCAGGGTAACGGTGTGCACAATGTCGTTGTCCTCTCGCTTGAAGAGGGGATGATCTTTCTGTAAGTCAAGTAGTTAGTAATAATTCGCATCAAAGTATGTATGAAATGAGTAGTGGGCTGGCTTACCTCTTCAAGGATAAAATGCAGATCTTGTCTACCACCCTCTACTTGATCGCCAACTCCGTTAAACTTGATTTTAGATCCCTTCTTGAGACCCGGCTTGATGGGTACTTCCAATATCTGGTCGGTTTGCACTCGCTTTCCGGTCTCGTCAAAGGTCTTGCGTTTAATCTTCATCTTCTTTGTCGTTCCGTTGTATAACTCTTCTAGAGAAAGAGGTAGCGGCCGTTCAACGGTTGTAACTTCGGGTGTTGGTTCGCGGTTCCTCTGCGGAGCCTCAGCGAAGCCAGATCTCGCCCTCGTTCGTCCAGGCCGGGGACCGCCGCCGCCGCCGCCGCCGAATGATGAACTGCTGAAGAAGCCAAAATCGTCGTCGTCGCCGCCTACGCCGCCGCCTCCACCATGCATGTTGCTGCGCATAAACTCTGTGAATATGTCTTCGGGGTTGTTGAAGTTGTACGCCTTGGAGCCGTTTCCGCCAGTGCTGAAATGGAACGTCCTGGCGCCGCCGCCTCCCGGCATGCCTCCGAAATCAAAACCGCCAAAGCCGCCAGGCATGCCGCCTGCTCCCGCATAAGGGTTGGCCCCTGGACCTCCCTCGGGCGGAGGAGCACCACCCCGCAGCAGGAACTCGAGGCCATATTGGTCATAGATTTTGCGCTTCTCCGGGTCGGACAGGATCTCATAGGCTTGGGAGCACTCCTTGAATTTTTCCGAGGCGTTGGGGTTGTCTTTGTTCTTGTCAGGGTGCCACTTCAAGGCAGCTTTTCTGCACACGAAATTGTGGTTAGCATCAATGGTCAATTCTCTACTCTCAACCGGGAACATGCTGGTTGGGCGGTAAGCTGTGTGGGGAGGCTTGCGGATTGGTCGCGCTCCCCAATTGCCACCCACAGCTAGCTCTTGGCCCAAGCAATGAATGACGACAAACGCAAGGGAAGCCAAAGGGAAGGGACAGGAAGAAAAATCGGCAAAAATAAAGTAATCTATACATACCGGTAGCCTTTTTTTATTTCGTCTTGCGACGCCTCAGGTTTGATACTCAGAGTATCGTAGAGCTTGGTCTCCTTCACCATCTTGATGGCTGCCGGATGACGGGTCGGTGTGAGTTCTCTCTAGGTGGCAGTTGGTGGGGTGATGATATCGACAGTAAGAAAAGGTTCAAATGAGTCGAGTGTAAAAGAGTAGAGTTGGCACTCGGTATCGTAGCTCGGTCGAAGCAAAGGAAGAGACGCCAGATTGCCTTTTCGTCTTTGTAGTATTGAATCGTACCGAAGAAAAGTGAAAAGAGAGAAAGAGTAAGAATCGTCTGGTATGGAGAATATGGAGAATATGGAGGGGAAGCTGGGACACAAGGTGAGAAAGAAGATGGCCGCTACCAATTAATAGGCCCTCGATAGCCCCGGAACCTGGTCAGTTGTCAGGCTCAGCACCTGTAGCAGGGTCGAGTGAGCCGTGGGGTGGGGCCGCTGGTGCTGGGACCTTGTAGAAGCTTCCCGCTACCGCCTATGACGCACGAGACAGCTGGGGTTTGGACTGTGAGAAGCAGTACTGGGTATGATGGGAATAGCAGTCTGTCGGACAAGAGCAATGGGGAAATGTCCTGTTTGATCGCCGCAGACGGGATATCCAATTGATGTTCCGACGAGACGCGAGATTGGACGTGGCACGACTTTTATATCGGGGCGGCTTATACATGTACCCTCTGGAGGCAGATAATGCACCCTGGGAGGTGTCAATGGCGGCTGCAGCAGTTGGTGGGAGCGGGTTCAAGGCATGCAGCACCGCAGCGAGCCAATGAGTAAAGCAGGAGGCGGCGCAACGGCCAAAGACCCAGTGCACGGATAACCAGTGATGTGCTGTGCGGTGCTGTTCAAAGCTGTGTACTGGATGCGTGTTGTGATGCGTGGTGGATGCGCTGCGATGCGGCGAGCCAGAAAATGCCTGCAGCTGCCATGTACTAATCCAACCGGCAGCGCCAACGCACAGCAATGGAGATGCGGAAGTAGGGATAGAAGAGGAACTCAAAAGAGGGGAATGAAGCGGATTTATCTCTCGATTCATCTTCTACTTGTATGCATTCTCCTATAATGCCTATCCGTTACTCTTGCTCGTAGCAGTACATGGTTGATAGCCAGGTGACTCGCAAACGGGCAGGTGATGCTCTTTCTTTCGCCCACTCGCCATGTACACGCAAGTACCTCTTCCACCACAACGTGCTCGCATGTACATCCGCTTCGTGACGGAAAATAAGCTGTGATGAGCATTGATGCAATTTCCCAATCACAAAAGACAATATGCCATTCGTGATAAGAGCACATCTAATGTAGACAAAATGAGAAGAAGAAAAAAACTCTCTCTTTCTTACCTGACATTCAATCCCATCTCATCTCGTCTCAGCCATCTCATCTCCGGCTCAGGTTACCTTACCGCTCGCTCTATTAAAACACTACATATCAAACACCACAAAATGCTACCATTACGTTCAAATCAAATAATCGTAGTAACAATAACCACACTGCCGGTCCTTTCGGGCCATGATCACGACAGGGACTCAAAACAGATCAATTCGAGCCCAACTGCCAGGAACTCCAAAAACAGCTCGCTGGCAGCGCTAAGCTCCACTTGGCAACCGACCCGCTATCACCACTTCGAAAACCACGAGGCCTGCTAAGGTATGCGCTGTTCTATCAATAATACCGCCCCAGCCACGTCACATGTACTGTAGGCATTCACTATAAACAGATGAAGCGTTTATTTTCTTTTACCCCTGCGTCTACGGCTATCCTCGTAAATTGTTGACCAACTATCCCCGTCGTAAATCCCTGCTCACCCATTAATATGGCTCACATGCATCCGATATTGATAGAAGGTGCATTCTCATACGAGTTCGGGGTACATGCCCCCAGATCATCAGGCTAGAGCACCTAAAGAAGCAGCTAAAATAACGCGTATCCATATCTTAGTAAACATTGTTAAATCTCTTAAAAGATTAAATCGCTACTACTACTTGTTCTGTGCAACATGCACAGCTTTTCGGCAGTGTCCCATGGAAGCTTCTAGAAGCTTCTATGCTTCAACTTCTCTATGCCCGAACAACAAAAGATTGCAAGGACAATCGAGATACCGTTGAAACATTAATGAATCATATATAACAATTGACAGTAAGAGTATAGGTATAAATGAAACAGTTCATGTATACAATAGGGGATAATCTAGCAGCAAAGTATTCTTTGCATTATACACTAGCAGCCTGAGCTTCATCTGACACCAGCCAACTCCATCACCTCAAAAAATAAAACAATATCATTGCGATTCTCAGCAAAACCCGCTTAAATATGCTACAGTATCAACTAACAAGGTGAGCAGACAGTTGGCCTACCCAGTTTATCCCATATACAATGGGCCGCCAGCGCTTTCCTTTTCTCTTCCTTGGTATCATAACCACTTCCATAGACTTTCATTGCCTTAGTAGAGCTTCTAGTCCTGTATGTCCGGAATTTCCATGTCCATGCTCGAGTCTTCCCTCCCCTCGGTCGCTTGCGAGGGTCGTACCAACGTCAGCGGTCGAGCTCGTTCTTGCATCTCCGGGCCCTTATTCATGCTTTCATCCATCAAGTTGTTCTCGTCGTTTGGCTGGCTGGCTTCGAGAGACGGGGGTGTTGGTCGTTGGGCTTCGCCTTCGTCCGCGGCCAGCGTATCTGGGGTCAGAGTTGCAGACTCGACGTTCATCTGTGTACGGATCCCATGATCTCCAAACTTGTTTTCAAATTCGGAGCCTCTGGCTTGCTCCACAGTGCCTTCAGACATGTCTATCATTTCCGTCTGCGCTTCTTCCAAATGTCCGTCAAATACACTTGCAAATGGATCTCTATCCTCGCTGCCAATAGACGCCCGGTTGCTGTTCATCGAATCCATACTGTCTCTATGTTTTCTCTTGGAAGGTGAGAGGGTATCCACGGGAACATGCATCCTTTCCTCTCTGGTATCAGCGGCAGGTTGTCTGAGCTCTTGTCGGAATGCCTTATTATCCGATTTGGCAAACATGCTCAAAGCGTCTGATAACGGCGCCCGTGGTGTCGAAACTGCTTCCTCGGTAGCATATAGGAGCAGCGGTGTCTTTGTTTCGTACCACACACTTTTCAAAACTCGCTCAATTTCAATTTTCTATCACAGAATAGATAAGCATCAACTTCGAATGAGCAACAAGGGGTCGTAGATGTGAAGCAAAAGGGGAGCTTACCTCTGATTTGACTGGCACGTCCTCATCGGTACAAAGTTCCAGTCGCCACCACTGGTCGGTTGGCGCATCTAAGCTCTCTGGGTCCGCCGACTCCGAAGGAACTCGCTGACAGACATAAACAATATCCTTATCGGTTGCTATGCCTCGGAGGAGGTACTTCTTGCACGTCATCGGCTTTGGCCGGCCTGGCTTCTCTGGCTTCGTCAAAAGTCTGCCAAGGAAGCGCTGCTTGGCTTGGATCTGCTCCAGCTGGGTACGGAGGTCTAGAAATCCCAGGGTCAGTACGTCCATCTTTAAAATCTACTTTGTCAGAATGCAATCTTTCCTACCTTCAGTTCTTGTTTCTATATCGGACAGTATTCGTTCTGTCAGCAGGAGCACCTCATTCACCTGCTGGGAGTGCGTAGCCTGCTCGTCAGTCATCTGACAAGGAGCGGTCCGATAATCAGGATACTTGTTGATGTCGAACGCCGAAGCCTCCATTCCTTGGAATTGTCCAGCGGTTTCTAGATAATTAAAGAACACCTGCCACTGCTCCTTTGCTTTGGCAATCATTTCGCTCTTATCAAGAGACAGTTGATTCCAATCATTGTGCCATTCCTGCAACCGCCGCTCTTCCGTTGTCACTCTATCAATGTCATTCTTGGTCTTGCACCAAGCAGACATTATCCGTCTGGCCTCCTCCTTACGGCTAGCCAGATATCGCTCAGGATAGAAGACCTCGGGAATTTCAAACGATTCGGGGGGGCCCTCACTGCCGACCTTGATGACGAACACTTCGCCCATGTTCTGGAACATGGCCATTCTTGACGTCTCATTAGGATCTGCCCATGACAGAACGTCACCCCACATCAAATAATCAAGGGCCTCGTAGAGTGTTTTGATGTGAGCGTAATCAGGCCGCCTATGGTCGAGTACCAGCAATCCAAACCTCGCATCCTCGTAGCTTTTGCCGATCACATCGTCACCGCCGACATTAACCAGAGATGCCTCTTGATATAACGGCCCAAGGATCGCGTCATACCCCAAGCGTTCGTAGAATGCCCTTTCCACTCCATTATAGGCGTTTGTAAGTAATTCGGTTAGTGTATTAATAGTTCCATAACTCCTCTCCGTAGAATCGAGGAATGCCATGAGCCGATGTATTTCCTCTTCGAAATTTGCCCTCGGTATCTCATAGCTGCCGTCACCCCATGTCGAGTCCTCGGTGTACACTTCGCGTAGAACATTTGGAGGAAGGATTTCTTCACCATTCCACCACTGACTATTAAACCCATACGAGGCCGCTGGAGCGCCGCACTGCAGTAGAATGTTTCTCGCCAATGGAATTTCGTGAAGAATGGTGAGCAAGCCGCCCAAGCTGTGGTTGCCGACAGAGCTGGATCCTGAAACAATGAACGCGGGAACTTCGGCATCTCGCTTTCTTTGAGACGGCGTAGGAGCACTTGATAACTTTGCCTTTAGCGGCGTAGCAGGTACCATAGCCCAGTTGTTTTGATCATAATCGGAGCGGTTCGCAGGGCCAAAGTACGGTGTTGAAGTGGAGTGGTCCATCACTCCAGACTCCTGTGGAGGCAGAGAAAACCCTGCTTCTTGTGCCGACTCTCGCAGAGCTCGTTGTATATCGTCTTCTTCTTGCGAGTGCATGGTGGGTCCTCCTATCAACATTGTCAGAACGTCATATTTCCTATGCGAAGAGCAGAGTACTACCAGCTGCGTCTGCCGCAGTCCAGTCAATCATATTACCGAGTGGAGATCTATTGTTCGATCGCGATGGTGGTCTTGACGGCGCTCCAATAGGGTAGCTAGGGGGGGGAGGCGTAGCTCCCTGTATAATGTCGTTGCCTTCTAACGATTCGATGTGAAATGCTGCGAAGAGCGTCAGCCGTCATATCATCTTCTCCCACGCCGCAGATAGTCAGCAGTTCCATACATATGCCTGCGTTGTTGCCGGTTGTGCCGTCTCTATCAGCTGAAAACATTGATTCGTTCCATGCTAACGCATATTTTTGCCGGAACTGCGACGATGCAAGTCAGCATCTGCTCCATTTCGCCCACTGCATCCAGGACGCAGGTGGAGGGGTAATGCAACATACCGACTCAGAATTGTCAAAGTATTGCATAACAACCGTTTCGACATTGCGATTATTATTCTGCAAGAAATTTATCGCGGTAAGTACCCTGTTATCCCTCGGGATGAGTCGGTGGCGATGTGGAAACATACTCTCAGGGCGTTCGTGATCATGGTGCGATCATCGACGGGGTTGAGGCCCGCAAAGTCAACGACTTGCGACACCTCGTCTTCGGAAGGTTCCATGGAAGCCATTATGGATAGCAGCAATACCGATCTCTATTAGATAGCTATACGAATTCTATAGCAGAAGAATGGTGGAGCCGAAATGGAAGTGCGCTTTCTGGGAGCGGCCTCTCGCTCAACAAGGCGGGACAGCTGACCCTAGCCCCAGAAACGTCGTCGTCTGCGGGCAAAAGACATGAACAAATGTATGGATGAAGCGAAAACAGAGAGCAAATAGAGTTTAGCAATGGAGTGTCGAAGTAGCGGCGCGAGAAAGCTGCACAAGTCGAGGATATGCAAGCTCTTGGGTATGGAGAGTGAGGCGCCTAGGACTGTGGTTGACGATGAATGAAGCTGCCATGTCCTTGTCCCGCTGTGGGCAAACGTCAGTCCAGGGACTATGCCGGGGCGATAAGATAAGCTGCGGGCAGCTATGCTAGGCCGGCGGGATAGAGGGGCCACTGGCTACTGGCAGCGGTTATGGCTGCTGATGCTAGCGGCACTTTCAGGTACCTGCGTTTCTTTGTCTGGTTTGGATCGCAGTGCAAAGAACTCCATAGGCCTTTCAGGAATTTCCAGGCGAAAGGGAAAGCGACTACGCAGTTACTTATATCCTCTCTTCTATTGCGAGTAGTAATTGCTCTTCCTCGCCGATTACGCGGCTTTTCACATCCAGTGATTGAGCATACGCTGCCACGAGCGGCTAATGTTTGCCACGCAACTATGACACGTAACTGGACCTAGCCAGGAGGGTTTGTAATTTTGGCTGCATACCTAGGTGGTAGGCACCTACTCTGAAGAGCACTGTATTCAGCTTCAAAAGACAACAAGTGAAAAAGAAAAAGAAAAGTGTTTATGCTTGGTACCACAAGGCGTTGATACGCTTCTGTCTTCTATATAAATACGCAAGCTATAATAAACGATAATCCCGCTAATGAAATAGGAAAGCCTCATGAACCAATTGACCCCCCCAAAAAAAATCCAAAGCTACAGGAAACAAGACATGGAAAGCAAAAATGAAACATCCTCATGGGTCCAGAGTAGAGAGATGCCGCGCCATGACACCGAAACTTCCCTTGGGCCGTTCCATGCATGGATAGGGAAGATGCCGCCAAACGCCGCAAAGATAGAATTGCTGTATAGGTAAGAAATGCCCGGTCGATAATAGCATGCCGCGATGCTATCCGACTTTTTGCTCGCTCGCTCGCTCTCGGTAAACGGTCCAAAGTGTCCAACGGATGTGAGAGCAGAGCAGCTCGTAGAATCTTGTAGTTGCTACTCATTTGTCATCCTCGTCTTCAAAATCATCATCAAAGTCGTCTTCCATATTCTCGTCGCTGTCGCTGCCGCCAAAGTCCTCTTCTTCATCTGACATATTCCAAAAGTCTGTGTCGTCATCGACCGGCTTTACCGGCGTTGGAGCCAGTTCTTCCATCGAAGGCATACGCGCACCTGCTGGCTTGCCCTTCTGGGTCTCTTCCACTACGACTCTTGCCATCCGGTCGTAAAAAGGACGATTGTCTCTGTACAAAACACTAGCATCGACGTTGGCGGCCGAATTAATCTCGGGATCGTCCATCAGCAAAAGAACGGATCGGAGGACCGATTCAACTCCATGAAGCACATTCCATCGCTCGCTCGCCAGTTCACCAGACTGCTCGTCTTCTCCTGGCTTGTGTAGAATAGAGATGCAGAGGTTTCCGTCGAGATACACGTTGGGGTGGATGATGCTGGGAGTGAGGAATCTGAAGACAGGTGGCTGGTAGGGATAGTCGGCTGGGAATCTCATCTCGGCCTAAGATTCTATGTCAGTTCCTCGTCATAATCTTAAGAGGGCAAGCGCAATGCGAGATGAATTGATGTAGGGCGTCTTACCTTGAGAAATGCTCCGTGCCAAACGCTGTCAGGATTCACGACCCAGAGTCCGATTTTCCACCTGAAGAGGTTGATTTCATCCGTCTAATAGGGTGAGCAAGATTAGTTGACTATAGTTGAATCGGTTCGAAGGCACTTACGGTAATGTCTACCCATTTTTCCTTCTGGAGAGCCTGCAGCTCTTGCATGAGACGTTTCTGGGCCATGATGCCGCTGTGCTGGTATGAAAGAATGAAAGAATGGACTTTTCGACGGGACTCGGAATGTTGGTTGAGTCAAAAGGCCTGTCGATGCAGAAGACCCTTTCTCTCCTCGCTGTTCTTCGTTGCAACTGCCTAGGAAGAAAATGCCACGAGAGCAGCCGTGTTGGGTAAGTGACTGTCGGTAACAGCCGGGAGGAGACTGAAGGGCGAAGGGGGCGGGCGAACGGGACAAAGAGGGCGAGTGACGGCTAAGAACAGCAAAGGCTTGATGATGTTGTCCAAAAGTAAAGCAGGGAAAGGAAACGGGCGTGTATGCAGCAGAGATCCAAAATGAAGAGAAAAACAAAAAAGAGAACAAAGCTGCCGGTTTGCAAAGAGATTGAAAGATGAAGGGGAATTTCCGAGACTCAGCCGGGGCCCAAGCAGAGAAGTGACGGCATCAGGTGGCTGCAGCAGGTGACTGCCGCAGTTACCGGGCGGTGAAGGCCCCGACTCTCGCGCCTCTGATGGCGCCCAGCGCTTCCTTGGGTCCCGCCAACGTGGGAGCGAGTTTCTCGCTTGGGCCTAGCACTACACTGTTTTAGGGGTGATTGATTCTCAGGCGCGTATCAGCCACCACCCACCCGTATCGCGACTTGCAGGTCTTTTCAAGTACATTTCTTGTCAGCTCGCTGCCAGAAGGTACTTGGTCGGTACTCATTTAGCCGCCAGAGCCAGTTTCCTGAATCGTCTCAGACAGGGAGAAGAGGAACCATGCAGTACGAGATACGTACTGAGAGATAATATTATCGACTGTCATACGAATTAGGTATTACTAGCAATTAGCCGGCATGACAATGCTGGTATATACGAATACTATTATACATTCAGAGGAAGATTTGATTGCACCATCCACTGTGTAGATGCTCTACATGAATCCATCTAACTACTACTACTGCAGTCCAGCACTACGGAGTAGCCCGAATATATTACTGCCACTGTAGGCACTTATTAAGGGATGAGGTCAGACAGCCACCGTGGAAAAAGAAAACAAAAGAAGATGAGAGAAAAAGCCACCAATCTTACTTCTACTAGTAGTAGTTGCACTTGCAAGGCAGGGAGACCAATCTGTGCCAGTGAGATCCATGGGAATCGCTTCAGCTCGCCTCAGCGTGCACCAACTGATGCAAGGGACTGGCCAATCCTCATTTCATAGGCTCCTAAAAATACGTCCAGCGCTAATCAGCAGCAGTGCTACGCAGGAAATGGCGAGATCAGCCCCCGGTGTCTTGATGGTGCATATGCGGCTGAATCCTGCTGCCTTTGTGTGGTAGTACGTGGCGATAGCATCAAACGGCGCGGCTAGCCACAGTGCTTGTGAATAGGGGGGAATCACTGGGGAAAGAGTGATACTTGGAAACTGCTCGTACATTATAGTAGTCTATATTCCATCATCGAGAATTCCTCACGTCTTGCGTACAAGTCCCCTTCATCCTGATAAGTCATAGTATATGCAAGTGCCTGATCGGAAGTTGTACAAGAACGAATGCTTGGAGCCATTCTTTGTCTCATACTTCCGCCGCCACGTAGTGAGCTGGTCGCGAATCTCGCGTATACATTTCTTCTCCGAGGTTGACACGCTATGCTCCGCCGTTCGCCAGCTCTCTGGGTCGGATAGGCTGGTTTCCTGAACGAGCTCCATTAGATGGTCGCTCATCTCGATAGCCAAGATGGGGCCTTCAAGAAATGAATTCATCAAAGCAGCCGCAGTGACTTGTGCTTGCTCCACAACTGTGCGTCGGTTAAACTTCTTGCTCTTGGTTTGAGCAACCATGATCTTGACCTCCTGTTCGTAGTCTCTCTCGCCTTGCGCGGCCGGCTCTGGCGTTCCACGAAATTTTGCTGCGGACCTGGAGTCTCGGTCTCGAATCTCAGGTTTTAACCAAGAAAACAGCTGTGCCATAGGAAGGTCTACGTCTGGCACATCTTTTTTCCCCACAGTTTTGATCTTCAGCATGGAATCCTGCTTGATGATTATAACCCAAGAGTAGCTTTCATCTCGATGTTTCGACATTAAATCTTCCGGCGATCTCGAGTCCTTGGCAAGCTCTGCGCTTATATCATGTGCCCAGAGTAGCCGCAATACTTCAATACCAGAAGATCGGAGAATGCCAGCGTCAAAACTTGCCACCAGTATGTCGCACTATATAGCTCGGTGTGAGTAGGGCATTGCAAACAGCTGCAGGGTTAAAGAATTACTTACACGCTTGCTGCTAAACATACTGCTTACATCTTCTTCACTCTTCTTCAAGAAGGAATAGCCACCGGACTTGGGTGCTTTCGCCAGCCTTTCCCAGGCCAAACTGAATCCAACAGCATGGCGTTTCTCAAACTGTCCTCCAATTTTAGGACGCTGCTCGTTGATTAGGTTATCATACCGACCGCCAGCGGCAAAGACATCCTTGGCTTTTTTATCGTAAATGCATGAGAAGAGGATGCCGCCGATATAAAAGCCTTCCTTGAGACTGTTCAGAGGGTTAAGGTAAATCTTGGTGCTGACACCCAATCGTTTAGTATACTCGACAACTTCTTTGAGATGCGCAATAGTTGATGCGGCACGCTGATACATATCACTACCTTCGAAAACTGATTTCAACTTTGCAAATGCTTTGTTTGGTGTATCTGGCGCATGGTGTTAGCACCGATACCAATGTATTTGACTAATTCTCACAAAAGATTGGCGTCTTACCTCGAAAATCGAACCGCTGAAGTTCATCAATGCTAGTTGCTGAAATGCCCACAGCAGGAGAACGGAGCTCCATCCGTATCTTCTGCCACGTGTGGTTGTGAATGTTTAATCTGGATAATACGTCTGCAGCTGCCCTTCTAGACGAAGGCTGGATACCACAGTACTCAAAAATTAGCTGTAGAATATCGGAGTGTCCGATATGGAAACACATTTGGGAAGATGATAAGGAGGGGAATGTGTTGATAATCTCATCCAAGACCTTCAATACTTCCGCCTCTTTCAAAGCAAGATCAAGTGTGTCTATCGTGACAATGTCAAAATCCACTTCGCCAAACATCTGAGGCTGTCCCGTATCTTGTTTGTCCCTAAATACGCTACCAAATGTAAAGGTGCGTTGTAGAGGAGGAGATTGTGAGTGCTTCGCCAACATTCGAGCATGCCCCATTGTAAGGTCGTAAGGAAGTTGTAGAACAGTCCCGTTGGAATCCAAAAGTCGAACAGCATTATCAGCGTAGTGCATAGTCTTGGGATATATCGAAGTCCTTGTCGCTTCAAGAGCGCCATGTCGACGGAAAATGGCCACTAATTCGTTCTTGACGATGCTCTGGTTGAGAAGCTCCCCAGCACCGGGCGTGGCGCCATTCATGTCCCATGCAAAATTCTTGGCCGCTTCCACAGGCCGTGCAAACAATGTAGACAGCATTTTTTGATAATAAGGCGAATTTGGATCCGCCAGTCCCGCCAAAGTTCGCCTGATAGTCTCGCTTTCCATCTGGACTGGTAATTTACCACTCTTGAGAAGATCGGCACTGGATGGTCGTTCTTTGGGGCTATGGTTCACAAGCGAAAGAATGATTTCGGTTTGTGTTTTATCCGCAGGCTTGAAATCTGAGGGAAGAACCGGAGTGGGCCGTCGAAGCTGCCCAAGGACATCGGCTTTTTGCATACCCATCATTGGCAGATAGCACATCTCAAAGAAGATGATTCCGAGAGAATACATCTGTGGGCGAGTTAGCATCGGTCATTATTTCGATTAATGTTCAGCATGTGCAACATACGTCAACTTTAGTGCTATATTGCCCATTAGATGCAGATCTGACTTCTGGAGCGGAGTAATAGGCCGTCCCTATACTCCTAGTCATATCGTCTGCCTCATAGCCGTTGGCAGTGGTTCGATCCACGGAAAATTGGCCGCTCGTTGCCAAGCCAAAGTCGCCAATCTTGATATTGTCCACGCCATCCGTGCTGCTTGCAATGAAGATGTTCTCTGGCTTGAGGTCACGATGAACAATACTCAGCGAATGAATGTGTGACAGCCCTTCGAGAATCTGCCTAAACAGACGCCATATTTCCGTGTTGTTTTTGTATAGCTTCCGCGCGATAAGATCTCTTAGAGTCTAAGGCTTAGAGTAAGTAAGTTGTGCAAGAATAATGAATATCTCATACGTACTCGTTTTTCACAGTACTCCATTGAGATATAGAGTACAGTCCGATAAGACCGATGCATTCGAGCGCGCCGTTGCAGGGCAGCCAGTTTGTCTTTCTCATAATGCTTTTCACGGTTACCAACAGAGTCCATAACAGAGCTCTGATCATCGTCTTCTTCCTCGTCAGATGAGTCATGTTCCTCATCGTCTTCCTCTTCCTCATCCGAATCGTAGTCAAATTCAACTGCAGCGTTGGATGATATAAAGTCCAAACCACCAGTGCTTGTAGCAAACTGAATATCGATGCCGGCAGATTCGGCGCCGGTATCTCTGGTATCCTCCGTGTAGTCGTCAGTCGACGTTTCGCCCTCCGTATCAGTCGAGTCGGGGATTTCTTCCACCCAAGTGTTGTAATATCGTACGACTGCAGGATGGCTGAGTTGTGAAAGCAAGCGAACCTCTTTCAAAATCTCTGTGAGGCTCGTCTGAGAACGCTGTGTAATTTTCTTAATGGCATATATCTGGCCATCCAACTTTTTCCTAGCTTTGACAACTTCGCCAAATCCGCCCTTACCAAGTCTTCCCTCTTCCACAAAGTCTTCTGTGTATCGGGAGACTGTTGTTGATCTATTGGTCATGGAATCCCGCCGAAGCCTCATAGGGACAGCTTGGAGCGAGTTCAGAGAAGGCGTATGGGACAACATGGCAGAAGTATCGTCAAACAGGATAGGGGCATCTGTCGCAAGAAATTCACTAGCACCAAGCTCAAACGCTCTCGGCCTTTTCTGCCTGTCGTCCTTGAAGAAACGACTCACCAGTTCTTGGAAAGGTTGCGAAAACAACTTTGACTCCATGAGATTCTTGGGAGAAGAGTATTTGCGTAGCACATCCAAACCAAATACCATTTGCACAAAGACAACTCCAAAATCCCAGATATCAGCTTTGGATGTATACTGCGCCTTCGTAGCAGCGGCAATCTCTGGTGGTAGCCAGTAGGCAGACTTTGCTGTAGCGAGCCCCAAAGGCCCTTGCTTCTTAGAGCTGAGGTTGTGGATTTCTCTTTGATATGACGCATCTGATATCTTAGGCACAATTTCGCCTGTAGATTCTCTAAAGAGAAGAATGTTCCTGGGGTGGATATCTTGATGCGCTACGTTCTTATTATGAAGGAAGTTCAGCGCATCAAGGAGATCTCTCGTCCAAGATCGCACCTTTCCTATCTCAAGCTGACCCGCAAGCTCCAACAGTTCTTCCAGCGAGCCTCTCTCTGCCAATGGAGTGAGGATCCTCACTGTCCACGTATTAGCAGCAGCGCGATCGGCATCTATACCGCTCTCAACTTTGTAATCGAAAACATCGACTAAGTGTCGATGGTGTATCTTGTTCCCAATCTTGAGATCTTGGAGCCGAGATTCCAATGACTGCAATAGTTTCTTGAACTCTTTTTGGTCTTTACCATTCGGACGCAAGACCGCTTCTTTCAACGCCAGTGGTTGATTGCCCTGGCCATTGGAAAGGACTGGACGCACAGTGAAAACCGTGGAAGCCGGTCCGGCACGAGGATCAGATTTGCCCGCGACAGATCTAAAAGCCAAAGTGTTTCCCAAGTTGTCAGTCACGGAGCAATATTGGTCGAAATCAATCGTCTCAACGTTCAAGGCAGAGGACGTAGACGGTCGGTGCGGGCTCAAGCCGTTTGTGTGACGACTGAATCTCGACTCTCTCGCCTTTTGCTTCTGTCGCAAAAGCTCTTGTTGCAGCTCTTCAGCAGCAGTCTTCTCTTCCTTTTTCTTTTCCTCCTCTTTACGGTGCTTTTCCTTCTCTTGTTGCTCCTGCGCTAACTTTGCCAAGGCTGCCTCGTGCCTATCACGCTCCTCTTCCAGCGACGGCAGCTGTTTACCAGACGCCTTTGCTTGCGCCGCATCTTCAAGAATTTCACGAATGCCTTCGACAATCTTGTCAACCATTACTTCGCCCTCTTTGGCGAAGGCACGTGGCTGCGTCTCCAAGAACTTTTGGATCTTGAACTGGGTCACCTCTCGCAAATAGCTCTGGCCTTTGAGAGTAAGCACAGGAGGTGACTTTGGATATGTCGCCGTAATAGTAAACCCGAGAGTCACGGCAAAATCTTCATCGCTAGCTTTTATTCGAATATCGAAAGACGGGTCGGACTTCTATACGTCGGTGTAAGTCAGCATGCGACAGCAGGGAAGAGAAGCATGGGACGGAATACCTTCCAAGCGCTATGCGCTGCCACATGTTCGATGAAGTCGTCTGCGTATATGGCTTGCAGAGCAATAATCTCGTCCCTCTGTTGCTCCTCATACTCGGTCTTATTCCTCGCATCTGGGCCGGGAGGCCTGAGGCCCGGGAAGCTTGAGTCATCCTTGGAGGTTTTCGTCGGCGACGTCAGTGTCCTAGGTTGTTTCCGCGCCATGGTCGCGTGATACCTGGGTAAGAGCCACAGCCAAAGCCGTGACGCTTTACACAGAGGAAGCCATTCTGGATATCGACGTCCGAGGGAAAAGGTAATATGAGCGAATCTGGTATGAAGGAGAGAAAGTCGAGAGATGCGCCACTGGCTATTCGTTGAAGCTATCAATGCTCCAGTAGCGGCGGGGCAATTCTATCACCTGGTCAGTTTGCTGCTAGCTCCCCTGTAGCTGAATGCGCTAGTATCCTGTACAGCGCCTAGGCCGCTAAATCTGTTCCTGTACAGGGCTGAGCCAGGACTGCCCAGTGCGCTACAGCGGACCCAGTGCGATCGATCCACTGCCAGATTCCTGGAAACGCTGCTAGCCAGTTAGAGCCCCGTTATCACTAAGTCGAAGTTGATGGTCGCAGCCGAATCTTAAAAAAAAACAAGCATTTCGTCACCAGCTGAACACACCAATGGCGAAGTAAACAAAAACACACCTGCGGCCACGAAGCACCGACATCGCGAATGTAGCAACGTCCAAATGCAGTATCCATTCGATTCATCTTAATTGAGTACGATTAAGCGCTCAAGGACGCGCCAATCTCAACTTTGAATTACTTTTCCAAGACTTATCATTCAAGATGCTCGGATGGATGCTGGGGCGCGGGGAGAACGCGCCGGACGCGATGGACACTGGCGGTAAGTGAGGACGCTCCTGCGATGACTTTTTTTAATGTGAGAATAATATCCTGATGCTTATTTGGCTCAGATACCGCTACTATCGAGATGCCAGATACTCCTGCGCCCGTATTTGCAGCCAGAGCGTTCAAAAGTGCGCTCTTCGGCACTCCCGTCCGAGATGCGCAGCGAGCATCGCGGGACAAGGCTAGAGCGGCGAAATCGACAGCTTTCACAACGGATCAAGGTTCGGATACTCCACTGAAGCCGCAAGGGATCCTATTGACACCTGGCACGGGAGCTTCGAGGCGGAAACGCGTATCATTCAACCATGATCTTGCCACGACGAAGACCATTTCCCCAAATAACGAGGGGGTCGCCATTAGCAAGCGAACTCGTTTGTCCGATGTTCTCGATAAAGCGAGGCGCAAAAGCACCACCAACGTTTCCAGACAGACAGAAACCTTTACTGCCAAAGACGGGTCGGACGAGTCGGACTGGGAGGAAGAAGAGCTTTACGATGAAAATGGCGAATTCAACGGTCAAGATCTCACAGTCGATCTGAACGAGCCACACTCTCAATCTGGAAAATATTGGAAAGAGCAATTCGAAAAATATCACCAAGAAGCGCGGGCGGAAATGGAGAAGCTACTAAAATACAAGAAACACCTCAAATCTTATGCGGAGGAGAAAGATTTAGAAGCCATCCAGCTGGCGCAGAGACTCAAAGAAGAACAGGAAAAGGTGGTTGCCATGGAGAAGAAGATTACAGAAAACGCAAACTACATGGTATCAAAACAGAAAGGAGCCTCCAACAGTAGCGAGACCACAGAGTTACTAGCGACCCTAACAAAGCAAACTGCTCTTGCGGCTCAGTACCGGCATAGAGTTCAGGAACTTGAGGCCCAGCTTGAAGAACTGCATCAGGGGCGGGAAGACGACGAAGAAGCAAGGGAATGGAGGCGGCTACAAGGTACGACTTCGCCCAATACAGCAAAAACTATAATCGAAACTCAGCGAGAGTTGCGACGATCTCGAGCGCAACTCAAGGAGCTGGACGCCCTACGCAGCCAAGTATCCTCGCTCAAGGCTCAACTAAAGACCGCCGAGCAACGAAGGATTCCAGATTTTTCAACTACCGACGATTTTAACGAGACGGCGATCGTGAGAGAGCTCAAGGCACAGCTTAGGCAGGCAAAGGAAGAATCATCGAACAAAGATGATGAACTTCGCCAGTTGAAGAAGGATTTTGACTTGTTTAAGAAGGAAAGCGAGGCTCACGATGCAGATACCAAGGCCGTTCTTGAGCGCGCTCAAACGAAGATTTCGGATCTCAAAAAAGAGCTCAAGACTCTCAAGGCCGGGAAAGCAGCTTCCACAGCCCAGCCTGAAGACATATTATCAAGGCCCCCTGTGGCTACGAATGGGGTCCGAAAGAGTATCGACGTAGCAGACCTTGAAAGGCCCCGGCAACTCCCCGAGGCAAGCAGCTCCAAACTTCGCACCTTGCGAGACAAGTATCGAAGGGATGCCACGCCGAAGAGGGCAATGAAGTCAAGAGACCCAGCTGAAGCCCTGGGCTACCAATCGAACGACGAAAAACTCGTTTGGCAGCCATTTGTAACGAGGTCGTCTACTAAGAGAAGAGCCTCCGTTAGTGGAGAAGCGCCAAAGAGAAGCCAATTTGGCAGTGAAGCGCTTGCGTCTTCTGGCGAGGAGAACATTGGACTCCTCAAAGTGCCTAGGCTAGCGAAACCCACAATCCATCCCAAGAGCTCATCGTCATCCGATGACATGGAGGCCGAGGTCGACCTTTTGCAAGATCACTTTGCTCGCCTCGGCGGACCCGACGTGGGCAAAGGCAAACTCAAAGACGTATCCAACGACATTAATAGCAAACGGTCGTTGCCACCGGAACGCCGAGCTGCCGCCCTTGCTCGGATCGAGAAGAGAATGGCCGAAAAGAGAGCCCGGCGACGGGACGGAACTGACAAGGAAAATGTGAGGCCATGAGAAGATAATGAGGCTCTGTTTAGGAGCCATCTAAGCGTGTTCTAGTTGCTTTGATTTAGGGATCAGCGTGGTGTTTGCAATATTGTTTTTTTAGCAGCAAAGGGAGACGGTACGAATAGGGTTTATCACCAGCGAGAGCGATTGTAATAACGCAAAGCGGGACGCTCTCTTGTGAATCTGTCACGGTGCTTGGATTGAACTCTTTGTTTTTTTACCTGGGTTTTTGTAATATGCTCATATACCTATTTGTAACTGGCTGGAAGATGTTAGGACGTGGGTGTGAGCGTGTCTGTCTATCTGGCATATCGCACGGGTCTAATGCGCAAATGAATGACAAGCCATGATTTTGAACTCTACATCTACACAAGCTCCAAATGGCATCACCCCCTCATGCATCGGTGGATGAGATCCAAAGTGAAATTGCCCTCTTAGAAAGTCGTTTAAACGAGGCAAAGGCTCGCCTCAGCGCCTTTGGCTCAGCTTCAGCGCCCTCAATACCATGTAAGTCGTGATCGCTCCGCCAAAACAAAAGAGCCTCATACAAGAGCTTCATTCTCATTGCAACGCATCCCAGTCCGCCCTCAACTATCCGCCTCGTCATCCACGCATTTTCTCTTCCTCCTCTCCGACTCCGCCCTGCCCATCGGATCCTTCGCCTTCAGCAGCGGCCTCGAGTCCTTCGCCGCGCACAACCGCCGCGCCTCGTCCTTCAGCACGTTTCTGCCCCTGTCGCTCTCGTCATATGCCTCGACAACGCTGCCTTTTGTCCTTGCCGCGCATCGCCATCCCGCTTCTCTCGCGGCTCTAGATGACGAGCTCGACGCGGCGGTGATCTGCACCGTTGGGCGGCGCGCCAGCGTCGCTCAGGGAAGAGCCCTGCTGAGCATCTGGGAGCGCTCGTTCAAGGCGATTCTGCCTCCGGGGAGCGAGAGCGATTCGCTCATCTTGAAGGATTTCTCGACGCTGCTGCGTCGCGAGAGCAACAAGGCGGGCGGCGAGGCTCCGCTCGTCTCGGCACATCTTGGCCCGCTGTTTGGCGCGATTTGCGCCATCGTGGGGTTGACGTTGAGACAGACGGCCTATGTCTTTATGCTGAGCCACGTCAAGGCGTTGATCTCGGCAGCGGTGAGGGCAAATATGTTCGGGCCCTATCAAGCACAGAAGCTGCTCGCCAGCGAGAATGTGCAAGACGTGATCAATGCCATGGTGGAGAGGGAATGGCATACGCCCGTGGAGGAGGCTGGGCAGAGCGTGCCGATTGTTGATCTATGGGTTGGGCGACATGAGCTGCTTTACTCAAGAATATTCAATAGCTGAATGTGACATGATATATTGTATTCTGCACTGTTTTAATCAAGGTGGTATCATTATCAATGCTCTCTCCCTATGTCTATGCCTATGCCTATGCCTTTGCCCAATCTAAAAAGAAAATAGATGAAAAATATCCAAACTATGTACCAAATCGCCCGTTCACTCATCGTCATCGCTATCGCTATCATATGCAACCAAGGGACCGGTAGATGTAGCTACCGCTGGTTTTGATGAGACTGCAACTTTTGCTTTACTCAACGCAGCCAAGGTGTTGTTTGAAAAGACTCCCGCGCTCTCAGGAGGCGACTGCTGTTCCTCTTGAGCGGCCGGAACCTCTAACTCTTCAGCAGTCCCATCTTCAATCATGGGCGGTTCTTGATATCCGAGTCTTCCAGCAGGGTTAACTGCGTTGGGGCCTTGGGCGAAATAGATTTCATCAGGGGCTTCGTAACCTTCCAGCCCGTAACTACTCTCCACTTTCCTCCGTTTTCTTGACTCGGGATCTTTGCCTTCGATTTCGGCAATGTATTCTGCTGGCAGTGCTCTTCGAATGGCTTCAGCAGCTTGCTCTTCGATCCGCCGCGCTTCTCTAGCTCGCGCCATGGGATTGGGGTCTTCCGTTGCCCATCGAACGTTTAGCACCTCGTCGTGATCTAGAGATCTAGGGCTGGTCAGTGGGCGTTGGACTAATGGATGGTGCTGTAGAGATTGGAAAATACATACTGATGTGCCATGGCTTCTTTGGCGAATTCTGCGTTTGCTTCGTTGACATACGTTACGAAAGCGACTCCTCTAGAGTTTAGCACGCGAACTAAATCTCATAGTTAGCCAAGCTGAAAACTATCAACATCGTTTGCAAGTAGTTAGAGTACTTACTGCGCTCAATCTTCCCCCATTCAGCAAAGTGTCGCGCGACAATCTCTTCGATATCATCGGTTACGTGGATACGACCAATGTAAACTGTCCTGTTCTGGCGCATAAAGCTTCCAACACCGCCCATATCGTCTCTGTAGCCTGAGAATTTGTCTCTGCCAAAGACATCCACGTTTGGCGCCAAGATGTTGTGTGTTCCGGGAAGTCGATGTAGGTACATGCAGTCTGCTCCTCGCGGACACAGACCGCGGGCAAAGAACAAGCAGAAATAGCTGCCAGATACACCATCGGCTTTCGTATATCCACTGTCTCGAGCGATGTTGCAGCGTCCCTTCGCTTTCGTCTGCTGGTATGCCTCGTGATCGCCGCCTGCCCATTTGTTATACCTAACTAGATTTAGCTGCTGTTCTGCTAGATGATTGCGCAATCGCGACATGTTTTACTTACCAGATATTGAATGTCGTGCCTGTTTGAGGAGGAGCCTCGCCGATGAATTCGGCCGAAACTTGGGGCCTGGCTGGCCTCTTCTTGCGGACTGTAACCATGATCTGATCGTTGCTGGAAGAAGAGAGAAGAGGTAGATAGAGAGAGATTGGTTTACTGTATTTCTGAAGAAGAAAAATAGTAGACTGATGACCTGCTCTTGCTTGCTAAATGGCAATTGGTGCCGCCTATCTTGGAAAGGAATCGGCGCGCGTGTGGCGTAGGAGAAATCACGTGCAAATCTTATAGCACTGGATTCTTTCGTCTTCTAATTGCACTCTTGATTCCATTCAAAGAAGGAAAAAAAGAGGAATTAAGCAAGGATAAAGAGCAAGAACAGTCTTTAATTAAATAAAAGTACAAAAAAAACCTTGGAAGGAGCAAAACAACTGTAAATTGACTTGGAATGGCTTTTCTTGTACTTGTACGTACCCATGTAAAGGCTGAACTGGCGTAAACGGCAGGCGGTGAGCTAGTGAGATTCCACTCGCCATCACCAAAGGCCCCTCCAAGTCTTTTGCTTTATGCGCCAGAACCCCCGCCATCTCGAATCTCAAAGCCAGCTACAAAACTGCTTCTTCTGCTCTGTAACGCTGGACGATACGTCTTTGTGGACTAATATTTGTTTGTGTTTCTCGTCTTATCTTTCTCTTCAATAAGACGGTATTGCCGTCTATAAATAACCGTGTGCCAGGATGGTGAACATTACGGAAAAGATCAAGGAGTGAGTGACCAGTTTATGTTGTGAGAGACACCATGTCTAACATGATGTCCAGGATCGAGGATGAGATGAGAAAAACACAGAGTAAGAACAATGATAAATATCCCTTTCTTTAATTTGTTCCATCTTCATGATTCCCCGAGTATTCTACGTGTGGTTGTAGCTGCAGAGTCTATCACAGCGCTTATTATACAATTAACCCCAACAGCTTATAAACGCATATACTCAAGCTCTTTTTAGTACAGTCTGGCTAACAATGCGTTATAGAAAACAAGGCCACTGGTATGTGTGTTTATAATACTCTGTTAAGTCATTAGAGCTGACAACAAGGTCAGAATACCACTTGGGTCTATTAAAAGGGTAAGCCATCATAAACAGAGACTTCAATTTTATATGGGGCACAGCAGTCTCTAACGTGAACAGAAAACTCGCACGACTCCGCGCGCAGCTTCTAGAGCCGGGCCCCGGAGCAGGTGGCGGTGGTGGTTCCGGCTTCGACGTCAGCAAGAGCGGTGATGCCAGAATATCTCTAGTGGGCTTTCCATCAGTAGGAAAGTCTACATTTCTATCCAAAGTCACAAAGACCAAGTCCGAAGTAGCGTCATATGCATTCACAACCCTCACGGCCATTCCCGGAGTGCTGGAATATGGCGGTGCCGAAATCCAGCTGCTCGATCTACCGGGTATCATTGAAGGTGCTTCCGAGGGCAAGGGGCGAGGTCGGCAGGTTATATCAGCAGCCAAGACGAGCGACCTGATCCTCATGGTCTTGGATGCGACGAAGCGAGCCGAGCAAAGAGCGCTGCTAGAGGCGGAACTCGAGTCTGTCGGCATCAGACTGAACTGCGAGCCCCCGTAAGGTGACATGAGATGCATCACATTTTCAGTAAGCTAACAAGAATTCAGAAATATCTACCTCAAGGTCAAGAAGGCTGGCGGCATGAAAATCACCTTCCAGTCTCCACCCAACAAGATAGACGAGAAGATGATTTATAACATCCTCCGCGACTACAAGATCCTCAACTGCGAGGTGCTTATCCGAGATGAAAACGTCACTGTCGACGACCTCATCGATGTCATCATGAAAGACCACCGCAAGTACATCCGATGCCTGTACGTCTACAACAAGATTGATAGCGTCTCTCTCGACTTTTTGGACAAGCTCGCCAGAGAAGACCACACCGTCGTCATGAGCTGCGAGCTCGACCTGGGTATCCAAGACGTGGTTGACAGATGCTGGAAAGAGCTCAAGCTCATCCGCATTTACACCAAGAGGCAAGGAGCCGACCCAGACTTTAGCGAGGCGCTGATTGTGCGGAGTAACAGCACCATTGAAGACGTGTGCGACAGGATACACCGCACTCTCAAGGACACGTTCAAGTATGCGCTTGTTTGGGGCGCCAGCGCAAAGCACATTCCTCAGAGGGTAGGATTAGGGCATCCAGTCGCAGATGAAGATGTTGTGTATATTAATACTGCATGGAAGGCGTAGAGTAGATAGTGCAGAGCAGAAAGCAAGTTAAAAAAAAAAGAAGACTCATCATTATTACTAACAAATATCGTATCCATTCGTATTGAGAGCACTTGTACAGAAGCAGCTCATCTGCTCCCGCCAACTATGCTTCTGTCATGACATTAAAAGGAATAAAAGAGAGAAAGAGAGACATCAAAATTCGTATCAACCCTTTCCGGCATCACCATGAAGAATATGGTGCGCACGTCATCCGGAAAACGCCTGTCCCTTAAACCAGTAGTAGTACCTCCAAATCTTGTCCGAGGCATGTTCCAATCCAAACCCAGCTAACCATTGCCAATCGTGCTTCCCGTCTCCCGTCATTATGAACGGGGGGCGAGACCAAAGAAATTCGCGACCCGTTGTTTTACACACGTATAAAGGAAAAATATCAAAGTACAAAGGAAAATTGTGTGAATCGTAGACTTGAATCAGCGAATTCTCGAGGTCAAGACGCCGTCGCTCGGGGCTTTTCTAGTGCCCAGCGGGCTTTGGCTCTGGCTCTGAGTGGGCTGTGCGCCGAAGGGATTCTCGCCCTGGAATCTCTTAGTGCTCGCTTGGGCAAAGAGGGACTTTGGTTTGGCTCTAAATTGAGGCATGTCTGGTTAGCTTCATTGAATTTTCGTTGGAATCGATTTGCGAAGATGAGGGTCGAGGGGGAAGACTGATGACAAGACCTACCTAGAGACTTGTTTGTTGCGCAACGCCGAGAGCTTTGCCGTGCATGGGCTCATGATGGTGTCAGACGGGGAGATGTATTGCTTAGAACTAGGAAGACAGAGATGATGTCAGTAACGGCTGAGGGCAGTTGATAATAGCAAATCGTGAAGCAGCAGATCAGTGACATACGGCTCCTGGGCAATTCTGGACTGCAACACCTGCCGATGGTACTCCATGCTCTTGACGTCCTTAGCGAGAGGCTGGGCATCGGTCATGGTGACATTGACGTCCCGTTCACCGAGGATTCTATTGCCGGACATTTTTTTTTTTTTTTTTGCAAGGGTAGGAGAAGTTAACGAAAGAGTGACTTTAGGAAAGTTGGCAGAATCGGTGTGTTGCAGTCGTGAATTCGCTCCTGTAGAAAAGAGAGAGAAAAAAGGGGGGTTGAAAATCCGAGGGGGGGGCGGTCGCTGTTTTTGTAAACGTTTGTTTTAAAACCACCTAAAGCAGAAAAGGAAGAATGAGAAGGAGATAAAACCGCCAAAAAACTATGACGTTCCGTTCCACTTCCATGCCAAGTTGCATGTCTACCCAAGGCAAAAAAAGAGAAAGTAAACGAATGACAGGCGTTGGCAGGGCGACGGGCGAAGAACGGACAATCCCTGTAGGGAGCCGCTGCCGGTATGCATGAAGATGTGAGTGGAGCTGGCAACGGCACTTTTTGGGGCCGGATTTACTGGATTTACCCTGGATTGGGGATGGAAACAGCAGATTGGCAAGGAATTGTTTTTGTGTAGCTCGGGATTGAAGCCAGATGAGGATTTAATATAAATGACACTAAACATGCCAGCTGGTGAGGATGATTACTCTATACTCAAACCTATATTTACCTGTTCTCACTTTTGCAGTTATAGATGTATCATTTATTGTGTCTACGGCTGAGAATCGTAGCAACGATGAGAAATAGAGTCTATTTCAACCACCGACTATTAGCAGCCTATCAAAAAGATACATCACACTGTCCAATTCTGGGCCAACTTTTTGCTTTACTATATACGCTAGTTGTAATGCATTAACATCATCAATAATCCAATTGCCAGTATTTTACAGTAAAAAGTCATAACAAGTCAAGAAGAGCAAGGCAGGACCAGGAAGTAAATATAGACCCATTACAACTTGGCCTCATGCTTAATCTTGGTGCCAGGCTCGGCGAGTTCAACGCCATATCGCTTCAGCAGCTCTTGTGTCTTGGCCTTTTGCCTCTGGTGCTTCTCAGCCGTCTCCTTGCCGCGCTTGTTCTCGTTGCGGCCCATCTGCTGCAAGTGCACCTCGTCAGGGCCGTCGGCCAGACGGAGCGTTCGGATGCCAGCCCACATGTTGGCCAGGGGAGTCTCCTGGGAGACACCGGCGCCGCCGTATGCCTGGACGGCCCGGTCGATGACGTTGAGGGCAGTCTGGGGGATGAGCACCTTGGCCTCGGCAATTTCCTTGAGGGCCTTCTTGGCACCGGCCTCGTCGATCTTGATGGCGGCGTTGAGGACGATGAGTCGGGCGGCGTCGATTTCGATACGCGACTTGGCGATCCACTCGAGGATGACGCCGTGCTCGCGGAGGAGCTTGCCAAAGGGCTTCTTCTTCTCGTCGTTGACGCGCACGAGCATCCAGTCAAGAGCTTGCTCGGCCTGCAAGGAAAAAATGTGTGTATTAGCAAAAAGGGTTATGGATATTGTAGCAACGGAGCCAAACTTACAGCGCCAATGCTGCGCATAGCGTGGTGAATACGGCCAGGTCCCAGTCGGCCCTGGATGATCTCGAAGCCTCTGCCCTCGCCGAGAACCAGGTTCTTTGCCGGCACGCGCACGTTCTTAAAGGTGATGTGGCCGTGGCCGTGGGGGGCGTCGTCGTAGCCGTAGACCTTGAGCATTCTCTTGATTGTGATTCCAGGAAGGCCGGCAGGGACCAGGATGACGGACTGCTGCTTGTAAGGGTCGGCGTGGTTGGCATCGGTCTTGCCCATGACGACGTAGAGCTTGCATCGAGGGTCGCCAGCGCCGCTGGACCACCACTTGGAGCCGTTCAAAATGTAGTCGTTGCCATCCTTGGTGATCTGCAGCTGGATATTGGTGGCGTCCGAAGACGCAATCTCGGGCTCAGTCATCAAAAAGGCCGAGCGGATCTTGCCCTCCATCAACGGCTTGAGCCACTCCTCCTTCTGCTGGGCGTTGCCGTACTTGGCCACGACCTCCATGTTGCCCGTGTCGGGAGCGGCGCAGTTGCAGGCCTCGGAGGCGCTGCGCGAGCGGCCCAGCCACTCTGCCATGATGGCGTACTCGAGGTTTGTCCAGCCGGGGGACTCGGTGTAGAAGCCCTTGGGCAAGAACATGTTCCACAGGCCCAGCTTGCGCGCCTTGTCCTTGAGCTCCTCGATGATGGACGGGTGGTTCTCCCAGCGGTTATCGCCTTCGCCCACCTGGGCCTCTAGAACGGGGTCGGCGCTGTTTTGTGTCGTTGGGCAATTAGCTTTGTCGGTTCGTCGTAGCAGAAGTTGACTGGGAAATGGTTGGAGGCTCACGGGATGCATTCTTCCTCGACAAACTTGGCAACGAGGTCAATCTTTTGCTTCGCCGCCTCGCTGATGTGTTTTGAGACCTAGTCGTTCCATCGCGATCTGATTAGCCCATGCGCCAGATGTCTAGAATCAAATCACGAAAGGGAAAGCTCCAATAGCTTACAAGAGCTGGAATCCGAGCAGCCATGATTACGAAATGTGTGCCGTGTTTGTATGGTTAAGAGTAGAAAGAAAAGAAGGGCAAATGAATGGATCGAATTCAAGCCAAGATTCCTCCGCAAACAATGAACAGCCGAGACATGGAGACGCTGCAATGGTCTGATATTTATCTCGACGGTATGGACAGCTGGTTGATGCGGAGCCGAGGCGGAAACGAGTCCCGTCGGATCATGATTCGGTGGAGAGAGTCCGGGGTAAGCCGCAAGCCGAGGTGCAGAGTGGGGCCTCACCGACTGAGGGCGTTATAAGTCGATGCCATAGGCCTTAGTGCAACAGGTTGCATTGCAAATCGAATGATTCATTAATCTGCCTGATATGGTAATCGACAACGAGGAACGAAAATATTCAAAGTCAAAGGGCAGTAAATACAAAGCATGGCTGCCGTTGGGACATTGGTGGATACCCGCTTTGAAATCTGGGTGCAGAAGAAAAGAGACAAAGACAGGCACATACATGCAAACATACATCGTACATATAAAGCAAGAAGAAAAAAAGGCATATCGATGTTATGTATAATCAAGTCCATAGCGTGAAATTGCTCCCAGCCATGCATAGAATCTATAGCCCCATGGTCCCTTAACAAGTAGATGTATGAGAATAGCCCGTCTCAGAAACTCTCTCCTCTTCCCCCTCTCCCCCTCCTCTCCGAGCCCGACAGCCAGAGCCGAGGCAATGGCTGGTGCACCTCTGCGTTCGAAAATTACGAGCATCTCCGTATCCCATCAACCAAGAAGCGAAGCAAAATGAAAAAGAGAAAGAAATTTCAACCCTGACGCAGAAAAAAAAAAAGGAAAAGGGAAAAAAAAAAAACAATTACTACCCGCGCAAACACCGGCATGGCCTCGTTTCTCCGTACTCTACTTCCAGTCGATAAGAAAATGCATCAGCTCCATAGCCGGGTATGTTCATTGCCTGGTTATCCATGGCCTTTCTCTGACTAGTTTGTCTTCATCCAATCAACCTTGTCGTATCTCCCCATTTAACAAGCACATCCGTCACGATCGTTGTCGATGTGAATATTGATGGGATCATCAAAATCTCCGCTGTATTCCTCAGACTCCTCTTGAGCCAAGGCATTTCGAGCAATAACTGTCATTTCGTTAGCCCATTAACTAGAACATCGCTGCCATCGTCAAAGTGTGCGCGCATACCCTCAAATGCCTGGTCAATGTTGATGGCCTCCTTTGCACTAGTCTCAAAGTATGGGATATCGCCCTTGGATTGACAGAAAGTCATGGCTCGCTTGGTCGAAATCTGGGCCGTGTCAGCTACCCATATTGGTATTTCAACCCTGTCATTACTCACCACTCGCTTGCTCTCCTCCACATCAATCTTGTTTCCAAGGACAACCTGCGACGCCATTAGCATATGCGCCCGTCCTAAAGACCGTCATACCGTAACACCTACAAAGGGGAAGTTGGGGGGATCCCGCGGGGAGGCCTGGATCAGGAACTCGTCTCGCCAGCTGTCGAGCGCCTCGAAGCTCTTGGAGTTGTTGACATCGTACACGAGAACGCAGCAGTCGGCTCCTCTGTAAAAGGCAACGCCCAGTGACTGGAATCGCTCTTGTCCGGCCGTGTCCCAAAGCTATCTAGTGCATCAGTAACCGTCGTTGATGACTCTTCCTTTGTCCCAAAACGCCTCGTACCTGCATCGTGACTTGTCGGTCGTCCACCAAGACCTCTCGTGTTAGGAAATCGGCGCCGATAGTGGCCTTGTAGCTTGCGCTGAACTTTTTGTTGACCTAAACCAATCCACCAAAGGGCATTTCATCAATAAATCATCCTCGCATATCGTGGCGATGGATCGGAGATCGTGGGAAGGGGTGTGCGTACATATTGATTCATCAAACTCGTCTTGCCCACACCGCTATCTCCAAGGATGATGACCTATCGAAAGAGGCACGTTCAGCATCGCAGCAACCCAGCGCGGCTCCGGCTCCGGCGGCAGGGCTCGCATACCTTGAGAAGGACCTTCTTGTTGCGCGAAGACATCTTGACTGGTTATCGGTGGCCACGCTCGCCGCTCCAATGACGTGATACGGATCAACCCAAGGCCAAACGCACGGTCGCAACGAACACAGACGACGCTTGAGAGTGTTTCTGTCGGCGGAGAGGAGGCGGGAGATGTGCAGAAAAAGAGTTGCCTGCTGTGTAATCGCAGCGATTGTCGTAGACGTCACGAGACCGTATGAGTCGTGGAGGCTTTCGCTCAGGCAGGCTTCAATGGGCGAGGCTGGCTGGGCTTCTCGGTTTGTTGGCGGGCGGGCGACGCTTTTGGCTCTAGCGGCGGTACCCATTAGTAGGGGCCTATCCGGGTCAAAGGTCTCGGTGTCGTAACAGCGGGAGCGCCGCTAACAGCGCTTGGGGGTGTTTCCAGCTTAGCCCCATGCAGAGAGCAGGCGCCTAATCTAGCTGAGGTACCTGATGCAGAAGTGCACTCATCGATCCAAAAGTCTTGTATTTGAAGAGTCATAAAACACTTTACAGAAATTGATAAAAGGATTTTAAACTCGTAGATGCATTTGTAACTACTTAAATCTTATTGCGCATATTTTATAAAAATTATCATCAGTTAATCATGGGAGATCTAGGGGCATCAACGTTGGCCATCCACCAAGACACTGTACCTTGGTACCTCCGGCCCTCTTCCAATCAAGGTCCATGCAATGTCGCTTGCCATCCCAAAATAGATGCGATGATGCCTCCTCCAACACTCATCTAATCCTCAATAAACAGCACACCATCCTGATGCTGATGGACCTGGCAACTCTGCCGGCGCTTTGCGATGGCGGATGAAGACCTGCTCGACAAGGTCCACAGCTTGAGCGACCTGGAACTGGCCGTCCTGCTCTGTCTCATCAATCGCGAGCACGTCCTGATTAGCACTCCGCCAGCCGCCATTGATGACCTGGTGCAAGAGCTCCAACTGGTATGCTGCTTACGCTCTTATTGTTCAGCTCGAGGCATGTGAAGCTGACAATCACAATCAATTCCCAACGCACAGGTAGCACGCAAGACATTCAGCCTCAAGCCCGTCGTCGTCGACTGCCACCCGTCCACCACGCTCGAGGACTTCGCCTCAGCTCTGCTCCTCCATCCTCGCCATCCTCATCCTCAAAGCACTCCCGGCCGTTCCGTCTCGCCCTTTGCCCGGACGACAGAATCATATTTCGCTCTCAACTCACACCCGCTCTCGAATCACCGGACCTCCTCCGTGCCGCTCTCGCCCCTGTCCTCTCTCCCGCCTCCTCAGATCGCCCATTTTGTAATCGCCAAGAATCTCGACCGCGCCCCACAAGTCGTCCAGATCCAGGCCCTCGAACTCCTACGCACAAGACGCATCTTTACGCGCACGTCGGTGCAAGCCGCGCCGAAGCAATTCGTCTTCATACCCGTCGTGGGAGCTGCAAGCGGTGGCGAGGCGCATGTCACGCCGCATCTCAACGACTTCTTCTCAATTGCCCATTGGCATAATCCAGACGATGGATATGTTAATCTAGATGAATCAGATGGTCGAAACAGCGGCCCGGATGACGAGAAGGCGTCTACGGAGAGCGTGGTAAAGAAGGCCGTGGATGACGCGACGCCGTCAACAACTCTGATATCAGATATAGTAAGCTCCTATACCCATCTCTACTTTTATTCCACTCAAGTTTTAACAAGTTTTTTTTAGGATATCAGCCAACTTGCAAAACTGAGTCAGGAAGTTCAAATTGACATTGACATCCTGCGATACCAAATGAACATTGTCTCCTTTCTCCGAATGCATCGAGCCGTCGATGGCGGCATCACGCCTGCAGCCACCAAGCATCTCCACCAGCTCGTCAAGAGCCTTGCTCCTTTACACAAGCTTGACTATGTGACCCCGGCCCTCATTGGACTAGCTGTGAGGAAAGTCTATCTCCACCGAATTCGTATTATCGAGCCGGAAAAGGAGAGGAGTATGCAGTGGGGAAGTCAACTGGAAGCTGTGGAAGCTTTATTAGAAGGTGTCGGGCCTGAGGAAGTGGTGGAAGAAGTTTTGGAAATGGTAACTGCGCCTCTTTGAATAATATCATATTAACTCTGTATCCTTGCCCATTCAAGCCTGTTACCGGAATCAAAAAAACCAGGCCCATGATTCCCCATGTATACATAATATATAACTAGATAGAAGTTCCGCATCCCAGTTGCATCAAAGACCATATTATTAATACCAACCTCTAATTCCGCATTATATTTTCTTTCAACAGCGTAGGCGTCATACAGCAATGTGCTTTGCGATTATTCTAGACAATCGACTCATCGCGAACCCTTTATTCAGAAAACGCCTAATAAGTAATATGAAAGCATATTATAAAACCTCCTTAACCTTGCATTCCCAACCTGAGCCAGGAGCCAAAAGCGGCAGACTAAGAAAAATCATCAGTTAGTTATGAAAAGACACAAGGGAACAAAGACTAAGAGTTCTTACCTAGCGCCAAGGCACCAGCCCAGCTCATTGCCCTTGATCTTCTTCGCAATCTTGACCTCGCGGTCAATGGGCATCTCGTATCCAGTGTGCAGCAGCGCCATCATAAAGTTCAAATCCAGGCAGTGCTCGGGGCGGTCCGCAAGCTCCTCCAGGGCACCGGGGACGCTGGAAAAGACATCCCAGGAGTCCTTGCCGGCACAGACCTTGTCGGTAAGATCGTGCATCTCGCGAAGAGTGAAAGAGTCGGGCATGCCGAGGGGCTTGGTGCGGTCGTAGAAGTAAGAGAAGATGTAGACGTCCTCCTTGGCAAAAGTCTTGGAAAGGATAGGCTGGTGGACGCCGTTGAAGGAGCAGGGAGCAAGCTTGCAGTCGGCTTCCTTCTTCAAGATCTTCTCAGCCAGGTTGCGGCACTGAGCAGGAGCGGGTGAAGATGGGCCAGTGAAGTTGAAGGTTTGTGCCTCGCCACCGTTGACCTCGACGTCGATTTGCTTGGTGGTGCCGGGAGCGATACAGGGGTGCACAATCGGCGAGTTCTTCCAGGTTTCGTCATCTTTCTTGGACTTGGCCAAATCATCAATCAGGAAGGAGTGCAGGGCCTTGCGAGCAGACATCAAGCCATAGCCAAGGTGAGAGTGCTGGTAGAGGTCGAATTTGTGGCCGCCAAAGTCCAGCTCGTACTTGTGGTCTCCAGGAGCCAGCTTCTCAGGCATGCCTCCGTCTGGGGCTCCCTTAAAGGTAGGCTCAAAGACAATCTGGGTTGAACCGCCACCGAGATCGAAGACAGCAGCGGTCTCACTCTTGTCAGGGCCGCCAATCTTGCCAAGCAGGTAGTTGGTAGTGATCCAAGCATAGACACCTTCGTCCGAGCCGTCCATGATGGCAATACCGTTCTGTTCGGCAGAGACAACGGGGAAGGGGTAGTCCTGCTCCAAGTGTCGTCTGACCTCAACCAAGATGGCATCGGCAAGTTCCTTGCCAATCAAACGCAAGCCAGCGGTAGCCTTGACAGCAACGGGAGAGCACTTCTTCAGCGCATCCGGGACGTGTTCCATGGCAACGGCCATGAGAACATCAAGACTCTTGGCAGCGCCGACGGGGTCGTTCTTAAAGGCACTCAAGCCACCGACGGATTTCTCAGTCATCTTGAACTCTTCCTTCTCCAGCTCGGGAATGGGGCCGCAGTTGTTGAACTTGTAGACGTGGATTCGCGAGCCAGTGCTACCAGCATCGATCATGAGGACATACTGAACGATGGGCTTGTCCTTGGAGTACGATTTGGAGCACTTGTCGGTGCCGTAAGAAGAGTCTGAGGGAGACTGGCCACTGTTGGGAGCGCCGTTGCCAGCAGCGGCGGTGTCCTTGTTGGAGGTGGCATCTTTGTTGGAGGCGGGGACATTGGCGACGGGAGCAGCAGCGGGAGCAGCAGCGGGAGCTTTGCTCACAGAACCTTCTTCACTGCCCAATGGGCTCTTGTTGTATACCTCGACGCCGGTTGGTGACAGCCAGTAGAACAGGCAGAACAGTATCAGAACCAGCGTGCCGGTCTTAAGCCACCGCGATTTCTGAGACTGAGACAGCATGGTTTCCTTCATGCTGGCAAACAGGCCTTGCTTCCGTTGGCTTGGGCGGTACCGATCGGTCTTTTCGTGGGGATCGTGGGCAACTTGCTTCGTGGGCAGCGACACTGAAGTTCTCCTCATCAGGCCGCAGGGCGATCAATAAGAGACGCCGTGACGCATTAAAGAGCGGGAGGGATTGGAAGAAGAAAAGAGAGAGAGAGGGAAAAAATGAAGGTCTAGAAACCAACGTCAAGAGAATGACTGGACTGTGGAACAAATACGGCCTATCAGGTGGGAGGCGGCAGAAAGTAACATTACCAGGATCTAGGCGGACAATGCTGGAGTCTGGAAATGATCTGGAGTGGAAAAAAGGAGACCAAACAAATCTTGTCCAGGTGGAGGGGCAAAGCCAAGGTACCTTGTGCGCAAACTTTGTAGGGGAGAGTACTTTATGCACCCACCACACGCCGTTTTTAACCACTGTGTCACTGACGCTACAGACGGTCGCGCTTTTGGCTAAGGCCAGCAAAGCCACGCGATTGACGAAGAGTCCATTCGCCACATTCCATTTCCCCTGAAACCGGCTGCCAAAGAACCCCCTGGATGATGCGTCAGTGGGTCGTCCGCCTAGTGCAGAAAATCCGTCAAATTACAGGGTAGATCAAGAGATACAGACCGTGGCGACGTACGGCGGCATTTCAAGACAGAAAGCATAGAAATCAGCATGTATTTCCAAGTGTTGTTTTTTGTAGAGGCGTTAAACAATTGCTCTGTATTATTTTCAACGCCTTTGAGTCAGAAGCAACTGTATCTAGCAGGTTCCGGCTTTAGAACAGCGGAGTTTATAGGCTGAAGTCCGCCTCTTGATAGTACCTAGCAGTAGGCATATACGTCAGGTTTCGTGCGCTGGGTGCCTTCCATGTGATTTCGTACACCTTTGCTGCCTTGAACATCAATAAATAAACTCAAACCAGCCCAAACTCCACGGACTTTGGTCACTTTGTTTTCTCGTGAGATTTTCGCAATCAGCACCCAGCATTCCAATTACCCGGGTCTATAACTTGTTGGATATCGCCTCTGCGAAATTCTGCCAGGACGCACGACAACTTGCGTATAAAGACACGGCTCAAGATGGACGTCCACCTTCTTGTTTACGATCTGTCTGGCGGCCTGGCTCGTCAAATGTCGCTAGGCCTCCTTGGATTCCAACTTGATGCCATTTATCACACGTCTATCGAGCTTCAGGGCCGCGAGTACGTCTACGATGGCGGCATCATCTCCATCGCTCCAGGCACCTCACACCTAGGCCAACCCTTGGAGAGACTGCACCTCGGCAAGACAGATCTTCCCATGGACGTAATCGGGGACTATCTGGAGTCAATAAGATCCGTTTTCACGATAGAAGTAAGACATTATTGCTGATTTGCCTAGTAATTGCGTAGTTGCTAACTCGAATGAAAATAGGCCTATGATCTATTCCGCCACAACTGCAACAACTTCACAGATGCCTTTTCCAATTTCCTTCTCGGAAAGGGCATTCCAAGCCACATTGCACAAATGCCACAGGCAGTTCTCGACTCGCCGTTTGGACGCATGCTGATGCCTCAGCTTACTCAAGGGGTCAATGCCAGCAGGCAAAACGGCTCTATCCTGGGACTGCAGGAGAGTGCCCAGCCCATTGCACCTCTCAAGGCAGCTTCGGTGAAAGATGTGACCGGCCATGCGGAGCTATCTGCTCTGTTGGATCAAGCAAAGCAGTCCTGCGCAGTGGTCTACTTTACTTCTGCAACCTGTGCGCCATGCAAGATGATATATCCTTTATACGACTCACTGGCCGAGGAGTTTGCGGGCAAGGCAACTTTGATCAAGATTGACATCGCTCAGCCTCAGGCAAACCTGCTTGCTAGCCAATATTCGATCAGCGCAACTCCGACATTCATCACATTCCTAAAAGGAGAACAAGAAAACCGATGGTCTGGCGCTGATCCAGCGACCCTCAGAGGAAACCTTCAGCTGCTGGTACAGATGGCGCATCCCCACCATCCTCACGAGAAGCTTCGCCTTCCCACATTTGCTAATCCAAATACGAAGCCTGTGCTATTCGGAAAGGTGCCTCCAATGCAAAAATTAATGACCAAGATGGGACCAGATGTTTCTGGCAAGCCCGAAATTCAGCAGCTGAAAAGATTTATTGAAGACCGCGCCAATGGGGAAGCTCTAGATGCCGTTTTGCCGAACATGGGACACATGGCAAGCTTTCTCCAAGAGACAATCACAAAACTACCCCTTGAGATTATGTTTACCGTGGTCGATCTTTTGCGCTGCGCCCTTCTCGATCCCCGAGTAAGTGGATATTTTGCTGAAGAGACGGCGCACAAGACAGTTGCTGGCATCCTCAATGCCGTCAACGAGCAGACCGAGTGCCCATACGCACTGCGTCTTGTGACCTTGCAAATGGCATGCAATTTTTTCTCCACTCCATTGTTTTTGGACGAAATTCTACGACACGATCATCTTCGCGGGCCCATCACCCGGTTAATATCAACGAGTTTTCTCGATGATAGTCACAGCAATACCCGCGTGGCGGCATCATCTCTCTTGTTCAACATTGCTTTGGCTGATCGCAGGTCAAGGCTTGGCGAGGCCAAGCCAAGTTTACCAGAGGACGACCTTGTTGAGCTTGCAGCCTCTGTTGTAGAGGCAATCTCTCAGGAAGAGACCTCACAGGAGGCTCTCCAGGGCATGCTTTCGGCACTGGGCCACCTAATTTATTACACAAAGCTTGATGGAGAGCTTGCTGATCTACTCCGCGCTCTAGATGCCGAAGGAACGGTATTGGCAAAGAAGAAGACTTTCCCTAATGAGGCTTTGATTGTAGAGGTGGGAAACGAGCTTCTTGGAAAAGGCCTGAAGGTGGACCGGCTGAATTGAGTGGATTAGGGTTTGACGATGAGATGAGATGAAATGCTTTTACTGCCTCGTTTATAGACTGCCCTTGGAGCCTGTTTAGATGGATTTTCTGGATTTGAATAATTAATCACACGTCTTTTCTCTCTCTATCTTATCAGCAATGGCCATGAGAAGTACATCTGAGCATGCCCGCCTTTGCAGCTCCATACGTGCTCTGCCAAGTCTGCCTGCGTAGCACAAAAATGCTGAGTCATCAATCCAGCTTAGCATGCCCCACATTGCTGCAGCCCATTTAAACAGCCATCGCCAGCAAACTTTTTAGTTTTTTTTCTTTCTTTTTCTTCTTTATCAAAAAGCACCTGAGCTGCCACGACCCTCACCTAGCTAACCCACGGTGTTGCGTTGCCTTTCCCCTCGTTGGGAAACGCTCAGAAAAGTAAAACCCTTGGATATAGGAAATCTACCGCTACGTTTTTCGAAACAAAAATTCTGTGGGCGGCAGATGCCAAGAAGGGGGGACATACCAGCTTCTAAACAAGCTCGGTAATATTTTCTTTCGTTTTATTGTGTTCGTGCGCGCCCTTGGTGTAGCGCCAAGGTGCCGCTGAACACGAGCTGAACGAATGAATGTCGGTGCATTTTCTTCGCAGATGCTTTGTAGTCGAGTTAAAATCGCTTGAGCCTGCCTGGGCAATGGGCTGTCTCTTGTCGTGAGCTCCTGTGTGTAGTTTGCATGGGTTTGCTGCGTGCAAACGGCTCGTAGAAATGCCTGTGCGATGGTGAAACGAAAATTGTCATGACGATGTGGGCATCTCTGTTTGAAGCGAAAAGAAGCAAAATTGATTAAAAGTACATTCGACCTGGTATGTGTATTTCCACTTTACACATGCATGGACTCATGCCTTTGAAAGATTCGCGCCCTCGTCAGTCTCTCCGACATACTTGCTTCGATGCTGCTCCCTCACAAACTCCTCGATCTGGACGTCGTTCTCTGGCCGATTAGGAGGACCGGCTTCTCCTTCGTCTTCCACCTTGCCCTCTGGATTTGATCCGCCAAGAATGGGCACCGTAGCTGGAATGGCTTGTGAGACTATCGAGGGCATGTCAGTGCTGGATCGCGACGGATTGTAGACGAAGCGAATCATATAGCCATGGCGATTTTCTCGCATGTGTTGATCGCTGGCTAATCATCAGCATGGAGAGTGTCAGACAAGCAACTTACTCTTGTGAACAACCGTTTCGATGAATGATTCTCCTCCATTGCCGTTCTCACGAGTACGACTCTCATCTGCCTTTTGGTCGAGCTGCTGCTTGAAGTCGAGCTGCTCCTTGACTGGTGGCGCCTGCGACGGGCTGTCTTGATTCTTGGATGGCGAGTGCATGATGGCTATTACTTTTTCTACTTGGTCTCGGCAAAAGTCAAAGGGATAGAAGCGTATAGATACTGGAAGCTGCAATGTCGACTGAGATATCTTGGCTTTTGCGCCAAAAAAGATGTCATGGCCGGGACTTATATAGAGAGCTCGCCCATTTCCGATCTTTACGAAATGTGACGTCAAGTCAAGAGGCGATCAGTGCATGACAACTGCTGAAGACTCCCAAGGCCGCTAAAACAGAGGCCAAGGCTAGAGCCAAGGCCGTGGCTATAGCGCTGCTACGGTGGATGCATCTAGAAATTCAGGCCGAGAGACGGCGCTGATAAGATAAACTAAGCCGTCGCATTCTCTCTTCCCAGATCGATCTGATTTGCAAGCCGAGATATTTTCTCCGAGTGACAACCTAGCGTATAAGTGGTGTGATTGTTGGCTTCTTCCTTTCTCCTTCCCTTCCTTTTATCTTTGATTTAGTGTCCAATTCGATATAGATTGATCAAACAGAGGCTATTCTGCGATAATGGCCCCGATTCCTCTCACTATCATCACCGGCTTTTTGGGGTCCGGAAAGACAACCCTCATTCTCAACCTCATCCCCCAACTTCGCGCCCAAAACCCGTCCTACAAGCTCGCACTATTAAAAAACGAATTCGGCGACCTCGCTATTGATTCCCAGCTGGCGTCCAGCTCAGCCATTTCCGGCGTGCAAGAGCTTCTCAACGGATGCATCTGCTGCAACCTAGTAGGCCAACTCGGCCCTGCGCTGGCTGAACTCGAAAAGACTGTCGCGCCAGATCGCATCATTATCGAGACGAGCGGGTCTGCTTTTCCGGCAACTCTAGCTATGGAAGTCAACCGAATCGCAAGAGACACGGGGAAATACGTGCTTGACGGAGTCATCAGCGTGATTGACGTTGAGAATTGGAAGGGATACGAAGATACGAGCTACACGGCCAAGATTCAAGCGCGCTATACCGACTTGATTGTGTTTAATAAGTGGGAGACGGCGGGAGAAGACCGCTATGAAGAGTGTTTGGATAGAGTGGGCGATTTGGATGTTGATGTGGCGCGGGTGAAGAGCGACAAGGGATCTGTCGACATGGGCCTGATATTCGGTGTTGATGGGGGTCTGGCCAAGGAGCTGACGGAGGCTGAAGTGAATGGCAACCACGATCACAATCACCAAACGAACGGCGATTCCCACAAACACGATCACAGCCATAGCCACAACCACCAGAGCGAGGTTGAAGTGCTTTCCGTCGAACTCAAAGGCGATAGCGGCACTGCCGTCTCAACAGACAAGCTGCTCAATTTTCTCAAATCAGCCCCCAAGGACGAGGCGTATCGTATCAAGGCCGTCCTTACCCTCTCATCTACGCCCAAAAACTCTGATCTCGACGTTCCACAGCCAGAGTCCAACCCGCGCGGTCGATATATTTTGAACTGGGCATTTGGCAGATGGACGTTTACCTCTCTGGCCGAGAGCGCAGAAGAGCATGCTTCAAGCAACGGCGTTGTTTTGCGACTGACGATGATATTGGGGCGGTACGAAAGCAATAAATGGAAGAAGAAGCTGGAAGCTGGCGGCTTAATAGATTTAGAAGGTGTGAATAAAGGGGAGTTGGTTGTTACGAGGATATTGTAGAAATGCGGGGTTTCTTTTTATATAGACGACGTTATGAACTTGAAGGGAATTAGATTACTGGGGATATAGAAGATAATTGCAGCTACAATGGGCAAATAAATGAAGAGCGAAAACTTTTGGATGAATAGCCCGCACCGATTTCTCATCGCTACCTGTAATAAATATCGATTGCTAAACTGTAGTCTTGTTCCACATTTTCTTCGAATCCTTTGCCTTCGGACTGTTGATATTCGCCGAAATAATGAGCCATCTCAGGTAACTCATAGTAGCCCACCGTCTCTGTCCCAGCTCTTTCTGTTTCAACTCTTTCTGTTTCAGCTTTTTCTATTCCACCTTCATCTTGAGAGTATACCGAGCTCGAAGTTGACAGCGCGGGGGTAACACAGCTATTCGTACTGCCTGTGAAGAGTGATTCTGAACCAGGCCTATTTGTTCCATGGAGATGTTCAAGACGTCTAGTGTCCATGTCGGATTCATCTTGGGAGTACACCGAGCTCGAACATGACGCCGGTGTAACACAGCCGTCAAACTCATCATCAGAGCACGTCAAGCTTGGACTTTGTGACGCAAGTGTAGCACAGTTATTAGCATTATTTATGAAACAGGGTTTTTTCCCCTTGGCAGTGCATCCATCTAGCAACACAATTGGTGCGTCTGAGTCTTCATCTTGCGAAGAAGGGCTGGGAGAGAAGAAGTCGTCAATATACTCATCTTCGCCACTAATACGGTGCGATGGCGTTGCGTACTTTGCTTTGCATGAGTTACAGGTGGTATAATTATATTCGCCTCCCAAATATCCCATGCAGAGGAGGCATACTGGAGGAGGCGGAGAGTGAATCTGTGGAGGTGAGACACAGGTTGGAGTTTGTGACCAAGATATATCTGGACATGACGGTGTTGGAATCGGCGGAGAGTGAGGAGAATGAGGGACATAAACCGCCCTTCGCCAAAGAGCCCGATTCCGAGGAGTCTTGATGATTGGGCCCCCGTGCGCTCTCGCCTTGTAGGTGCTGTGGTTTTGTTCGTAAACGTTTCCTGTGGGATGAACGTCCGTATCAATTTTTGTAAGGGGCTTTTTGGGCTTTTCCTTTGGAGGATATGAGTTGAGATGCGGTCTTGATGGCATTTTGATACGCATTTTCACGAGCAAAGTTTGGGGGGGCGTTGAAGGGTGGTTGGCTTTTTTTTGTGTGACGAGATTTTATTTTATCGAGTGATGCGATATGACATTTCTTATTAAAATGTGGGCTGTTGTTTGTTATATGGAACGGCGTTGTTATTGAACAGCGCTGTGTTCATTTTGTATGTTCTCGCGGTACAAATAAAGCGACAACAGGGGTTTGTTGTTCAAGCACGCACCTTTGGCATCGACCATATAAATAGAACATCAGTGGTATCTTGTTCATATTAACACTGTTTTGTTTCAATTTGCTATTTATATACATAAGAAGAGATTAAATCCAAGTTTCCAACTTGTTACCCAGAGGTTCAATCAAAAAAAGACACACCCTTCTTTACCGATACGTGTAGTAATCGAAGTTAACATGCATCCTTTCATTCTAGATGCTCCTGCGTAATTGCGCTGCGGCTTAAAATACAATTGCATAGATAAAAATCGCCTCACAAGCTCACAGTGACCGTCATGTTATTGCTCAGCACCAAAAGCGCCGGCGGAAGATCATGACACAGCAGCTCAACATCCGACAGATACTGAATCGTGCTGTCCACATTCATGTACGTCCCCTCATTGGGAATCGGTAGCGTGCTGAGAAGGACAGCCGTGTCTTTCGAATTCTGTTTCATCAGCTCGTTGAGAATCAGATGCTGCGCTCTGCTGGGCAAGTCGTTGAACGACAGCGCAACGCCCTGTGTAGAGTATGGAGCGCCTTCTGCGTTGCCCGACTCAGCAACAGCTCTATACGATTGCACGAGATCGGGCATATTTAGGCTGACGTCTCCTTGGCCATGGCTGTTGGGATATTGGGACTCTCTCCGAGAACGGGATTGATAACGGGGTTTTGTTGTGCTCGCGCGTGAATAGTACGTTGGCTGTTCATGGTATGAAATCGCGCGTGGGCCTCCTCCTCCTACCAGATTTCTCCTGGACCCAGGTAATGGTTGCGACGGAACATTGAGTGAAGACTGTCGCGAAAACGATGGACGGTCCATTCTAGGGGTCGTAGGGCTTGAGGAATTTGTAGTGGCGAATCCAATCCGGGAGCTTCCCTCCTCTGTTGTGATTCTCATCTCCGGGACAGGCCGGCTTGAGAAGCGAGCGGCGGACGACTGTCGCGATATGGTCGGCCGGGGCGTTGAAGTGTCATCTTCCCCTGAATATCGGGCACTTGATGATTTCGCAGAGCTGCTTGGCGGGTAGTTGCTGCGACGAGCTTCGGACATGGCAAGCTGATCGAGATTGGGAAAGGATTCTATGCTCTTGATTTCCATTTTGAAGCTGCTACTCTGTCGGTTATTTGCTCGAGGGGTGGCGTCTAGATCTGGAGAAAAGACTGAATTGTACCGATGCTGGGCCATGGAAGGCGGCTGAGATCCAGACATGGTGCCATATGATGGAGTAATCGAGGCAACGCCGTTGTTAGAGTACATGTATCCATGCCCGGTGATTGTATCAAAAGAGCCATTTCCTCGCATCCCAGGAGGCGAAGGCTGCCCTCGTGAAGCATTCGACGATGGTGACTCGCGCAATAACGGGTCTGTCACAGATCGCACCGTACTTGAAGAGTCTGTATCGCTACTTGTTTCGTAATCTGAATCAGAGTCCTCAAAGACTTCTTCGTTTAGATGATGCGTGTGCATGCCGATGTTGATACCCATCTTGGACAGAGAGCCGATGTTCGGCTTCTTAGGCATGCCGGGAAGATCAAACACACTCGAGCGTCGTCTCCGGGACTCTGTTTCCTCGTGCGGATTGTAGACTCCTGGCCGTCCAGCGGTCGAAGTAATGATGTGCGCGAGGTGTGTAAACTCCTGGCTATTCGTCATGGGCTCTGACTGTCCGCGGAAGTCTTCCAGGTCGTTCCACCATTCCTCGTCTCTCAATGCGTCGCCAACAATGATTTCACAGTCTATGCTACTGCCTTTGCCATTGATGATGCGCTCGTACGTGTCCAACTGGCCACATGCCAGCCAAAAGACGCAAACTTCGGCGTCGATGCGCAATTTCTCAAGTAGCGCGCGGACTCGAGCCAACTCTTCTTCGACCTCGCTTTCGTATTCAACAAAGACCATGACACGTAGTGTATACGCTCGTTTCCAAGTGTTGACACTACGGAGAATGTGGCCTAGTTGTAGAATGAGCGTGTCTAGCAAATGTTAGTCATGTCTAGGGAGTTGCATTCTGCAATACGAAAAAGGCTTACAGGTGTCAAAATTGGAAGTCAGCATGTTCTTGCCATCGGATGAAACTTCAGCGGACATCTGGATGGGCCACATATCAATAAACCTCTTCGTGTTGTCCTCGTCCTTTCGAGGCGTCTCCAAGCCGTCAAATCCATATGCCACCGCTACATTCAACCGGTACATCAAAGTCAAATCCTCCAATGCTGTCATGTATTCTGTAGGAGACATCATATCCTCCGTACGAATTGCGTCAGTCGGTAGGAAGCCATCCATCAAGCGGGCGGATGTATCGCCACGGCTTCGTGTGTAGCCCCCAGCATGGGGTCTCGGCGGGCGATTCATTTTGGAAGCTGGAGCCATTGGAATGTCTGGTACTCGTAGCCTATGACTGGATCTTCGTAGATCTTCCATGTTGTAAAATCCCAAAACCGCAATATTGGGCCGCATGCCTCCAAGGCCTGAGGATAAGATGAGATTTCGAATGCCCCAGGTAATCGACGGCGACATGGTTAACTGCACAAAGGCTTTGATCCTAGAAAAGTCTGATATGTAACGCGTCCAAGCCTGTTGCTGAAGTTTTGCCTCGTGGACTCCTGTGTTGAAATCATCTGTTACAATGACATGCCCCAAGATGTAAAGCGAGCCTTTCTTTAATGAATTGCAAAATTGGATCAGTCTCGTCTGACGCCTTGGGTTATTGACAAGGAGTATGATTTGTGGTCTCCAAAACTTGATGTGCTCGGGCTTTAGTCTCAACAGATACTTCCGCACTTGGTGGTAGATGAGATTCTGTGAGACATCTCCCCAGTGTTTGGGCGGACATAGATAATGAATCAGCAAAAACACAAGGATGAGAGCGCAAATTGCCGTTGAAGCGTAGGCCTCGTCGATAAAAAACATGGCTGCAGCAGAGAAGAGGCTTCCCAAGAAAGCCGTCTCGGCACTGAAGAGCTGAAAGCCAGGCCTAAAATTAGGAGCAGATCCAATTTTCAACAGGAAACACGCCAAGTTCATAACAAAAAAGGTCATCTGTTTTCATTCATCAGCTGCTTAGTATCGAGAGATATAAATTGGATATAGGTCTTGAGCTCCTGCTAACCTGATAGCCCATAGAGATGAGGGTGGCAATTTGGTTCAAGTCCGCAAAAAGGGCAACTTGAGCGATGGCGTATGTTAGGAATATGGCAAAGATTGGTTCATCACCAACTTTAGTTCCTCTTCCAAAGCCAGACAACCCTGGAAGTAGCTTGTCCCGAGCGAGTGCTTGAAACAGCTTGGCTGATCCGATAACTCCCATCAGAGCCGAAAAGAAGGTAACCGCGCATTCGCCAGCCAGGATAATAGGGGCATACAGGCTTGTGATGGAGATGACATTATTGTTGGCTAGAAAGGATTCGTGAGTGGTAGCCGCTGCCATGGAGAGAATGACGGTGAAGTACACGATGAAGGTTGTAAGAGTGGCCCATAGTGTTCCGTGTGGAATAGCTTTGCTTGGGTTTCTCAAATCACCAGACATGGAAGCCCCAGCGAATATTCCCGAAGTCGCTCTGTTACCACTGATATTAGTGTATATGTTCTGCTACGGAGGAGAAGTGGAATGTACTCGCGGGAAGAGAACGCCAAATAAGTCACGAAAGGTTTTAAGGCCTTGGTAGCTGCTATCAGAAGCCCGAGGAGCAAAGTTTCCAATGAGCGTATCAACACTGATGCCCGTAAACTTGACTCCAGCTATAGCATCCTCAAACGGCGACTTAAGAATTGCTGACACTGGAATGCTCATGACAGCCACGGTAAGGATGATGAGCAGTGCATTTGACGCCTTTGCGAAAGTTGACGAGCCAAGTAAGCAGAGACATGTGCAAAGCACCAAGGCCGCTGTTTGGAGCCCGTAGCCAGTCCAATACCCTTGAGGAAAGTTGGATCCCATGTTGAGTCGGATGCAGTCGATGAGACCAACTACATTCATGGCAGTGTTTAGAGCTTGAGCTAGATAGAACAAGATGCCAATAGAGCCGCCAAACTCGGGACCGAGAGACCTGGAGATTAAGTAATAAGCACCGCCGCCCTTGACTTCTCCATTCGATGCGATGGCAGAGAGGGAGAGAACGGTGAGCAGATCAATGCAATAGGCGGCGAGGAGAAGACCTAGTATGGCGACACAGGTTGGAACTGAACGCTGCAGATTATTTTGATTCCTGTTTGCGACTTACCTAGGATTCCAATGAAGCCAACCTGTCCGAGTATCTGGCCAAACCGGAGGAACATGAGAATGCTCAAGATGTTGAGGTATACGGGGATGTAGACACCAGATATGGTGCCGAGCCTGGCGCCGCCAGCGGGCTTTACGGGCTCCATGGCTATTGACAAAGAGCCTTTTCTCTCTGGTGTTTGATGAGGCATGGGAATATGACTCCAAAGGTAAAGCAGGTCGCGTGGCAAGAGTGCAAGTGTTGCCAACGAGCGAGGAATTTCCAGGGAGCCACCACCAGCCAACCAACCGGCCCTGGTGCCTTGCACGCCGCAATTGTCTTGGGTAGGATCCAACAGCGATCAAAACGGTAGGAATGAATCTTGCCCAGGTGCTATAAATCGAAGATGGGAAAACAAAAAGAAAACCGCAGTGTTATAACCATTCTCCACTACCTCTGGCCATCAACGGGTATAAGTGAATAAAGAGGCCATTTAAAATTTACGCAGCCCGGCACTTGGGGCAACGGCGTTAATATCAACATCTGAACTTTGCTACTAAAACCGTACACTGTAAAACGCCGTTTGAGATTAAGCAAATCAAGCAAGGCCGGCGTCATGCCAAGGGTTTGGGATCAGCGGCGGGGCTTGAGGAAGCGCGAGCGGCGATTCGTGTAAGAGAAGAGGAGACACGGAGAGCCATCGACGCCATCATGCCTGACATTTCCCGAGCAGATTTGCTGCCGAAATCAAGTTTGGGTGCATTTTGTGCATATGGACATGCATGCTCTGTCACGTAGAATGGCCCTCTTGTATGGATATTGTATGTACGATGGCGTATTGGTGCTTTGCATCTTGAAGAAGCAGCTTCTGTAGCGTTTTGCCGCTGCCTACAGTACATGTACGTAGAGTTTACACCGCAACGGTTCATTCAATACTAGTAGTACTTGGCATCAAGGCTCGGCACTCTAGCGGTATAGAATAAGCCCGTCGTACGCTGCTAACTCGTATGGAGAGTTAGTACTGGGCCACCGTTGGCCTCTATCGCGAGAAGCCACAGATCAGGTGGGAATCACAGGCTCCGCAGTAGCGCGATGGTGGTGTAGAGCATCGTCATCCCAGCAATGGCAAGACGATCTTCAGCCGGCGTGATTCGTGGGTGGTTTATGCCTCTCAGCGTCTGGTAACTGGGCCGTAATCAGGAATTGTCGCCGTAAGAGATGGTCACGATGTGCCATTGTCGATGATGGGGCTGCAGTATGCCGTCAACACCAGTTATTTTCTCTTTATTTCAAAAAGAACCACCAGTCTACTTGAAGCCATTACAGCCTGATAGATCAATCGACACAGAGAAGCCTCCGAGAACTGCCAGGCATATGCGCGGCGATCCCTCTGGCTGCCCCGCCTCTAGGCGATATCACGCGCCATGACGGCATTCCGAGCCACCCCGGCACAAGGGATACCGAATCCTTCCAGCTTAGAGCTGATGTTGACTCTGGTTTTGCAAGCAAATCAAGAGCAAGCGCTCGAGCGTACATGAACAGGTATGAACGCATGTACCTTGATATAGAATTCCTAGGCCCATCTGCGCGGACAAATTCGGGGGACAATCATTGTTAGTGCCGCATCGGCTCGTCCCGTGGTAATTAATCTTCATGTTGGCAGAGGAATTCAAACGCTCAGTATGACCGAGTGCATCATATATCTGCTACTCTGTGGCCACCTGTGACATGCGTATCGAGATCTGAGCCCTCTGGAGAACGGAGAAGAACGCGGGGAGGTGGATGGACAGATGCGGATGGACGGTGCGCTACACAAGCCTCATGTCCAGCAGTCATCTGGATGCGTGGTCAGCCTCGTGATAAAGCTGGTGACCGGCCGCTGGGAGTTTGTTTGCGCTGTGCGCAGCCAACGGGCGTTCGGTGTCATGCCCGCCATCCAATTAGGGCCATGTTCTCTCCCGCCCTTATCCGGAGGCGTGGTCTTGGGGTTGGACTTTGATGTCAAGGACTTTGACGGTTGACAGGAGACTGCGCATGCTCATATGTGTGGCTGCTTTGGTAATACTGTACTGGCAGCAAGCACAGCAGATATCGTGTACACTGTACGAGCGAGTCTCGTGTGTCAGTGCCATCTATATTGGACAGGACACGGCGTCATGGTAGGTAAGACGTGGGAGAATAAATCACAAGTAATGAAATAGCCTCTTTCAAGGTCTTGGATCACGTAATATCTCGATTGGTTCTGATATGAGACTGGGCGAATCAGGTCTGCCGCCTGCGTATCTCGTATTCCCGTTATCGGCCGTCACTCTTGACAGTCCTGATAAGCTTCCATTCGAGACATGCATCTTCATACCGCCCAGTAGATGCGGAACAGTAATGTGTATCGACATCTTGACGTCTGAATATATGTAGAGTTGACTGCAAACAAATAACTAGGAAATCAAACTTGCCCGCCAAAATTAAATTGTCTACTCTCTGAATTATATTCGGATGAGTTTACAAGTCCAGCTGCTGTCTGAGCTGACGGATTATCGACCGAGGGCCCTTGTGAAATACATAAACCCCTCCACACCATGCTGCGAGTGTGGCACCCGCCCTTTTTTCTTCGTTTGATATCGATGAGTCGAATCATGTAATTCGCGCGGCAGTGCTTGCTTGCGTGCTGGATGGATTGGCTAGAAACCGTCGTTGTATTAGAGTGCAGCGTTGTATATCAATATCAACAAGTGTGTTGTATGCATGCAAGCCCCATCTCAACTGCCCCTTCAAGCGCCGCCCCGTGCCAGCTGTTCAATAAGAGTCCAGCCTGCAATCGAGCCGATCTCTTGCTGTCATAGCGGACCTTGGCCGCCGGAGGCCCACTGCTGAGCCCCCTAGCACGTCTCCCTACAGTCCCTCGCAGTCCCCAGTACGTGTGGTCCCCTAACACAGTCACCAGACCGGAGCAGCCACTGCGTGGCCTGGCGCAGGCTGGAGCCCCGGCGATTGCAAGGGACATGATCGTACAGAGTACCTGGCTTGGCGCCGGAGCTGGCTGCGCACACAAGTACCTCGCTACCTGAGCTGCTCTAGCGCGGCCTCGTCCGTCATTAGTGCAGGACCTTTTGGGAACAGGCACGCACTCTCGTAGCTTCGGCCAAAGAGACCAGGGCAGATTAGCCTTGACTCTCTTTCATCCTCCATCTTTCAGCACTTTGTCCCGTCTCCTCTCCCAGAGACTCCCAATTGAAGCAGCATCGGCGGAGGCAGACAAAGCAGCCTCAAAGCAGCCTCAAAGCATCGACTCATCTCGCGTGTCTCGACCTTGAACGCCGCCGGCGCCTTATCGCTAATCTTGCCGCGCTCGTTTGTCACCGAGTCTCCCTCGCGCGGTTCGCATCCTTTCGGCTTGCCGACGCTTTTCAAAACAAAGCATCGATACTCTTCATCTGTATCAGACTCGATATGCGATAGGAGACCAAACCTGAGCTAGATCAAGCTTGAATATCACAGCAATCATGTCTTCGCCGTCGAGAAGCGGGATACCGCAGGACATTGCGAGATCCCATTCACCCAGCCTCTCCCAGCAGCGGCCATTCTCGTCGTCAGTGCCCCGAGAAGAGCTTACCGCGAGACTTGCCGAGCCAGTTCGAGCTGGGTCGCCCATGAGAAGCGGCTCGCCTCGTCCGGGATTCGCAAAGCCCGAAGGCGGCGATAGTCCAGCGTTTGCCCAAGGCCCAGGCGTGTCAGCCCTGGCCGCCGCCTTGTCCGACTCCCTGGGACAAACGCCGCCGCGACACGGCACTCCTCCAGCCCGCGTCAGCACACCGCCGGTCCGGCCGTCATCTCCCGGAAGAGGCCGCTCTGCTACACCGACAAATTATGGCTCCTTTGACTCGAGAAGCCGCATCGGGGCGGAGAGCACCGGGCCCTACGAGGACCCGGAGATTGTCAGGAGGCATTTGGTACAGCCCAGTGAAATGGATAACCCCACGTCAGAGGCTTCGTCAGAGACTGGCAAGGGCAAACAGGCGGCCGATTCCGGAGCTGGTACTACCGGCCTGAGTGAGGAGGAATTCTCGAGTCTGCGTCTGCAAGGCGGTGATGTGACACGGGGGATCTACAAGTGGGCTGAACAGGCAGAGGCCAAGACGAGGATGCAACGCAGCAAGAGTTTTGACTACTCCAGACCCGAGCCTGAAAGCGATACCCTTGACATCAACTCCATCAAAGTGCCGGGAGGCTTCCGAAGGAATCACCTAAGGAGAAACGTCATCAGCCCGTCTGGACACCACGAAGATGGCTATGGAGGAATCGATTCCCCGGGCAGCAATCAGCGACCCCTATTTACATCAAGCTTCCTAGAATTCTTGTCCATCTATGGCCACTTTGCCGGTGAAGAGTTGGAAGAAGACGACGAGGCTCTCGGCCCCAACGAATACTTTGGATCTGGCGAAGACAACGGCGAAGAAGAAGACGAAGAACCAATGGAGGACAGCGCTCTGCTTGGCCCCTCGAAAAAGAAGCGCAGGAGAAAGGTCCGTGGCGGCAGTGGCCAGAATAGCCAGATGAATGCCGCTCTGCTGCTGCTCAAATCCTTTGTCGGAACTGGTGTCTTGTTCTTGCCGCGTGCCTACCTCAACGGTGGCATGATGTTCAGCAACCTTGTCCTTATTGGTGTGGCGATTCTAAGCTACTACTGCTTTGTTTTACTGGTTACGACACGACTTAATGTCGATGGCTCGTTTGGTGACATGGGCGGTATCCTATATGGCAAATGGATGCGAGCCATCATCCTTGCCTCGATTGTTCTCAGCCAGATTGGCTTTGTCGCCGCCTACATCGTGTTTACATCGGAAAACTTGCAAGCCTTCATCTTGGCCGTGACAGACTGCCAGAAGTCTGTTAGTATTCCAGCGTTGATTTTCTTGCAGATGATTGTCTTCTTGCCGCTTTCTCTCATCCGAGACATTGGCAAGCTCGGCTTTACGGCTCTGATTGCGGATGCCTTTATTCTGATAGGACTCGCGTATCTCTTCTACTACGATGTGTTGACGCTCGCCGCCAATGGTCTCGCCGACATCATCATGTTCAACAAGAAAGACTGGACGCTCTTCATTGGTACAGCCATCTTTACTTTCGAGGGCATTGGTCTCATCATCCCCATCCAGGAATCGATGAAGCAGCCGGAAAAGTTCCCCAGGGTCATGTTCCTTGTCATGATTATCATCACTGTCCTCTTCACCGTCATGGGCGCCATCTCCTACGCTGCGTATGGATCCGAGACGCAAACCGTTGTCCTCCTCAACCTGCCGCAGGATAACCGCATGGTGAACAGCGTGCAGCTGCTCTACTCGATGGCCATTTTGCTGTCCACTCCGCTGCAAATCTTCCCTGCTATCCGTATTGCCGAGACCGCGCTGTTTACGAGGAGTGGCAAGTACAACCCCTGGATCAAGTGGCAGAAGAACATCTTCCGCTTCTTCTTGGTGGCCATGTGTGCTGGCATTGCCTGGGGTGGCGCCGACAACCTGGACAAGTTTGTGGCTTTGGTGGGCAACTTTGCCTGTATCCCCTTGGTCTACATCTATCCTGTAAGCAGCCCCTTTCCTTCACTTTCCCCTCCCCTTCACCCCGTATTCAATGCACAATATACTGACTTTGTCCATCATAGCCCCTACTCCACTACAAGGCAGTCGCACGAAACAGGTTTTGGAAATACTCCGATATTGTGTTGTGTATCTTTGGTCTCATTGCCATGGTTTACACCACCAGCTTGACCGTTATGAGCTGGGCCAACTCCGAGCCCAAGCTCCCCGGGTACTGCGACCGAAGAGGCAACTAAGCCTGAACCTGAGCTGAATGGTGAGAGATGTGGAGAAGTTGGAGAGAGTGAGGAGCGCAGAAGGTAGGGGGTTTATCTCAACTTTTACTTGTTTTGTTTCTTTTATTCGTGTTTTCTTTCGGGCATTGGGATAGCAAATTGGACGAAAGGCATTTGTTTTGAGGTTACTATTCAGATTGCAAGGGATTTATTGTATAGAGAGGAGGACATGGTTTCTGTATTGTGTATTTAGGCATGGGTGATTTCACATAGAGATTTCCGTACAGACAGATATCGAGGGGGGGAGGATAAGATGGTAGCGACTTTTGCAGCATATTGTTTCTAACTAATACTACTACATATTCTGGGTACATGTTATGTCAACAGTTGATACGTGACGGTGCTTTTACATCGTTGCAGAGAATCCGCTACAGCCAGCTTAGCGCCGTGGGGCCGCTCCGTGGTGGAGATTTTTGCTGCCGGGCAGAGGCAAGAAAGTGCCAAAAGGCCGCATCTCGGTCTCCGAGATTCGTTGCAACTCTCATGCAGCGATTACTACTGATTCGTTCCCATTCGCCGTCTTCTGGCGATCCTTGCATTGCCAATGGAGAGCGTCGGGATTAGCATCATCACCACTGCGAGCCCGTCGTGACTTGTACATGCCGAATTGCCGCCCTTGTTAGAATCTTGTTCTTTCTTTCTTCTAGATTTAAAAAAACATGTCGAGCGCTGGCATCCGTCTCTGCCACTTCTCGCCAGTATGTCGATGCGAATAATTGCCCACCCGCCGTTGAGGCTGCTGCTGCCATCATCATCGTCGCTTTACCAGATCCCCAGAGCCTGGCCATCTCGCACCAACAACCGCCTCGTCCCAGCAGCGACAATCGCAAACCAGAGAAGCATCGCCACAAGGGCTGCGCGGCCGCCTCCGTTCCCCGTCGTGTCTGCCTGTCCGTCGCCGACATGCGGATGCGCCGACACGCCGGCCATGCCAGACGGGCTGGAGATTGACCACCAGAACCCGCTCAAGGGCGTCATGGCTGGGTATTCGGAGCATGTGGTGGTGTGTACGGGCAAGGACGACTGGTTGTCCAAGATTGAGGATGAGAATAGTGGTGATAATCTGGCGGCGGACTTGAAGGAGCTTTTTGGACGAGGGGGGAAGTATACGGATGTAAGTGAAGTGAGGATGGGAAGCTACAAGTTGCTTGGGTTTGGAACTACAGTGCTAATGAGATGCGTATGGACAGCCGTTTCACCACATTTCTGTCATCAACTCTTCGTTTCCGAGCTCGGTACCTCCTCGAAAGGCAATCCAGTCGACGTCGGCCTACCTGTTACCGTCCTTCAAATACGTCCCTTTCCTACCGCGCGTGTCATTCGACAGCGTCAAGGCCCTCGCAAAGGGCTTTTTATTACCGGAAAAGCTGCACAGCGCCCACGACGGACTGTCCCCCGTTCACCGCGATCGACTGACGCGAAAAGAGGCATTTCAGGGCCTGTTGCCCGGCGTGCAGGACGTCAAGGACGTGCTGGTGCTGATATGCGGCCACGGAGGACGAGATTTACGATGCGGCACAATGGGACCTGTGCTGAGGACAGAATTCGAAGAGAAGCTTGAGATGGAAGGGTTCCACGTTGCCAGGGAGGCGGTCCAGGTTGGGAGTCTGGATGGCGAGGAGGTCAGGAGGATAGAAGGGAGCAGCAGCCCGGAGAAGAAAGTGGCGAGAGTTGGACTGATTAGCCATATCGGAGGACACAAGTTTGCTGGCAACGTGATCATCTACGTCCCGCCCGGATTTACGAATGACAAGGGCGAGAAGCACGCTTTGGCGGGATGTGGGATTTGGTACGGGAGGGTAGAGCCGAAACATGTGGAGGGACTTGTGCGGGAGACGGTGATGGAGGGACGAGTGGTGGAGGACAAGTTTCGGGGAGGGATTGATGCACAGAGGCGGATATTGAGGTTGTAGAATGATGGTTTACGACGGGGGGTGAGACAGAATGAGAGTATCAGCTGGATTATAGGATACGCATTTTTAGTGAGACAAAATACCTACAGGTTAGATAGATTATGACCACATTTTAGAGCATGACCAGCTGAACAAGAGACAAAGTGACGGAGCTGCTGCGTGTAAGTGCTCGGACGCAGACATCGGGACCTGCAGCCATCAGCACAGGTACCTACGCCCTACATACCATTCCGGCGTTTGGACGGATCGGCAACATGCTCGGACAACTGCCTGGGTTAGGCAGCTTTCTATCTAGTAGTAATTCGCATGTGATTTACCCCGGTTTTGCCCAGCTAATAGCGAGCGATGCTGCTGAATCCCGCCGCAAGCCCATGGGCCACTGTAGCCGCCCGCCCCATGTCTTGTTGCATGCCATGCCGCTCTTGGCAGAATCCATTCCGACTCAAAGTGGGCGTCTTACAAGTGCCGGGTCTTGCAGCGTGAAACCACTCACTCACTGGCTTACGGGGGAGCAGACAAACATCACCACTGGCCATGGTGCTACCGACCGACTGACTTTGTCTGTGCTAGTGTCTGAGATATCAAGCCATGCTCGTTCCTCTCGACCCACCTTGTGTCCATGCATCTGGCTTGATGACTGCATGCGTCGGCGAGTTGTGTGAGTGTGTGTGTGTGTGTGTGTGTGTGAGCGCTGCTTATACTACAGCAGTCGGACCACCCGAGCTTTGGATTTGTTCGGAACGCCGCGAGTATATGAATGGCGAGGGGTCCTGTGCTCGTGATACTGTAAATAGCTCCCCTTTTTTTTTTTTTTTTTTAAACCGTCTTGCTGCCGGATCCGGAGTTGAATCGCTACCCACGCCAAAAACGGCCTGTGACGCTTTCTGCTTTCTCTTTGCCTAGATAAAGAGATCACTTCGTTGGCCTTGATCTTTTCCTGCTCTCTTTCAGAAGAAAAACCATTGTCTCAGAGATTAAAGGGGTGGGAAGCAAAGCTAGAAATCACAAAGGGGAACAACGGCAACAGACAGATCAGAATGGCCTCTGCAGATCCCCTCAACGGACTCAAAGTCTCCATCAGCCAGACAAAGGCCTCGCCGCCAACCATCATCGCCACCGTCAAGAACAACAACCCGCACCTCGTCACCATTGCCGAGTACCAGTCGCCCTTTGACCAGCTGATCCTCGAGCTGGGCAACCTCGCCATCTACCCGGGCTCCGGCTGCTCCAGCTCCGACAGCGACAGCAGCGGCAGCAGCAGCACCATCAGCGAGCCGCTCGACTACCCGACGATCCGCCTCAAGCGAGCCTGGCCGCCGCCAAAGGAGACCATGGTGACGCTCGGCCCGGGCGAGAGCCAGACGGCCGAGATTGTGCTCCGCGACCCGGTGCCGCTGCGGCGTCTGGGCTCGTCCGCCACGGTCAAGCTGAGCGGCCAGTGGATGTCCGTCTGGAGGCGCCGCGCTGAGGATATCGACGAGGCGGACTGGGACGATGTTTCGAACCCGGATGAGTTTTCGGGCCAGTATGAGTCCAACAGCTTGGAGATTTCGATTGCTTGAGTGTCTTTTCTATCTGGGGGGTTCTTGAGGGGAGTTTATTCTATTTTCAGATTGTAAAAAAAAATGATGGAGAAAACGGAGAATTGGCGCTTTTTGCTTTTTATTTCATGTATATTTAGGAGAGCATCATTTTAGGAGAATGGGAATTGCATCTTGGTTCTGGCTTTGCTGAGTTGGCAAACTACTATATGGGAACACGTGACTCGCCTTCAACCTCTGGCGCTTTTTTCTCTCTTATACACCTGTGATGATTTGTTTTTTCATAGCAGCCTCTCATCATTGAATTCCGCTCCATTGCATTTTAATCGTTCTCTATTTACAAAAGTCAACTTATTCTCATTGTTTCAAATCTATTCAATTTCCGAATGTCAGGCCGGGGAGCCGTCCTCTGGGCGGCAAGGCTTCACAAAGCTCCTCTCACAAAAGCCATAACACGAACAGCACCACCCTCCATACAATGCTGTTCTCGACAATACGCCACGGCCACCACTAAATCCCACCCCAAACGATCAAAAACCCTCCCCATTCTCATCACCACCGCCATCCTCGGCGGCTCCCTCATCTACTACTCCACCACTTCCTCCAAGCCCACGCTCCTCAACGCCGACTACTTCGCCCCTTACACAATCACTTCCCGCGAAGCCGTCTCCCCCACATCATTCGTCTTCACAATCTCGCCTCAGCACCACAACCCTTCTCTGCCATATCTCGCCCCCGGCACATCCTCATGGCGCTACCCCCAGTGGTCCGTCGAGTTCAAGCAGCCTCAAGTCCAAATCGCCCGCCACTACACGCCGCTGCCGCCTCTCGAGGGCGAGGATCCGTCAGATGGAAGCCTCAGATTCTACGTGCGCGCCATAGGAGGCGGCGAAATGTCCCATTACCTTAGCCGTCTTCGCATAGGTCATGATGTCTGGCTACGAGGACCGCATGTTGGGTTTGATGTCTTGGCAAGACTCGGCAGCATGAAGAAAGTCGTTTTCCTGGCTGGCGGAACAGGCGTCGCCCCGGCAATGCAAGTCGCGCAGGCAGTGTTGGATCAAAGCTCGGAAGCACAGGTGGATATCCTCTGGGCAATCAGAAAGAGACAAGAGCTGCAGCGTGGCAATGGCCCAGCGAGAAAACGGCCATCGTGGTGGCAATTCTGGTCTACAGATGGTAACCAATTGGTAGAATTGGATTCTCAGCTACAAGATCCCAGCCCAGTGGCGCGGCAGCTCAAAGCCATGAAATCAACATACGGCAAGCGGCTGCACATACAAGTCGCCATTGACGACGAGCAAACACAATTCCGCGAGTCGCATCTCCAAAACGCAATCTCATCAGGCAATCGCCAGGGTGTCTCACCCGTCGCCACTCCCGGATGCCGTCTGCACGACTCGTCAGCGCTGAAACTGGCACCCGAATTCGAGACACCTGCAACGGCAGATGACTGCAAATGCGGCGCTGGAGCTGGGAAAAACCTCTTTGTGGTTTCCGGCCCGGATGGCTTTGTTGCTCACTACTCGGGACCCAAGAGGTGGCTTGGAGGACAGCAGATTCAGGGGCCGGTAGGGGGCGTAGCGGGACAGCTTCAGAGAAAGTATCCGAGCCTTGCAAATGAATGGCTCGTACTGAAGTTGTAGCGTTGTCATTATGTAGAGTCAAATGTATAAACGGAATTATACAACGGCCAAAAGCCCAAGACATGTACACTCATAGATATGCATTCATACACCAGGATCACAAAGTGTCGAGAATTGAGTGTATTGAATCTTCAAATTTCTTGGCCCAAAGTAAACAACAGCAACAACAATAACCATCCATGTGCCTACTACATTGCAACGCATAACAAGAAAATCGCTCAGTCGCCAATACGCCACATCCCCCCTCTTCGCTTTTTACACATCTCAAACCAGAACTAAAAAAGAAAACAAAGACAGAAGTAGAAAACATCACCTGTTCTGCACCTTTCTATACGAAGGCGGCTTCATCGTCCTCCTAATTAACTTTCCTGCATACGGTGGGATCAAAGAGATGGATCCAATGGCCAACACGCGCCAGACAAATCCCCTTGGAAACCATTAGCTGTCGTTCTTACCAACAAGAGACGAGGGAAACATACCAAGTAATTAAAAATGCGAGGTCGAAATAGTCTCCCAAAAACGGCAGCGATCCAATATAAAAGATAAATGTCCCCACAATGCTGAAAATCATGATGGGGTGCCACGTCGTGATTTCAATGGCCACCATGAGAAGCTCGTTGAGCACGAGGACCGTGTAGCTGACGGAAACCATTCTCGGGCCGTCTACTTCTGTGAGGATCTGTGAGAGGCCCTGGATCATGCCGCCCTGGTAGACTGACACGAATACCCACACGAAGAATGTACGATAGGACAGAGAAGCGCCAGAAGTGAGTTCCTTGTAAAGCTCGGGGTACAAATTTGCCAGGTCCTCATCCACGTCCTTGTCTAGTACGAGTGATAGGACGGGAGCCGCAGTATAGACAGTGGCATAACCAACCATTAACCAATTCTATCCCACGTTAGAAGCAGAACAAAAAAAAGAAAAAGGATATAGCGTGAAGGATGGATGTTTCTACATACCTTGTACAATCCCTCGGGCTGAAACTTCAACGCTATGCTATACATAGTTTGGCAGACCGCAATAATGAGACCACGATGAATGACAAATTGGGCTAGTTTTGCACTGCGGTTGTAGCTGTTTCGCCCATGCCAAACCAACAATTTGACCAGATGGCAAAACTGCTCAATAGAAAAGTCGGCCGCCAAACTAGCCTGCCGGCCCTCTTTGCCAACGATACCAACTCCCACGTCGGCGGCCTGAATCATGGAAACATCATTACCACCATCGCCAATGCAGCAAACCCGCTTCTTCGTGTACTCGCGGATGAGCTTCGCCACCTCAGCCTTCTGTGTGGGCGAGCATCGACAGGCAACCACGGTGGGTAGCATAACGGCAATGGAAATAAACTCGATGCGGAAGTGAGTCAGGAACAATGCGAGACTCTCTCCGTCAATCAGTAAGCAGGCATCCGTTTTGCTTCGCAAAAAATCCAGATGCTCCTGGGCGTTGTCCTTTCTGTTGAGCTTTTGGACAGTGTAGATGTACTGGCCTCGTGCGACCAACTTCGAGCTAATGGCCACGCACCTTGCCGTCTCGACCTTGTCACCAGTGAGCATCCAGATTTTGATACCAGCGTTTCGCAGCAGTTCCAGCGAGGGCTTGACGTCTTTTTGCAGCTTATCCTCAACACCAGTCACACCCAGCAGTTCCAAGTCGCTCTCAAGATAGCGCGAGACAACCCGCTGCATTCCCGCATCGCGTCCTGTGATGGAAAGAGAAGCCTCGTGGTACTGAGAAGCGAACTCTTGATACTGCTGATGTGAAAGCTTCTTCCGCCCAACAACAAGAGTTCTCAATCCCTCGCGCGCCATGTTAGCCGTCTCTTCGTCAAGCCAGTCGTTTGCCGCCACAATCGGGCTCATGACGGTGTCTGCGCCCTTTTGATAGAACCAGATCTCGCCATTGCCAAGGCCGGGGTTGGCATCGTGCACGTTTTCGAGGAATTCAACGACGATTCCCATGCGCTTGCCTTCGGATGTGAATGGGAAAACATCAAGTATTCGTACACGGACAACAGGCCTTCCAGTCTCCGTCGACTCTAGCATCATTCCTTTGCGGTCACGGTATGACAGTTTGAGGCCTACAGATTCGGTCCATCGAACAATTGCAATCTCATCTGGAGACGACGCCTGATACGAGGTCACCTCTTTGCCGTCTTCAATCTCTGACGTTGGCGTAACATTGTGGCAGAGCGCGAGCGCAAGGACGGCATCTCGCACACGCGAACCAATTTCTCGCCGTGTACGAGTAGCTCCTATGTTGACCGTGTTGGACATGGCGGAAGATGGAGTAATGAGAACACTCTGAGACGCGGGATCGGTGGTGGGCTGGATATAAAAGGCCTGGCGAACATATGACTGGACTTCGTCCATGGCTTCGTTGGCATATGAAACCGTTCCGATGTGAATCTTCTTCATTTCCATGTCATTCTGAGTTAGTGTGCCAGTTTTGTCGCTCAAGAGATACTCTATTCGCCCCAAATCTTCTGGGATGGTGCTCGTGCGAACGACCGCCCCTGGAATACCTTTATCTCGCTGTATGAACCGTGAAAATGCGCTTTTGCCCATGTCCAGATTTACTCGGAGGCTGATTGGAACGATGGTTGAGAACAAGACCAGAAATCGCATAATTTTGATGTACCAAGCGTTTTCGCCACTCTTTTCAAAGCCTTCCAGAGCCACCAGTATGACGGACAAGGCAAGCGTGAGAGCGCAAAGGATCTTTGTTAACGAGTTGATCTCATATTCCAAAAGCCCAGTTTTTGAGCGGGAGGGAGAGGTAGACAATGCAGATCGAGTTTGCGGACCAGTATATAGTATGGCTGCAAAAGTGGTACCCTGAGATGCAATGACGGTATTCGCCCAAGCCGTATTGTCGATGGAGAGCGCAGCCGACTTGGAATCACTGCTGCCCTCATTGTCAGCCAGGGCTTGCTGGCTGGTCGCAGCCTGTCTAGTGGGCATCAGCTCAACCGTCCCGACGAATTCGTTGACTTTCCTGTCGGGTTTGCCAGCTGTTATGCGTAGGCGGACAAATTCTTCCAGAGAAATACTTTGGGTTAGCGGTGAGGCTAATCTGAGCTTCCAATCCGTCTCTCCATCCAACTGGTCAGTCCTGATGAATGTTTCTCCAGAAGGACCGCTGTTTGCATGATCGTTCTGAGATGGTATTGGCTCAGGTGCTTTTCCTTTGGCGCTAGAGCTAGATTCTCCCTCTTCAAATGCAAGCAGCGTCTCTTCCTCCTCTGGCTCGGTGGCTTCGTCCGCTGATGGGTTAGTTGTAGTCCCCTCGGTAGAGTGACATTGCAAGATTACCACATCAGCTGGAACTCGCTGCCCTTTGGTAAGTTTGAGAACGTCTCCAACTCGCAGGTCTTTTGACTTGCGACTTATTTCTTCAACAACAGAAGTCGGCTGATCTCCATCCTCATTATCCTCCTGGATGTCGGTGAGGTCATGCCGTTCGCCTTGTACTTTTCGAGATTTGCGCCTGATCGTCTCTGACCTTAACGGCCTGCGCGGCTTACTATTTCTGGTGAAATTCCCCGGTTCTGAAAATCGCAGTACGTGGTACTCCTCTGAGTTTGCCTCGTTATCCCTTCTCCGTCTATCAATATCGTCGTATGCCTCTTTGCCCATGGTAATGCAAAGAACAAAAGCCAGTGGGGCAATATAGGTTGACAAATAACCGATCCGAAGGGCTGGTATTATCTGTGATAATGCGACCAGCAAGAAATACATGTTGAAGAAGAAGGAAAACTCGTTGTACAGAGTAACGGGAAGAAAGGTAAACGCCGTGTACTTGGCATTGGAAACAATGTTGGTCGGGAATCGAGAGGTTTGGATGGAGCCCACTGCAATCATTCGTGCAGATAACGGATCGTCTTCTTCCTGCTCTTCTGGTTCCTTGTCCTTGGGCTTCTTCCATGACATGAAGCTTGGCAGTAGTCGACGTATGGAGCCAAAGCGCCCAGTTGGCGGCGGTCTTCGACTCGGCGAACCCTGATCTCCCAGCAACGGCGCATCGTCCTCCCCGCTCCCGCCGGCTTCCGACCATGGATGCCGAGCTTCATCGTGATCTCCTATTAGGTTTTGTTGCTCAAGCTCGTCCGAGTCTTGGCGATTCCGACCGAGGTCTCCATATCCACTATCTCGCTTTGTGCGCCGCAGCCCACCCATACGCAAGTTCCTTAGAGCTATCCTTGACGCCCTCTGTTCTTCAGCCGGGGGGTTTTGCTGCAGCTCTCGAGCTGGCTCTGTTGAGATGGGGTCGAGCTCTTGGATGTCGAGGTCGAGGTCGGAGTCGGAATCGTTGGACGGAGACTCGGGCGGCTGGTATGAAGGTGAAGGAGGCATCCCGCCTCGAGCTGATTTCGGGGCCTCAGTGGTGTGTAACGTTCTGCGAAAGCTGCCGCTGTGGCCGGATGCTCATGCTGCACACTCGAGCAATAAACAGACGAATTAAGCAAGCCCTGAGAACGAGCGTATGATTTATGACGGTCGATGGGCGAATGCGGTGGGAAGCATTATTCGGTCTGTCAGATGCTTCCCCAGATTGCCCAGACGGGCCGTTTATGATGACAACTGCTGGTGTACGCTTCAGCAGCGGAATCTATGGGCCAAAAATGTATCTTCTTCTTTCAAAACAATGGCTGCTCAAGCTGTTTGTTCGTTGTAGCTCGGAGGGAGCCAGCGCCGGTGCTGGTTGGCTGTATCAAGTCTGTATCAGACACAAGGGATACGTAAGGCTCCGCGCTAATTCCCGGAGCCAGGGGACTCGGCCGCATCAGAGCCTTGGTGGGGCGCCGAGCAGCCACACGTGCGCTACGAATCGTGCCTAGCGATCGCTGGAGCTGCGTAGGTAAGCATTGAAGATGAAGCATAAAGGTGCGTCTATGCATGCACGGATGCTGCAATCGCACATGTGCAGAAGCCGAAGTCGCCATCACATGATGCAGATGGGAGCCTGAAGGGCGGGTATCTGAAAGGACAGCTTGAGAATCTGCAGGTGAAGCACTACTAAGGTACCCAAGGTATTGGGCACTCGGCAACCTGGGGGCAACTCAGAGACTCGCGCAGCTGGTTGTCACTACCAAGGTAGGTAGGTATTACGACTTTGAGCAACTCTCCAAAGCAACACAAAACATCAATAGCAGGAGCTGTAAACTAAGCTCGTCACATGAAGATTTTCCTCCAGTTGGACTACTGTCTACAGTACCTAGGTACGCATCTACTGTTATTAAAGTTACGGCGTACGTGTCATCATCGACAGGCACGCAGCGCATCCTTTGCCTGCGCATGTGCCCGCATCCAAATGCTACATCCAGACGTGGCGGTACGACCTGTATCCTGCAGGCGACTTGCGATGGCAGCATCGACTGGACCGAATCACTGCCTGCGCCGATAAGACCTTCCTGAAGAAGGCTGTCGCATCTAGGGCTACTGCGGGGATCGTTTCCGTGGCACAGGGATGGCGTATAGTGAATGCAGGTAGGTGAATCGCGGGGCTTTGCCAGTTGACTCATGGAGGGCCAGAGCTTTGTTCATACAACGACTTGAAATGGACAGATATCTGGTACATGTCGTACAGAGTATTAGCAACGTAGTGGAGAATGAAACATGGCCTCAGCACGCCGGTAGCCACACGAGGCTGACAATATCAGAAAGGCCATGTGCGTAAGACTGAGCTCTGTACCTCTGTACATGTACGTGGTCTGACCTGGGCTGCCAGTGACTCCATAGCACATTCGGCTCTCAACGCGCTGCCACGGCGAATGCCATTATCCGCTTCAAGAGAACCATACTGTAAATGAAAGTATACTTGGGCAACCCAGTAAACAGTAGCTCGGCTCAACATCCTCAACATTCCTCCGCCGCGTCGACACGCTCGTTGGAGGTGGCATGTTGCGCCGGCTAAGCCTCGGCGCCCTTAAAGCCACTGGTTTGCTGAATGACGGAATGTGACATTAGGCCTCGCCGTCCAGTAACGAACACATTGCACCACGGCCTCTTAGGCGAGTGTTTTCCCACTACGCCGCTAGCGCAGAGGTACTCGGTACCTGCTGGACGCCCGTGCTCTGTGCTCTGCTCGCTTCTTCTCCTGATCTGCTTCTCCAAGTATTACGTGCCAACTGGCCCTTGTCGTTCTTCCCATCCACGGCCTGCTTCGTTGATAGCCGCTGTCTTTTATGCTACCCTTGCTCCCGAACATGATCTCCATTTAAAGCATCCACCATCTGCGCTTTCGATTCGATTCGATTCTGTATAAAGGTAGCTGCTGATACTTCTCGTGTCCTCGCGCGCACTTTGGGATATCGATACATGTGCCGAGTCTGATATCCGATCTTGGCTGCGCAGTCTGCATGTGCTCTGCCTGCTGACACGTCTGGCTAGTAAAATAGCTTCTGTTTCGCGCCTTGCTGGCGAGGACTCGTTCCTTTCGACCTCCAATTGATCATGGCTAGCGAGCCGCTCACATCATCATGGAATCCGGCCTTGATGCCAAATAGCGTCCATGATATCGCAGTAGCCCCCGACGACCACGACGACCATGTAATACCATCAGCATCCGCAGAGCCCTTGCCCGAGACTTTGGAGTATAGCCCGGCGCACGAAGAAGAGCAAAATGGCGTTGATCATCACGAGGACGAGCATGGCACGGAAGACCAGTCTTATCCCCGCGGTGGCGGCGTCGAGGAGGGTGCTGAGCTGGCCTCAGAGCCGCAGACCGTAACGGCCGAGGAACCCACGGAGCCATCGGCACCTGAAACCGAGAATCAGGAAGAAGATGCGACTGGGCCGGCGACCCGTACTGCGCAGCATTCGAGCTCCATGTCCTTTGCTCGGACAGTTTCAACCGAAATCAGCTTCGGCGATGACGATGATGCCGAGTGGACTCTGTCGAGGACTGATACGGATCCTTTCAAGTTCATGCCCCCATCTGAGAGATCAAATTCTTTTCCTGCCGTGCCTCTCATGGCAGAAGACCCGGAGCTCATCGAAGATACACCTTTGCCACCAAATCAGGCGCTTGACGTATTGGAAGAGGCGGAGCGAGATGTTCATATTGAAGAGGAAGAGTATCAAGCTGATGCGCATCCCCAGCCAAGCTCAGATACCGTGGATAAAGCTTCCAAGGATTCGCACCACAGACACGCGCACTCCACATCCATAGGCGGGGACATCCAATGGGCTGAAGATGAAGAATCCGAAGCGCGATACGAAGAAGGCGTGCCACTGATCCCGCACGCACAAGCCAGCTCTGACCCTGCAGCTAGCAGTGAGAATACGCACATCCCTTCTTTTGACGATGACAATGACAATGAAGATGACGACTTTTTCAATCAAATCAACCAATCTGAAGCAGACGCTACAAGCAGAGGCCAAGAAGACGAGCCATTGCAGCGGAAATCAACTATGCAGGTCCTGGCATCTACAGATCAAGAATTTCCTTCTCGTCAGTCCACGCTGGATGAGACTCTCGAGTGGGATGAAGAGGGATTTACCGGCCTGGATGTCAAAGTGACGGAGGAACCCGAAGCGCTTGAAGAGGCAGGCAACAGAAATGAAACGGAGGCCCCCCAAACTCAAGACCTCGCGTCAAAATGGCAAGAAGCGTTTGCTGCCGATGACGATGAAGAGGATTTCCTTATCGAAAATACACCAGCAGAAGAGCCGGGAGTAGACGCAGCCGCGTTCCTGGGCAGTGACGACGAAGGATTACTGGATGATATCGACGAAGCCCAGCCCCCAGCACAGACTGCGCCGTTGAGCTCGCAAACAAATAGCGTGGCATCAACACCGGCTTTTGCGCCCCCTTCATATCGACCTGCTCTACAGCGATCTGCGTCTGCGTCTGCCTACACGCCTGTCACACCACCGCTGCAATCTCCGTTTTATAATGCCCCAACCCAGGGAGCAGTGTCACAGTCTCCACTGCAATATGGCCAAGCGCCTCCTCAACAGGCAACGGATTCGCCCAAAGCCCAAAGCTTTGCCGACAAAGCAAAGGGAGGATATTCGTCGCCTTATGACCTACCCTCAGATTTGGTTACCTCTACGGTGAAGCCAAGGAAACGAGCCAGTATGCAGCAACTCCAGTTGGACAATTCATCGCTTCAGCCCCCTCCCCCTCCGCGAAGCGCCAGCTTGAGTGCCACCGATTCAGGCCCTCCAAGTGGTGGTATCCAAAAATCGCCGCTCTTACGACACAAATCAGGCTTCTTTGAAGATTTACCCACCGCACCGAAGCCACGTTCGATGTCCAGGTCAAGCAACAGAGCAGCTTCTCCTAACCCGTATGGCCTGGCCACCTCGCCTCATGGACCGTCTCCTTTGAGCCCTCCCATGGCAACCCAGATTCCGCCGGCAGCTCTCAGCTCTTCTCTAAAGATGACTCTTGTCGCTCCCGAGCGAGTGAACCCATACACGCCTCTCCAATCGCCAAACGCTCCCCTGCCTACACCAACTGCCAACGTATCCAGATATTCTCCGGCTCCCCCTCCCCAAGGAGCTGGCAGCCAAAGTGCGCCGCCGCCCACGACTCGATATTCTCCTGCACCGCCCGCTCCCAACCCAACTGCCGCCTATAATCCAGCAGTCGTCTCGGCAACCTCGCCTCAGGCTGCTTTGCCTCATCTTCCGCGAACCTCTAGTCCGCTGGCACATTTCGAGATTAGCAGCGACAAGCCATTGGGTGCCAGTGGAGAAGCTGTCCACGCCGAGCGACGAGCTAGTTCCTCGTACGAGCCGAGACTCACTCGAGTTGCTTCTCTCCCCCCTACCCGCGAGGTTGAAGAAGAAGACGATCTGGTTGCGAACAACACCCGTTCGCCACCACCTTTGCCCATTCCTTCCGCTCAGTCAACGCTATCCCCTCCCAAGCGACCAGGCTCTGGCTACATGCCTAACAGCCTTCCTTCGACTCAGCCTGGATTTGTTCCACCCCCTCGCGCTCATACGCAGTCTCCAGGAGCTACTAGAGGTGGCCAATATGTCCCGAAGCATGCAGAGGCTGCTCGCCGACCTGTTTCTTCACACTCGCCTGTGTCTCCCCCCTCTGTTAAGATTGCCCATGCTTCCCATACCCATCCTCGGCCGCCATCCCTCAATATGAATATGATTGCTCCTACGGACGGCCGAGAGCATGACCCCCTTCAGAGATGGCAAGGCGTCCCCATTATCTCATGGGGAGTGGGTGGTACCGTGGTGACTTCTTTCCCAAAGAGTATCCCGAGATATGTGATGAACCAAACAGCACCGTCGATGCTGCGAGCTTCAGGAGAGGTCAAGGTGCAGAATATCAAGGATATTGAATCTCTACCAGACCGCTTAGCCAAATTCCCCGGTCCACTGAA